CTATTTAGCACTGTATAGAGTGTTGGTGAAAATAGTGTTATTAAAACCCCTGTTAAATTACCTGCTGTGTATATACTAAACATAGACCCTTTAGAAAAGTATTTAAAGGAGCTTAAGGGACTTAAGCAACGAAGAGATATGGTTAAGCGAATTAAGGAGCTTAAGGAAAAGGTAAAGGGGGAAAAAAAAAAGGGAAACCCCTTTAAGTGCAGAGTATACACCTAGTAGATATATAATATATTAAAAAAGCTATTTTAATTCCCTAAATAATAGTTAGACTAGTATTTGCTTTGCTTATTCCTAGACTTTATAATTTATTTCTAAAAACCAACTGTGTATATACCCTATACAGTCTCCAGCACTAACTTAGCAGCATCCTTCTTGGCGCGTGCTGGCTGCTTCCGGCTACTAGTAGCTACATATTCTTAGCAGATACTTAGTATAAGGGGAATATACTATACTTACCCTTGTAACCCTTTTTTAGTAGAGCACGCTTGCGCTTGGGGGCAGATAATAGGGTAGGTAGCTTAGAGGGTAATAGGGGAGATTTGCGCTGTATATACTTAGTATATTATAAAAAGCTTAGGTTCCAGGGGTACATGCCTTGTAACCAGAGACCTTACCCAGCTTCTAGGAAATATTAGCATACACAGGGAATATATAAAGTAAATACCCGGATTATATATAGGATAATAGAACTCAGTCCCAAACTGCTAAGCAAAGTTATTATCTTCCTGGCTAGTGGTTCTTAGTTATATACTATGTATATAATATAAATATACTCTACTTATACTAGCTGCTTAAGGAAGTTATAGTAATCCTAAATAATACTATACATAAAACCCTTACTAGTATATATTAGCCCTACACCTAATATATATATATATATATGCGGAGGGGAGAATATACCCAGGCTTTTTTATATAACAGGCAGTTCTTTATCCTCTGCTAAGGATTTATTACTTTAAAGCGCTGTTAATTATTAGCATATGCTTAAGAGAAGCTATGTATTTATTAATTTTTTACCTGCAATGCACTTAGCCTGGGGAATATTAGTGCAAAAGGGATTAAGAGCTATAAATCCTTAGTATCTGCTAGACCTATACAAGGAATAGACAACTTACTGGCACCAGGATGGGTGTTCTGGATATAGTAGTAAAGCTATGGAATAGGTAGCATATACTAATAATATACTAAAAGCGCGACCTATAGTAATCTAAAAACAAACAGGCTGGCTACACATTTAGTTGCTATTAACTGTAATATTATATTTGCAAGGTTGTTAGCCCATGCTTAGTATATACCAGGCATGTTAATTACTTACACCATGCTATTAATACCTAACAGTCTTAAACCAGGAGTTAGGGCATTTATAAATAATTAGCATATACTGCACATCTGCGGGGGCCCTATACTCTTGTTATCCGCGGTGGTCACAGGTGTGCGGGGGTCCGGGTGTGGGCGCCAAGTGGGGTTTGGGTTTAGAATAGGACCTGTATATGTTAAGTATATATTATAAATATATTAAATAAATACTTACTATAGAAGTAACTATAGTCAGGGTGGGGGTTCACCGCCCCAGTAACCTCTGGATTATTAAAGTCTTTATATAAAAGCTGAATTCTTTGTATATTAATAGTATATGCTAAGAACAAGGCCCCTAAATAAGAACTAAAATTATCAGTGTATTCTAACATGCAAAAAAAGAGAAATTAGGTTATAAATTAGTAGTATATACACTGGGTATGTAGAAAAAAAAGGGTTATATAAATAATTATAATTATATACTCTGGGCATACAGAAAGGAAAGGGGAGAAGAAAAGGTTTTAAGTCTTCCGGTTAAGGTATATACACGGTATATGCCAAGAAGGGACATGTAATACTTACTTAAAAAGGGGAGTTTAAAAAGAGAAGAAGAGAGAAAAAATAAAGAGAAAAAAAATTAGGTCTTCTAGTTCTAAAATAAATGCAAACGCGGCCAACATTTTTATTACCTAATTTAGGTGTAGGATTATTCACAGTGTGTTGTAAAATCTGCCTTTATTATTTAATATAGTAAATATGTTGATTATATATATTAATAATACAATAAATAATCTCACGCAGTTTAATGTTTTAAGCATATACTTAGTATATGCACCGACCGGGAACTAACACTAGGCTAAAAAGGTCAGCGTGGTCAAGCTACGCTGAAGGGATTTTACATGGTCTAAAAAGTACGGAAAATTTAATTTTAGACCACGATGAGCCTATGCCAAGAAAAGGCTCACCGTGGTCTAAAAAGGCGGTGGCAGAGGTGGCAGAATTTTAGCCCACGCCGAGGTTTTTTTAGACCACGGCGAGCTGGCACCCGGGCCCGCGGGTGCGAATATAAACACTTCGCACCTGACTAAGCATCTTAGCTAAGGATCTAGCTATCGCGCTTCCGAGCGCTCCTAACATTATTATTATAGCTAGTGTAGTGGAGGAATTCGGGGGATTAGCACGTGACATTTGTATAGATAGCTATTATCTTAAGTCCTCATACAAAGAGGTAATAGACAATCAACAACCTTCTCACAGACCACGGGACGCAGTTGCGTAAAGGGTATGTTGTCTCTTCTCCTGTTAGGAACTTGTAGGCTCGGGGCCCACAATTTCTAGACTGTCTAAGATTGTCTTCTTAACCTACTCCTTTGGAGTTCTACCATTTCCCTCTCATTCATATTGGCGTCCCAGGAGAGGACTCTAACTACAGGTAAGGGAGAGGCTTACCCTGAGAAAAGGTTGCAAGGAGCAAGAAAAGGCAGTTTAAAATATGGGAAGTTTATTTAACCCTAATAATTAGGAAGGGACAGCACCCCCTGAGGAACCTTCCTAAGAAAGAACACCGACTAAAGGGTCTGGTGGGGAAGTTCTGCGAGAAATTGGTTGCTAAGAAGAGAGCTATTAAGTCCGACAGCTCCGAGCACGGAGCTAAGGTGAAATACGAAGAAGGAATATATATAATATAACAGGTAGTGATACAGGTTATAAATAAAAAAATAGAAACACAGAAAGATAGAAACAGCACGATAAGAAAAAAACAACTAGAAAAAGGGCAGAAGAACAAAAACAAGGACATTAAAAAAAACAAGAAAAACAAAAAAAAGCAGAACAACAACAGACTTAAGAACTTAATTGCGGAAAATAACTAGTTACTAAAGGCAGTTTTATATTTTCTATTTATTATTAGTATAATTTGCAGTAAAAAGAAAACTTAGAAAATAATATACCAAGTAAAACCAACTAAGATAACTCCTTAACAGAAGGAAATATTATTCTCTACTAAAAATAGCTTAGAGGGGGCAGGAGCCAATACTCCTAAGGAAGATAATATTAATTTTATTACCAAACAATTTAAAAAAAGGGACAGGCTAGCACTAAAAGCCAGTATACTAGTACCTGGTACTCTAGGAGCGCCCTACTTTACAGGTCAAGAAGTCACAAATTTCCTGCAAGTAATAAAAAACCTCTTCAAATAACACCTTATTAATAGTAACCAGGCTTGGCAAGGATTAATCATTACGGCTCGGATGGATAATCCTTATCCATCGTAATTTACGATGGATTATCCGATAATTTCGGATAAATTACAATAAATGCTTGGCACTACTATGTACAAAGAAAAAAGCCTTAAAGTAGAATTGCGAATTGCTGGGCCGACGCCCTTTTCGGCTACCCCCTCCTTTGGGTTTGGCGCCCGCGTCCATCGCGCCCGATCCTGTATAGCGCAATCTGTTTTGGGTTTAGTGTATCCGTATCTGGTTTGGATCCCAGAGCTAGCACCGAACGGGATCTGCCGTCCTCCACCGCCTGCCCGTCTACCTCCACCATCTATATAAACCCGCGGTGCGTCGCTCAACGACAGTTTCTCTTGTTTCCAACATTCCCATCGATTTCATTCCCCCTGGGACAGAAACCATTCCTCGGTCTGCTGACGTTGCCCCCTGCCAGCTGAAAACTCTGAAAACTCTGCACCCGCAACACAGCCCACTTCCCCACCCGCGAAATTGAATTGAAAGGACCTGTGTTTCGACGGACACGTGTTGCCTTGATTAATTTCCCTGTACGATTCGGGGCGCTGTTGTTTTCCACTGCAGCCTGTAAACGGCTGTCATTTTTCTCTTTTTGTTGTTTTTTGGGGGTTTGGCTGGACATCCGGTGCCTGGACGAGGCTCGATAATGTTGTGCCCTCAGGTCTCCATTCCTGCGCTTTTCGCCTTTCGCCCTTCGCCTTACCACTTCGCCTTGCCTCACACGGCGGAAATACAGCGCCAGAACAGGGGGAAGGCAAAGTGGGACTGATAGGGATCATCCTTTCTTCTGCTCGTTTGCCAATGCAATGCAACACAATATTCCAAGCATGGCGTTACTCCTTGAATCGACTCTCGGCTGAACGTAACTGTTTGCGGAATTGGTCACTGGGTCCACTTTCAAATTCATAACGAACCGCAAAAATGCCTCATGCAACACTGCGGCTGAGCTGAGGCCTCTTGACTCGATGGTTTGAGGGGCCTGCAAGTAGTGTGTGTTCACTGGCCGAGAAGTGATTTCTCTGGCTTATCTTTCCCTCATTCTGAATCATCAGCTGGGGCGTCTTGAAGTCTGTAGCGCTGTGTAGTCAAGGAAAAGTGGCTCAGTGGATGTGGTCACCCCAAACCCCCTTTTTACCGAAACAGTCCGGCCGCTCACTCGACACTCCTAAACTCGACCGAGCATGAGTGAGGACTGGAATCGACAGGGAAATGGGGTTCACGGACCTCCGGTTGTACGATGTCTACCCGGCTGCTGCGAAGCCTTTATTTTTGACCCGAAGATAATTTGGTAGCGCCTTAGTCGTATAAAGGGCGGCTGACCTCCAATTTCCTCCCTTCTCCCTTTTCTTTGGGTATGTTACAGGATGACCAGGCACTTCTTGCCCACGACTGCTGTACCCATCGAAGCTCAATCCTACTGTGCCTTACGGCTTTTTGAGGACTATGTGGGTGAATCTTGACCAAATTGAGTTTTACCATGGCCCTAGCAACCAACCGCCGTCTGCCCGTGAGAAGCAGCCACCTACTTATGATACACAATTCCAGTGCTCTCTTCCCACTATGCCCGACTTTGTCCAAGAACCGACAAATATACCAGAGTATCCGACACCTCTAGCACAGGAGTCATCCTCCACTGGTATGACCCATGCTTGGAATTCTTTTGACATCGAGATGAGCGATTTCTGTAACATCGCTGCGCCTCAGTCACAAATGACGACAGAAATGGAGCCCGTGGTGACTGCAGATCTATCTTCTATTCTTGACACTCCTTTGGGACTTGCAAGTTACCCCTTATCTTTTTCGGAGCCCGCTGTATTTGTAGACTCCGCAACGACAACACCATCAACTACACAACAGTTGGACCATATTCCCGTTCATGTGCAGAAAATTAGCTCATCAAGTAAGTTGGCACGACCGTTGTAGGATAATTAGTTATTGACATCTTTTTGTCTGACACGGTCCAGATGCTCTTCCCGATGTCAAGGATGCGGGAACTCCCCTCCTCTTATCCGCGTCCTGTGAAACTGCATCCGAACAAGCTAGCAATGCCTCTCGCAGGATGTCCACTTGCGACGATTCCCAGCAAGAACCAGCACTACCCCATACAGGGACACGTCACTTGAGCTTTGCCGACCCTGGCCGCCGTGACGAGGATACGGCATGTGAACTACATCATGCGCTTCATCCGGGTGAAAACCCAAGCTCTAGGGCAACTGATGTTCCAGAGCGCACTGAGGATGGTAGGAGAGTTAACTGCATCTGGTCAATCCGGTCAGCTGACCACTAGCCCAGGTTGCTCTAGTGGCCGAAGTGCGTCGGTTGTTGATGGCCCGGAATACTACCCATCGATTGCTGTAGTTGTACCAGCGCCTTCATGGAAGCAAGGAAGAGTCACTAGGGCAAGCACAAGGGCTGCCGCGGCAGCGTGCAAAAAACGGCTTCGTTCGGGTAACATTAGCGGTGGCAACCACCGGGGTGCGGATGTAATTCCTGGCGCAGAACGACCAAGGCGGAAGAAGAAAACAAGAGCTGCAGTCAGGTCCCTTTCTAGTCCTCTGGGCGATCCGATCTGTGGTTCATGCCATTGTTCCCCTAATATTTATGAGATCCGCGGGAATGCCATCCTCACGGTCGAATCTAATTCGGGATCGAAACCAGCATATTATTTCACCTTCGTGCCCGATGCCCGTCCGACGCCATCTACCCCCCCTCAGGCGGATAGTTCAGGAAAGCAGCGGCTATACTCATCAGATGAAAACGCACTGTTGGTGCGACTAAAGGAAAGAGAGGGAATGCCATGGTCAGAGATTGCTGAACACTTTCCTGACCGAAATGTGTCGTCCCTCCAAGTCCACTATTCTACCAAATTACGCCATAAGGCCAGCTCTCGGTCTCGAAAACGGCGAAGGAGGTGATGAGATAAAGGCTTGTGAAGACGGAGATCTTGGTTAACTAGTCACTCGGCAAAACCGCATCGAACCTCGCAATCTTAGCATGATAGCCGCGAGGCCCAACAGAAGTCTAGAAAGGACTTGCTATGGTCTACGGAGGTGGATCTGCTAAAGTTAAGAAGGAGCAAGAAACAGTTTTATTCTACGACTGTAGCTCACAGCATAGTAAGCTAGCTGTTCCCGCGTAAGGAATTAATTGCTCCCTTGTATGTACGACACAGCAGGCATCGGATAATTCGGTCGCTTGCAGTGACCAATCAATACGTGTAGCGCAATATTAGATGCCCTGACTCTGTCGTTCACACCTCAAACGACTTGAATTGGCGAACTCTTCTTTCTTGCACTGCTTATCCTAAACAACCTCACGAACATTCGACGGGACAACCGCCAAGCATTTCTTCTCGCTCCTTTGAACCAGAGATGAAGTATGTCATTGGATTGGGAAGTAGGCTACAGGTTGTGTGGAGCACGGTTTCGGAAGAATCCATTAGTAGATTGACGTAGCTCGTTGGCCGACGAGCGACTGTGATGCTTGGGTGTCAAGAGCCGCAGAATCCGTCCGTATCCGACTCTTCCAGTACTTAACGGAGTTGGGAGGTATGCCAGACTGAATTCCAAAAGAGTTTCTTCGAGCCTTACTGGCCTTTAATCCAATGGCAACCAATTGATATTGGTTGCCGCACCAGGGATACTATCCTCCCATGACTTAGTGGCTAGTGAGAAATTGGTGGGCCTGACCTTGATGGGACGTTCCGAGCCTCGCTTGCTGCACGACAACAAATGACTGATGATACAGTAAGCAGGACTTGATTGGCGACAGGCTTATTTCCGAACCACAGTTGCTGCCTAAGCCCGACCAGGACGAATCCATCATAAATCACACTAATCTACATCATCCCCACATCATTCCAATATCACTCTTGCTTCACCTACACTTCACTCCCACTAACTTTCCACACACAACCTCCATTGGATAACTCCACATTTCCTGGTTTCCGAACAAAGACGAAAGCTCTCAATGGATAAGCCACGAAAACAACGCTCTTACGCACCACTCACTCTCGAGGGGGCTGTATCCAAGCTTTTGAACACAGTCGAAAACATCAAATCACGAAATTACATTAAACCTCACGAGAAAAAGCTTATCCAATATGCCTTTTCTTTGATCGGCCAGCCCCGGAAGGAACCGAAATCGAAAGCCGACAAAAGACGGGAGGATTACCGATACTTCCTGAAGCAGGTTGACACTGAGTGTGGACCCGTATCAGTATGTGTCTGTGCGCTTGGCCTCAGACAAACAGTATTCGGGTGCATGCTGGAAGATCGCAGACTTCGTCTTCCAATGATGGTTAAGAAACATAAGAGCGACCTTGAAATACCATTTCTCCGGGAGGTAGTTCCAGGTGAATTTCAACGAGGTAGAGTTTGCCATGTATTGAGGCGAATAAAGCTAACACGCGCCAGATTTACGAGACAGACCAACAGGAGCGGAGCATGAAGAGGGAACTGATAGCCAAGACAATACACAGGAGATCAGAGAACAGAGTTATTCGACATCAACATCAGTCAGCGATCGTACTCCTGCTGTTTCTCCAGGGCACCTAGCCCCTGAATCGAGGACACCTGAATTGCAGTCTGATCCAACAGAAAAGCCCCGTGCAATGCAACAAGGTAAGCGAGATCATTCGAAGAACGGTGTAGGCTCTGATTGAGACAGGCTCTCTTTCCGGACAAGTGTTTGCACTGAAGTACGAGTACGCTTGTGCCATCGTAATGTCGGAGCATATTGCATCAGGCGTATGGATGACAGAACCGTACGATACGGCATCTTTACCATTCATAGCCATTCCCATAACTCATGAAGCATGTGTTTACTTTGGTGCTGAGCGGAAATATCCAAAACTTGTCACAGGTAGAGAACATCCAAGTCCAGATAAACTTGACTGCTCTTTGCAAGAGTATGAAAGGAGGGCCATTTATCATCAAATAAGCTTAGCCCTTTCTAAATAGTCGATTTTGCGACATCCGAAAGGGACGATTTGAAAGTGTAACTTGACCAGTAGCAACCGTAAGGGCCTCAGTGCCCAGTAGTGATTACAGAACTAAGCGAGCGCACATATAAGCCTTATTGCGCCCCAGGTTACATATACGAAAGGCTACAGATCCCATCTACTACCAATGAAAATGATTTGGGCAAGCTTTGATAAAAAATATTTTGACGTATTTTCCCAGGAATATGAAGAGAAGAATGTGTTTGAATTCCCCTCACTATGTTGAATAGTGGACTTTGATCCAGATGTTGAACGCTCCACCACAAATGGTATTTATTTCGTCGATTTCTTTTTGGGAATGTTCGACATCAATAATTTGTCTTCGTGGTAGATTTGGTTGTTACGCACTGTCCATTCCCGTGCTGGGGTTGCACTCCACTTCTGATCTAATTTGTATGCATAATATACTTCCCCATTAGGTTGCGGCTGGCTTGATACTTCAACTTTCGTATACTTTTGCTGTGTAGACTGTGTAGATGCTGTGCCCCCAGATTTAGGGTCACTGCTTGTTTCCTTTGCTTTTCCTTTTTGCTCTGGCCGACCAGAAGCATCGGGTGTACGAGGCAGCCCGGGCTGTTTCGGTCCTGGTTCTGACGGTGTTAACGTTGGGGGTTTTGTGTAAGAGGCTATTTGAGTTGATGCCTTGTTCGAAGCTTCAGTGTCTGTTGAAGTAGACGATTTTCCTAGTGGTAGACCACGTTTTGCCTGAAGCTCTGGCAGGAAAGATGGAGTGTCTGCATCCTTCTTTTCTTTTGTCTTTTTAGCCTTTATTTCCACCCACTCCGTGAGTGGCTCTCGCTGAAGACCTTTCAATGACCAGCTTGTCCCCGAAGTAATTTTGAGGAGGTATAGCATGCATTCACGCACTGACACTTGCATATCAGACATGTTGCCGGGATTTAGTATTGATTTCGACTTGAAATCAATTGCATCTGAATAAAAAAGTGTCCACTTTTCATCAACAAACTCCCGACGAACAAATACAGTCCATTCGTAGTTGGTCATAAACGCAAACTTTAAATTTGCAGCCCACATGTCCCTGGCTATCTGCCCTAAAATTAAAAGTCAGCCAGGCTTCCTTTCTTGGTTTTTTTAAATACTTACCAAGAAATTTGCGTAGTAGTCTCTCATTTATAACGTTTCCTTTCTTGGTTTCTCTTATATACACTTCTGGTGTAGTTCCCCATGGATGTTTTGCTTCACCAATAGCGCGTGGTTTGTTGGTTTGGTCTACCAGTACGTAGTCTGGTATAGACGACCTATTTTTTTGCCCTAGTTCTTTTTCAAGTTCAGGGGCTTCGTTGGGTGCGGGATTAGGCCATTCTAGCTTGACACCTGTCACGTTCCAGTCCCCAAAGCAAAGGTCGTATCCCAGGGTTTTACCAATTCCAGCTATTGGGTTCAATACATAATTTCCATATCTACCACTGGTAGAGATCTCCGCACCACATCGGAAGTGCTCATTGTGGAAGATATCCCCAGATATGAGCCTAGCCGACATAGGCTGTGGATAATCCTTCCACGGAATCTCCTTAAACACATTGCGAACCTCTTTCTTAAAGTCGCTCCAGAAAGAAAGATTACCCACATAGCGGATGTCGTGTAGTCCAGTACCTGAGGAGTGATATCCAGCTGCCCCCGCAATTGTAGGAAATGAATCCATTATTACATCGCGTGCCGTCAGAATCTCACATACTTCGCGCCTAGCTTTCGAGTCTCTGGGTCTATCCATTCTAACTGGGGAAGCAAAATAAAAACAAGCAAAAATCCAAGGATCCAAATAGTGGGCAACTAAAGGTTTAGTAAAATATAAACACAACGGCGAAATGTTCTGGGTGGAGGGATATATTTATATAGAGGTCATGTAGTATACGTCTTATAATATAGCCCCCTTTTTTATTACCTTTTAGGACAATTCCTTTCTCTTCTTAAAACTGAAGTACACACCCAAAAACAGGGTCTTAGAAGATGGGTGACACTATCCAAAAATGGAGGGTTCTTGGGCACAAAGGGCAACGCGTATCGAATAATGCAATCAGGCTCTCAATGTTCGATGCTGTATATTGTATGTGATAGGCTGTTATTCATCAGGAATGTATTGATTCATGGATTCGTTCTTGACTTGCTAATATTGTAGTTGGATGGCTACAAGTGTATAGAAATAGGTAGAAATAAAGCTATAGGAATTAATAATACATAACTACCCCTGCACCGCGTCTTTATCTGCTCTAGCAGTCAAAAATTGCAATAATTCATCTTTATTGTAATACATCCAACCGTCATGACGCTTAATTGGTATCATTGGATCATTATCACCATCATCATCAAAAGGCCTCTTTTCTTTTCCGCGTAGATTCCACAGCGAGAATTCAGTCAGTGGGTCAAGACATATATCCTTTTCCGTCAGTTCCATATCTTCAGCGTCTTCTAGATCCACAATAAAGCTAGTACACAGTTAGCAGTAACATGTCAAAATTAGATACCTATAACGAACCATCGCTGAGATACGTTATCCCAAACAAGGTTCTCCCTGCGGGGGTCATGGTGATAAAATCCATTGCTGCGAAACTCCCTGTTAGATATTAGCAGGCCACTCTTTAAAAGAATCATTCCTCACGTACCACACTGCCTTTATAAATGCAATCCTCAGTAAATTCCGCTCCTCCAGTGAAAAATTATGAAAGTTACCTAGATTTTGCCCGGGAACCTTTTCCATCAAAATGAATACAATGTACCCATTGGGGAGACTTCCTGTGTCACCCTGCCTAAAGATTCCATGATCGATAATCCTAGGTGTGGATTTGCAGCCCTTTTTCGTCAACTGCTCCAGGTTTTCAATCTCACGTTCGGCCTCCCGGCTAGGGCCTACAAAATTTGGGTCATCCCACGGTGAAAGCCTATGTATATTTAGAAACCTCTCCTGTCCCTTCATCTGGGACAATCGAATTAGACTTACTGCAGTTTGATTTTTATGATAGCTTCTTCACCAAAGGAAGCTCCATCGACCTGAGTAGCAGTACAAACACCCGTAGCCTCTCGAATAGTTCCTTCCTCTTCATCATGCACCCTGGTCTTCTCCTTCTGGATGTTGCCAATCCTCCATAACGTTTTGGTTCGAAAAAATGGTATCTCACGGCCAAGAAACGCAGTCAGATAGCTTTCGGGGGCCCCAGAAGGTTCCATAGTGACTGGAATACAACTTGCAGGCAGCTTTATGAGGAGTTAAAGGAGTAAGGAAGGAAACCACTCCACTTAAATCCTAAGCAACAAGAGTAGTAGTGGTGTGTAAAATTTGCCGCAAATGCCCGCCTCTAGTGGAACCAATAATAAGTGTTGCCTCCCTCCTCATCCATTGGTTGGTATTCTTGGCGCTGAGAGTCGGACGTATCCAGGATTGCAGGTACATACCATTCCTGGTGACCAACCAGGACCGTGGAATCAATAAGGCATGTGACTACACAACTTGATTAAGAAGGATCCTGCAAAAGTTAGACGGCTGATTTCAGCCGGATCCTGGCCAGGACTAATAATGTGACTCCGTGCATACCTTCGGCCACGCTTGTGAGCTGCGGTGACAGCCTGTCTCAAATATTTATTTTTATCCAATCGGTTAGGTGAACCCCGACACTGGCTGCCAACTAGGGAGCAATCCTTGTAGGAGCGATTGACAGTCAATCGCTCCTACAGGGGTACATGGAGCTCGAGCCTACGCGAACAAATATATTCCAGCAGACTGCCCATAGTCTTCCATTTTCCCCACTGCTTTTGAACAGAATTGTCTTCATCATGCACTCCATCCAAGAGATACTACAAGCTGCTACAACTTTGTCTAGTATACAAGGGGCAGACAAAAGAGGCCTTCTTACTTATCGTAAGGAGCTGGAGACTGCCTTTTATAACCTTCAGTCATTGCTGCAACCCAACTCTTCAGGTCTTTTGCTAGATACACCCGCCCCATCAGACAAACTTCCAGCTCCAGATACATCTGCTTCGTCGGCTATCCATACTCAAGAAAGCAAAGTTTCCGATTCAGTAAAGTTGATTATGGAGCGCCTAGAGAAAAACAAAACAAAGATATTAAAGTACTCCTACCAGCCAGTGGAGACCGCTGTGTTGGAAGATACGGACGATCCCCGCGTTATCAGTTTTAAGCAATCTACCAACAAGAAGGATTCAAAGATGTGGTTCCGAGCCGGTCTAAGCGCCTTATCATTGGCAGGCGAGTATACAGAATGGGAGAAGTCTCTCGAATATCCCTCAAGACTGGACGCCTTGGGTGACAACAATCCGTTTAATACGCAAAACGCTTGCTTTAAAGAATATGTTGACAGCTGTGAGCACTTAGTGGATAAAAAGCAAGCAAAGAACACTATTGAATGTGGTATCAAGTTCCTATATTTTCAAAGGCTGTACTCGGTGCGTTCCAATGGCCCATCACTTGTACTTGACACCCACCTAGACAGCCACCTTGGTGTTCTTGGGCTGCTCTTTTTTGTCGCTCGCGAATTTAGGCGTCTCAAATACAGTGTTCTACCAATGCTCGCAAATACTCTTTTATTATCTGATTACTGGAGAAAGCTTGCCGATGAAAAGAATAATTGGATGGAGTTCTGCCTTCGGGATTTTGAGAGGTCCCTTCACCAAATCCGACAAAGAAAACGCCAAGTATCAGAATACCAAAACTTTGGCTATGAATCAGAAGCAAATCCACATGATCCTAAGCGAAGGCGATTTGATACACCCAGTACGGAAGGCGGAGCTCAATCCGCGTCACCACCAGCCACAGACAATAGTAACCCTTCGGCAATGGATACTCCTTTAACGGATGCAAGCCTTGTGCCTCTAGGCACATCATTTAACTGTGAGGAGCCTGTTAGTCAAGAAGCACTATTGGAATGTTCCCACAATGCGGGGCTCTGTCAATCAGAGAACCCAGGTTTTTTGGAACAAATTGCAACTGAACCATTAAATTCCCCTGCTTTCTCGATGGAACTATACGAAGCGTCTCAGATGCTACACCAGATAGCCACGCTAGAAACGGGGTCCTTTTTAGGACAACAATAAAGTGCTATCAATTTCCTAATTTATACACCCACGCTCCTAGCTTCCCATCGCTTCCACCGCTATTCTCAATCGAAAGAGGGCAATTTCCGTAGACATGGTAGTGTCGTTTCATTTGAAGTACTTCCCCGCTAATTGTAACCCTTCCAGAAATATAGAACGGGATAATCACTGTGTAAGGTTGCCCAACTATAGATTGTCCGGGGAAGTACACTTGAATAGCAGGCTTAATTCCTTTGTAATACAACTGGCGTTCCTTTCGACGGGGGTTATTCTGCCCAGAAACTTAGTAACAGGCACTTAAAAATAGAGTATCCTCCTTACTGCTGACAGTTCTTCTACTTTAGAAATCACTTCTCTACCACGGCCCTGCACCAGCATTGTTGCAGATCTCCGATTCGCTGGAACAGAGAGCGACTCAGCAACGATTCGATCATCATCACAGGCCCCATTATATAAGTCTTCATATAGCGTAGGTATCTCTTGAGACTCTACAAATCCAGATTCGGGGCTGACTGTAGCCATGGGAAAAGGGGGTGAATAAAGTATCTATAAGTTGGTCAAGAGTGCAGCCTAAGAATATGTTAGTTTATTTAGCTTAAAAATACCGTTGGGCCTTACATTATAAGCAATAGTTTATCCATCGAGCACAGTTTTGTAGTGTACAATATAAAGAAAAGAGAAACCTGCCCAACGCTCCAGTCCTGCGGGGCTGCTTGGAGGGGTTGCTGCTGTCAGATCATGTGATTGTTTACTAATCCAATTTAACTCCACCAACTTGGCACCAAATGATTGGCCAATATTCACATCTTCATGACCACAGATGTAAATATCCCAAAACAAAATAGAGACATTATGTTTCCAATATGTGGACCGTCGCTAGAGAGACGATCCATTGTTTTCTCTACATCAGTCTTGTTCCTCAGAGCGACGTCCATCTACTCTCGTGAAGTCATTCAATGAATACAATTCCTCTGCTTTGTCTGTAAGGGATCGGCACCGGTCCATAGAACTCGAAAATCGATTCCAACATCGGTAGTACTTCGACATAGGCCTATTCCTTCCGTGCAATAATATAGCCATGAATATATAAAAGACCGAGATGAGATTTAGTTGTTCACCGCATTTTTTTTTTTTAGTACTGGATAGGTTCAGTCCCACGACGGTGCCGTTTGACTCGTAATTTAGTCTGTGTTTTAATCTCGCCTGAGTAAAAGAGTACATTAGCCCGAGCAAGACAGGCTCTGTAGAGGCTCACGAGACACAAGACAGCCGGGCGAGAAAGCTGGGCCAGAGGTGTGGCGAGCGGACGTTTTCGCGAAGAAACAAACAAGCAAGGAGCGACTATAAGGGACCGTAGTTAGCAACACTAACCCGAAACGTTCTAAAAGCCTTAATCTGGAGTATCTTGGCATTACATTTAAAAACAGATCTCTATGTACGTGAGTGGAAACTACGGTACCTAATTGCTAACATATGACTGATATCCTCCTTGAAGGGCTTGATTGGACTGATTTTTCAGACACATGCCAAAATAGCAACAGTAATTGCTCTGGTCATGATATGAAATGAAAAAAAATACAAATAGACTGGGTACTGCCCGTATTAGAGTCATTCCAGAGCACCACATCAAATGAGAAGAGTATAACGCGATACGTAGAGGCTGTATGGTCTATCGATCCTTTATCCCCTCAAAATGTGAGACTAGAAGTGCCAGAAAGGATACCAACGGATAGCTGATGTATAGTCGCCAAGTGAGGCGAGAGTGGAAAATATAAAGACTACAATGAGACGACAAGGAAAGAGAAGTGAGATATAGTGGGGGGAAGGTATTAATATAGCCATCAGAGAATAATAACTCACCAATAAAGACGTAGATAGACAAACAGCTCTATAAAGTGTTTGGAGTTTGACGGCTAGATATTATTTTTTTGGTTCATGGGGTGCAGACACTTAAATCTATGCCTATTAGTTGTCTATTCGATGCACATTGGGTGGGATGAATCGCAGTTAGAGAAACATATCACTTACGCTACAGCATGAATAGGTATCCAAGAAGGATCTAATATTAGACTGACTGATACCAATGGCCAAACACCATTATCTTGGGCTTTACGGCAAGGACATCTGTTGCTTGAATCCGGGAGTGGAATCAAAGGATTCTTCATACAGTTGGACACTATTGTGCAGGGCTGCACTTACACTCTACTGCAACTAAACAACATTAAATACAGGGTAAAAAGCCTAAGTAGATCAGGAAGGACTGCTTCTACTGCCAAACTCAGTAATTTAAAGCTCACTATTAAGTCGTCACAAAGCACGTCTTGGGTTATAAAATGACAGGATGCCAGCCTTGCCTCGAGCGCTCACCGCAATTTGGCAGAGAGCGATCCATTTTTCCAGTATACCCTTTTTCAGATTAACTCCCACCCTGGCAACATGTTCTGCATCGCAAGACTTCTCGAATCCTGGAGAGACGACATTTCCACGTCAGACACCAAAACATCAAAAGCTTTCGAGGCTACCAATGCAATAGTTTCAAAATATAAAAATGTTACACCAATGCTGCAGTTGAATCAGCCAGTAAATCAACCAGTGCGAGACGTTATCGAAGCTGAGAAAAAGTTTGGGATATCTTACTTCAGAGACTACTACGGCGTCGACATTATAGAGGGCCAGTTTCGTATAGTGTTTTCAGCTCGGTTCCAGCGTCGCCCTAAATATATTTATTTAATATCCTGCCCACAAGTGATTCGTGCCCCTAATTTTACCACCAATGATCGGGAGTTACTTCGAGTCAAACTTGAGAGTGTGATGGACCGTATACCAGAATCAGAATGGGACAAACTTAAGAATCGTTACAATATTACTCGAACCGAGTGGCTTGTTATTTCTGACGAGCAGGAAGAATTTGGGCTTTAGTTTTATTTTGTTTTCTCTTTTTTTTTTTTTTCTTCCCTTTTTTAATATATGTATTTGAAAGGATAATAAATACAAGCCTATATTACCTACCCCCATGGTACGGAACCTAAGACCAATCGAACTATATAGGTCGAGCACTAATTGTTTGGAATTACTTGTCACAGCAACGCGATGGAATCCCTTCTCGACCTAGTGCTGGTTTTTTAGTTTCTTTTCGATGGCACTCCTTTCCTACTGTTGCAGAGAACAGTCGGGCGAAAGTTCAGCCGGCCTTCGTCTATCAGCGACAACGTTTGAATACTTAGTTCAAGTTGGTCCTATGCTTAACGTCTAATTATCCAAGAGTCAAATTCTAGAAGACAGTACGGTATAGCGATATCGCAGATTAAAGAGACAACGAAGGTAAGATAAACCATAAAAGTGGAATGTTAGAGGCTGACGGATATTAAGATGCCTCAAAAAAATCCACGCGGAGCCTACGACACCACTGGTGTTATGAAACCAGGAGCATAACCCCCACCGCCCACTACCAGTGATATTGATGTGCGATTGGGGATATAGAGCTCTCAAAAGCGTGGATGCAGCGACCAATATCTACCCTGCTAAGAAACTAGGAACCCATTATCCAATAAAAAGAGGGAGCATCCATATCCAGTGCCCAGATATTTAGACACACCAGGGGGCAAACGTCTAAAAAAGTAGCAACCTAATAAGTTCCTTAGAAGGACGAGGCTGAGCCTCTCAATTTTTTTTTTTTTTTTCTTTTTCTTTTATCTCGTGCAGCTGGGTAATAGGCGCCTTATTAAAGTCATTCCAGACCTGACCTCTAAAGCAGCAGATTTTTTAAGCTTGCAGGCTATACTTTCAGTACTCCCTTGTCCCAGCCTAAGTTAAAAGAAATTATTTTATTTTTTATGTCCGCAGTGCAGGTCCATTATTATGCAATCCGATGAAATAAATTTGTGCTCTCCTCAAACTCAGCAAAACCATTATCACTTGGGACATAATAATAAAGAGCTCGAGCAACACAGCGTCCTAAACTGTGGCGTATCATGTTTAGGAAGGTGGGAAGCCCAATTTTCCGGAGTAAATCTAATACTAATATATACCATCCAGCACTATTTATGATCCAGTACGGGACTGTACGACCCATCACTACATTCCACCAAGTAACTTCCTATCGCACGCACAATCTGAAGACCGAGAGCCGCCTTTAGGGAATAAAGAGAATAAGTACTTTTGGACGGATTCTGAGATCCGAGTCTTAGAGAAGTGGCGTGGAAAGCCCCAGATTAACTCTGAGGATCTCGAAATGATTAAAAGGGATCTTTTGACTGAGACCGGTTCGGATAGAACTGCCCGGGCAATACGGCTGCAAATATGGAAAAGAAAACGAAAATATTATGATAGAAGCCCTAAAAGGTGGACAAAATGGACACAGAACGAAATTTCAATTTTACAGCCTTATATTTTGAAAGAGAGGTTTACTTGGGAAGAACTATCACGTATACGCGAGGAATTACAATCCAAGGGCTATGAGAGAAGTAATTATGGAATAGTGGGAAGGTTATACCGCTTACGACATAATAAAAACAAAATTAAAAGCTCTTGAGCGTGAGGTTCGAGAGACTGGCCTGCAGCTGTCCCATGTTGCTCATTCTCTCCTACCCCAGAGCTGGAGGCGATTCAAGCGAGGCAAGTGGGAGGAATGCATTGGCTTTCCATAAATTATTAAGGTCTTTGAGGCAGACTTAGCGGTGAAATTGGTGGATGTGATAACACCGTACATAGTTTATGCGTTCTACCTCAAATGCTACCTCCCTGTTGCAACTTATGCGTGCGGATCTATTTTAAACTGAGATAATAGTAGATGCATTTGCCTCGTCAGGGCTTATCAGAAGAATACTTATATTAAAGCTTAACTAGACTTCCGCAATACACTGGATGTTCAATGCTTTTGTTTTCGCTGTTAGTGAAAGGTGCAAAGGACAGCAAAGTGGATCATGCACACGTGCAGAGCTTTCGGAGCGCGGCACTGGTCTGTACTACTGGGTCACAATCAGGAAAGAGGGACGGACGCTGATTGGTCTGTTTTGGTATCCGCAGATCAAAGTGGCAGCGGATTACTGGAGCAACGGATGGGGGGCCCAACGGGAGAACAAACAAAATTAATGGTTGTAACCCTCAAAAATCACTCCTATTAAGGTTAGGCGATTTCTGGCAAAAACAAATAGCCCATCACCACCCCATCTTCAGTTGTACCTTAGTCACCGACCCACGTATCAATATTTATCCGCCACCGAGGTCACGTAGGTGGGAATCGGGCATCGAGGTTTCATGTTCCACGCTCTGTTGCCCCTCCAAAACCCCACTAAGTGAGCACTATGAGTTTTGCAAACGACTACAGGCTTGAAGAGACAATAAGATTCTGGTGAGTGTGCTCTTGTCTCCGTGTGGTTAAAGAGCATATACGGAATGTCTACTTACTGGGTTTCACTTAGCTATGACCTAAAATATATCAGCTAAACCGTTTCGCAATGCCAGCAAACCCTTCAGTGCCTCCCGCTGTTCTACCTATAGAAAGATTGACTACAGCTGAGAAGAGTAAAGCACGGGATGAAGTTGCAAATGAAGTCGCCTTATTAGAAATCCCGAAGGGCACGCCAGCCTGCCCTTATAACCCACCCTTTACAGAAGGAACTGCTTGCTCTCAACTTGTCCATAGGCTTCTCGTTGATTATAGAAAGGTGAGAGCGGGACTCGTTAAGCTTCATAATGATCTAACATATCAGTTGTAGCAAGCTAAGAGGTTCCCCGACCGCCCCCAGCAAATATCCCAATGCAGACAAGGAGGGCTGGTGTTTTTCCCAGGCACCACACCTATCGGTACGAACTTCATGATAATCGACCCACTATTCGTGGAAGGCAAATCAAGTATTGGAGATATAGACGTCGATATGAACCACTATTATATAGTTTTAAGGGAGTGTGACGTGGTCGTCCAACCAGGAGGCAAACTGGTTACCTTAGCTATGTCGGATATTGGGTGATATAAGATGCTATAGTCCGGTAGACTCGGCTACACTGGGTCTGGTGAGGGATTAGTTGGTGCGATCCATGTTCACAGATAAGATTGTACACTACCGTTGCATAGGCATTTCAGCATTTTGCAGAATATTATTTGATGATTGAACAACGTCGAGATTTCCGGTTAATTTGTCAGTGTTTGTGAAGTCAAATGATTCCAAATCAAATGTTTGCATCAACTGCGACGCGCTTAGAAATGACGTCACACCAAAAGACTGCATGAGTTGTGCTGCGTTGACAGCATCTTGATTGAAGATTGAAGGAGTTTCGTTCCCTTTATTCGCTTCAGGTGTGGAGGGATGGAATTCCTTCTCTAGAGACACTGGATTGGCTTGATGGACGGAGCCTATAAGAGTATTGACCGCCATATTGTCATTCGAAAAACCAATAGCGTAATTTGTTGCATATCCAGGGCGCGCGTAACGTCCTAGAATCGGTCAGTAGTAGTTTAAACGTAAGGTATTTTGTCTAACCATTAGATGTATCAGAGGGATCCCGCGTAGATTGGCCTCTGTAAAACTTCCGTGTCTTCTTCCGCTGACTTCTGACATTAGCCCCCGCTCGTTTCTTAGTTACTTTGTGGGCTTTCACTGATGGACGGGGCATTATCCAAATTGGCGCGAACGTTGCCAGTTGTGCTCTAAAGCAGCTGACCGCATCATTTATAATATTGTTACCGGCAGTTTCTGGATCGGTGTCCACGTTGAAACCAATACCTTTAAGATGAGATATAACGGTGCCGGCATCATTAGCTGTGGTGAGATATTTTTCGTATCTTATATTTGTTAGCATGAAAGAAGTAGGTTAATAAAATGCAAGATACTGCTTACATGCTAGACGGGACGGCGAACATATAAAAGATAAAACCATAGCCCATCTTAGAGGTGTAGTGAGTATACCTCGATCCTCTAGTATAATCATCTCTCAAATTCTCTATGATGTCTTCCAATTCGCCATTGGCAGTATGACTTTTATCATTCAAGATCAATGCTGCACAATGCTCCGCAACTTGCTTGCTAAAGCACGTGTGTCCAGACTGTTCTATCAATATGCAGAGAATTCTGTATACTGCAATAGAGTGAAACGCTGAACGGATACTATTTGCAGTTCTGTTTCGTTGTTTCCCATAATAAAGGTCGCTTAGAATGCACTGGTGAGTTGGCTTGTTGTCCGTACGAATGCCATAGCGCCAGAAAAGAGAACCATTATCTTTGTAGAGGCTAATGGCTTCCAAGGCCAGGTCAGGGAGGGTAATCTGGTCTGCACCCAGATTCTGTATTCGTTCAAGCGCATCTTTTTTCGACCGTACTGCACGAACTTCTGTGGGCGAACCTCGAGGCTTTCGCCCAAACGCTACCTGCAAAGGTTCCCTTACATCCAGAGGCAGTATGTCTCTATTTGATGCAAGAAAATCTGCCATCTGAAGTCGTTAATATTTAATGTAGCGTACAACGTTAACCACGTACCTGCCTCAGGAACCCAGCGACATCGATATGTCCAGCATGGAGGGCCGCAGCACCTAGCCGGACCTTGTTATTGAGGTCATCCATCTTTTGATGAATATCATAGGAATCCAAGATGGTTTCCCACCGCTTACTGTCTCGCATCAACAGATAGCGGTGGTCGAGCGGTCACCTGGGCGATCATTAAAGCAGTTCACAGTACCAGTATCCATCCCCTATCTGAACCCCGCACACTAGCCGCATTTGTAAAAAATGCCTCCGTCTGGAGGCATTTTTTACAAATGCGGCACACTGCTAACTCACACCTTCTATTACATGACGCCCCAAACACTGTGGCACCCACTATAGAGTCGTCACAGTGTCGTGCATGAATATCGATGTCTACACTGAGGTTTGCCGTATTAGAAGCTGTGGTTGGTGTTCCTTATGCAAGCCAGGATAACTCATTCGATTCTACCCTGTTCCGCTCTTCACTTCTACTGCTAAACTCGGTAATTCGAAACTCACCATCCAGGCGTCACAAAGCACAGCTTGGTCTATAAGATGTCAGGATGCTAGCCTTGTCTCTAATGCTCACCGCAATTTGGCACAGACAAATCCTTTTTTCAGCTATTTTTTGTCCATAGCAGCTCTCGCCCCGGCCCAACCTCTTTTGCTGGCGAATCATGTCTTGCCTGAACATCCAATCCCTGCATGCTACGACTGCACGCTGGCTGGGGCAGCTTCTCCCTGGCCGCTTAGCGGGTATAACTGACCTGACCAGGACCCAAAAAATGGAGGTGAAGTTCAAAATCGGCCTCCTGCTCCTGGCCAGGCCCGCGTAGACCCACAGAGTGAGACCAGTGAATACTCGCGTTATGAGCTACCGTCGTATGGCGGAGAACGGCCACGTCAAAGTGAGCCAACCAATGGACAAATTTGTTCTTTGTTTCCTCAAGAATCGGATATAATACCCGCATGCGCAGATACACATCGGGGACCATCGGTTCCCGGACGAAGCGAAGAGACGTCATCAAAAAGTGACGGGACTATCTTACTCCCAAGTCTTTCCGAAATGGTAAGTGAGCTAGAGAGGACTGCGTCTTGAATGAAAATATCTGCAATCAGATCGAGTTTTGGCTTTATTATAGGGGCGTGCGCTATGGTCCTCTTTCGGAGCCATACATGATGTTTAGAGTGATATATTACGACAAAAATACCGGGAAAGTGTACTGTCCATTACCATTTTAATGAGGAGGAGCCTCACCTGCAAGTGCACTGAGTGAAAGTGGTACATGGGGCCCAAGGAATATCATGGAGAATGCGGGTGTTTCATTTACAGATAGCTTTAGGGAGAGTATATGGCCAACTTCTTATACTCTACACAGCTAAATATGGTATAGATACAATCTTTATACACCTTCAGAACAACGAGGGAGGGGATTATACTCTCGTACCAGTCCCATTTCCACTTCGTGAGCTCTGCGAAGAGATGTATTCACTGCAGAAAATTACCTACGCAAAAATGTACACCGCATTGATAAAGTACAATGCAGTAGAGACCTTGAACTACCCACTTGGCCAGACGATGGCAAAATTGCTCGTATTGCTATTTGTCTCAAGAAGTGCGTGTCTGGGGACACCAAGGGCAATTGGCTTTGAATAGAACTGATGCAATCCTGCAAATCGGAATTTTAGACGATTTTCAGCATCTACATGAAGATACGTCGGGGAATTGGATCATCGCAGTGTCTCTTCTGGGCTATGGGCCTAAACGTTCCGCGATGGGATCGCTTGACCGGCTTGCAAAATTATTATTTAGAGTGACCTATTAGATTGCTTAACTTTACATAAAAACCAATCAGACACAATATAATGTCTTTGTATTTTTGGCTCTATATTGACGTTTCCAGCTTGATAAGGCTGTAATTTAACCGATGTACAAATAAATATAAGCCTATACCTACCAACATGGTAGAAGAACTGCGTCCAACAGAACTATATATTCAAAGATAGGGATCATTTGTCACAGCAACGTCGATGGAATCGCTTCTAGAGCTATTGCTGGTTTTTTGGCTCCTTTTTGTTATCGTGGCCCTCCTCTCCTACTTCTGCAGAGAGCAATTGGATGGAAGCTCAGCTGGCTTTCCCCTACCCATAACAAGGTTTGAATACTTCTAATTTAAGTTGGTCCTATATTTGAGGCCTAATTATACAATAGTCAATATCCATCAAGAAATAGTGCAGTTTAGCGATGGCATAGAGTAAAGTGAGAAGCAAGGCAAGATAACTATAAAATCTAACGTTAAGATACAGATACTGACTGATTTTTAGGACGTCTCAGGCTAGAATAAAGATAGACGTGGGGCCTACGAACCACTGGTGTCATGAGCACCACTTCCGCCGGATACTACCAGATGAAGAATATCAGTATATGTTTTATGGACAGCTAGTTGTATTATAATGTTGTACATAAAAATGTAGGCCTCGTGTGTTCTTAAATTTTGGGTCAAACTTACCAAAATATCATTAGCACGTATAAAAAGAAAAAACAAGTTGGGGGCGGGCGAACGGAGGTATCGTGAGAGTGCAGCTATTTAATTCTTAACCATATAGCTCCTTTCCTGCTGGGACTCCAACTATATGTGCCAATTTTATCGCGGTTGATAAACTTTGTTAATATTCCACGAAATTGAGTTGCTCTGAAATAAGTAAGTTAATACACGATAGACTTCACACTTTACTGACAGCTGGAATTACTCGAGAGGAAGGAAAAGGATGCGGCGTGAAAGATGGCAATACTATACCGGATAACAGGAAGAGTTCTTGGGATGCTGTTTTTTGGGCTCCATACTGGAACCGGGTTTTCCCTCTTGTATTTTGTAGCATCAGCCAAGATATAGAGTCACGATAAAATATATCCAAGAAGCCATGCACTGGATTTCCCTTCAGCCGACTTTGAACCGGACTCTACCCTCTTTGTTCCAATTCTCTAGAGCTTTTTTTTCCTTTTCCTTTTCCTTTTCTTTTTTTTCTTTTTTTTTTTTGGTTCCATTTTCTAATTGCTGTGCACAATACCTGCTGATCTCCAACCATGTAAACACTTTCTATTTATATATGGCCAATAACAAGTAGAAATAATGCTCCCCTCCGTTTTTGCCTTCGACAAGATGCGAGGTTATAAACAAGCCTGTAGACCGCAATTTTGAGGTACTGAAATTCTCGTAGATAGTTCATACTCATTGCTTGGTATCCATTCGTTATTCTCACGTTGTTCTCTTATTAATTGTGCAGCAAGTATCAAAACTGCGCCGAAGGAACTGCATCCCCCTAACAAGTTGAAGAAAATTCAAAAGAAGAGGGCCCAAAACAAAACAAGGAAACAAAGCAAGCGGAAATACACCTAGTCAACGGCCACCAGATGTCCACTCCAATTATCTGGTCACCAGCTGAATCGTTGCAGATGCCTTTAATTGTCACCTTGGCGCCGGCGAAAATAGCCCTTATTGCTATCATATCGTCACTCATGCGGAGCCCTCAAGACCCGGAGACATGCCCATTTTTCAATGAAGAATATGATTTTCCAAAGGAACCAATCGATTGGATTACAAAGCTAGATGGCGGGTTAAAGGAAATACTAAACAAGTCTGGTGAAAATGGTGCAAGGCTTTTAGCTGCCTTTACATGGGATTTTGAGGAAGGAAGACTTCCGAATAATCATGATATCAGGTATAACTGTTTAACTTTTTAAGTACGTTTTCCTGCTAACTCTTTTCTTTTAAAGCCCAAATGCTTGTCTGATCCATGCTATGTCGAATTGGTGCCAATATCGAGACACTCTCTACCATGAGGTCGCACGCCATTACAAGAATACAATCATTGACCTTGTTCAGATGAGCGTAAATTCTCCCAATGCCGATTTTGAGCTCGATGAGCAAGACAGGGTCAAAGTTAAATTTGTCAGGGAAGCTATTGTGGAGATGGCCGGGCACATTACCTTCGATATCGAGAGTCATGCCGACGACAATAGCAAGGACATGGAAAAACTCATCAAAGCCATCACCAATGATCTCTCCGAAAATAAAGAGGTTGCTAAGAAAGATTTCGTCAAGGAATTTATTATCAAGTGCATTAAAACCAATACTTATGTCAAGGGCTAAACCTCTATAACCTAATAACTAGGGTGGATACAAAAGGAATCGTCGAAGAGGAAAGAGAAGAGGAAACAGCGATGAGACGATTGCGAAGTAAGGGGGGGGAAGTCACATGATAGAGTGTACTAATCAATATACTAATCATGTGGCAGGCGAGGAGAAAGGAAACACGAGGGCTGAGGGCCCGAGTAGGCTGAGGGGCTCTAGCCCCTTACAACTTACTCTGTATGTCAAAAAGATATATATAAATACTCGGGACTGATGTTGGCATCGCAGGAAGAGGTTGAACTCTACATTATTAAAAGGATGATTGCCACAGCTCTCGTAAGATTCCTTGTTTTATTTTAGTACATTTCTAATTTGCAAAAGGATGGCTTTAGAAAGCAGGTCAAGGACTTATTAAATTCCAACGGCCTCACAACCGTGCTCTAAAATCCCTTCTTTTTCCCACTGCCATTCTCTTTGCTTACAACAAAATCCATCAAAATATCCAAGAAGAATGTAAGCTTTATTTTTATTTATTTTTTTTTTAAACCATTACTAGTTGCAGCAACTTTGATAGAAACTTTCCCTTCTTTCCTACTGTCGCAGAAGCAGCTGGAAGGATTCCTATTCCAAGGATTGTATAATTTCATATCCAATTCTTCAGAAACAACCCGGCAAACATTCTGGTAGACTTATTTCACGAAGAGAGGAAGGAAAAGGCTGACATATCAGGAATGCAGCAGGATTTTTTTGGTAGTTAAACTGATAGGGAAAAGGAATTGTAGAATGGTTGATTAACTTACTTGCCTGTCCTCAAGCACGATGTATTTATAAGGTAGCAGCAGAGAATTAATTCAGCCTCAAGGCGTTAAGGTGGGAATGGGACTCATGCAGGAGAAAGCGGTCAGGTTCAGCTTCTCTTCGCCTACTCTACCGTATGTGACGGGTGCACATGGTCTGTTTGCATTGTTTGTATCTAATTAAATTATTTACTTCTCCGCACCGCCCCCTGGGCCCTCACCACCTTCTTCCTCCTCCCTGCGCATGAAATTTTCGTTGAGATAGCACCAATTTCATCAAATTGCTTGGCCGTCACACCATGACTCGGCCAATAATAAACAACTATAATTTGTAAATTTATACCAAGCTTGAAAACTTAGGACTGCAATACTTTGAAGTAGCTGTGAGAACTAATGGGCTATCAAAGATCTACGTTCGGTTTTTGGATTTTGGTTTTTTCTTTTTTTTTTTTTTTATAAAGTTCCAGAATACTTAGAGTGTGAGGGTAATTATTTGTCATTTCTGGACTGATTAAATGTTAGGTGAACAACTCGTACACTATTAACAATTCACTGGAATGCACTTTTTGTACTATAGTTGTTGTGTGTTCATCGACTGACACAACCTGTAGATGGAGGCTGTGCACTGGAGCCATGTGATGGAAGACAGGCTAGGATTAGGTTTGTGCAAGCCCCTGATAATGAACTAATGCTGGTAACACCTCGCCCTACACAGGGCATCGCAATTTTGTGTGGTAAGCTGCAGAATGTCCAACGGACAAGTATGTATCAGTTTTGGGCGCTTGCGATGCTAGCTAATAAAATTAACTGTCTACTGCAGTATTTTACTTCCACCCCTTGTGGTCATGGCAATCACATCCTAGACATATTGATTGTGACCTGTAATCTGAGTAGCGTCTTTAGTTCACCTAACTTATAAACGAGTTAGGGAGCACGTCCCGTAACATTAGGTCAAATCATAAACAGAGACCCTGCTGGATCAATTGTCGCAGGAATCGCGGCATGCAGGAGAAAGTGACCCGGCCTGCTTCACCTACTCCACTGTGACACGCCAATAATAAGTGAGTATAATTCGATTTATGTTCTATGTCAGTGGTTTTGCTTTTTCTGATCCACGAAGCTCCTCCACCTTCCTTGTGTTATTACGTAGTATGTAAGAAGTCATATACCTACTGGCAATTCGAAAAAAATGCCAGTAGGGCGCCTAAAAACCCCTGGACCCTAGTTGGAACACCTAACCATCATCAATTCACTGGGATACTCCTGTATTACAGCTGTTGAACTTGCCCCTCTGGATCCGACGCATTTATCTTACTCTTGGAGACTTGTAGGAGGCAAATTGAAACAACAATCTTCCTGAGGCTTACTATGGCGACTTGGACCTAACAGGTCGAATGAGTGACGAATGATATTAATATGTTGAAGGTACATACCGTTGTAAGCTGGGCCCACAGACACGGCTTCCTTCCAGCGAAAATTGTTGAGCCTAGTAAAAGTAGGAACACTCCTATTGACCCCAATGACGCCACCCATAAAACGTGTTTATGCTTGGGTGCTGTGTGACATGGATGGCGCCAAAATAATTTGAAATCCCCCGTCTCTATATGCGCTGGCTTTACGCATATAACCCAGAACCTGATAAATTGGGCATAAACAAATGTTAGGCCAGAGAGATTGAGTACCATGAATACTAAAAGTAAGATAGTGCGATGTGACTGAGCTAATTGTTAACAAAAATCCCGGCAAACCAGTGTTAGGCATGATAAAAGCGCACCAGTAAATATATACACAGCGATAGAAAGATCACTGAAAAGACGAGAAAAAATCCAGCAACCATATTACTTAATCGGGACTGCACAGCACAAATACCCAGATACTAAAGAGAGTCAGTTTCGTTCTTCATCTCAGTGCTTGACTAACTTCATTTAAAGTAAGCAAGAGCTGAACGCAGCCTATATCTAACCCTAAAATTGGCCGAGGAAAATCTGAGAGATGTCTAAGAGTTAATAGATATAATCGAATGAGCTGTTGTACGTACCGCTGTTGGAGTTCGCTTGTTGAATTGCGAGAAAGCAAGAAACGATCAACCCGATAATAATAACTCCACCTACAACAGCCTGACCAAGAATGAGCAGGTTTTTGCTGAACGCTGTCTGATTTGCAGCCTTAATCGACAGGAGCCAAAAAACAAGACTTGCCCCGGAACAGGTCGAAGCTGCTGCTGATGCACAAAGTTGAAATATCAATTGAGGATCCATCTTATTATCTCTGCTTCACCAACAACTGGGAAAATGTGATCCTCCAAGTACCTAAAACAAACCTACGTTCCATCGTCCTATTTTATGCTCAAGATAGTAGCTTATAGATAGGGGATTTAATGTTCTACAGGCCATTGATATAAAGCTAAGAATTAGAATATATAATCAATAATCATTATCTGACTTTGCATCTCCCCTTTACCCATTGCTAAACTTGTACAAACAGCTAAAACTTTAGGTTTCTTACATTAAGTGTGTCGTAGCTTGCTGTGGAACCCTAATCAGATCTCGGACCGGATTTTCAAGTCGCCGAGACAGATTGCCTGGCACGAAGCAAATGTGGTAAAATGTAGGCTTTCAGACACCAGACCACTTACTGAGTGCCAGGAGAGGTTGAAGCTACAATCTTGAATCTCAGACATCAATTAGGGTTCGCAAGAACCACCAGAACAGAATGGAATTTCTGCTTTCGAATCATGCTTGCATAAATTTGCAATCCGAACAGTTCGACGTGCACTTTCTACCCGATTAGGCCGCGAAAATTCCTGTCATGTGACAATTGCCCCTCTTATCCGAAAATTCACATCTTTGGATGAGCAATAAAAACAGAAGGTAACACAACTCCCATTTATAAGACTCGAAATTCGACACCAGATTTCCTTCGATTCCTAAAGGCGCTCTATTCGTTCTCCTGAAATGTCCAGCACTGTTGGGTCTATAGCAGAGGATGATGTCCAGTATGACATAAAGGGCTTTAAATTGTTTCGAGAGGCGGACTACGCTAGGAAAATCACGGGAAAAGGCGAATCAATAATGATTTATGATCCGAAAGTGGACTATGATTCTCCTCCAGTTTGGGAACACGCCTCGAAGGAAGTACCAGCAACAAAGGAAGTAACCTCAAGAGTACCTCCTGGATGCCGAGTTCGTGTGATAGGAGCAGCAGTGACTTTCACGCGCGAATAGCCTCTACCTCCGCTATTACCTCCAATCCGACTTCATGACCGACCGTTAAAGTGATGGAAATATCATGGTTTCGATCCTTGGGAACAAAGAAATTCAGACAATCTGTTCTGTCCAAAATATCCCCTTCTAAACCGCCAACATTGTTCAAGAAGACTCTGCGTTCCCATTTCCATTGCACGCTGCTCTTTATTGCCGTTGGGAGCCTGTCAATCAAAATCGGCAGGTTACTAATCGGCATTGACGAACCTTTATAATCGATTTCTACTATCTTAATTAGTATTGTGGGTGCATTGCATGGTGTTATCATTACTTACGCTTGCTTCGCTCGATCAACTGCATTTGTTGCTGGCTGTCGTCTTCCCTCAATGTTTTATAAGATCCTTCTTGATAGCTAGAAGTTTCTGTTGAATGTTTCCGCTTAAGTGAATCCGTACATGCCTTATGCTGAGCTACCTTTTTGGCGAAGTTCTCGAACGGCATACTATTCTTCAGAGGTTCTTCTTTTTTTAAGTACTCCAAAATTTCGACTATACGGGCTGGGACTTGACTCATTTCTTCCATCTTTAGCTCTTCAATGAGAAAGTAGAAGGTGTTATCGCTCATGCCCACTGAACTGCTCCAAGCGGATGGCTGAATTTTTATTGACCACAGGAGGATCAAGTGATGCGTTTGAGCGCGAAGTGTCTCGCATCTAGTTCGAGCTTGGTTTTTTCTGGCTTTTGTGGCGCTAGTGTCAAGTGCGGAATCAAGTCGTGGTCCTTGGAATAGGAGAATAAGATTCCTCTTAAGAGTTGCCCCAAGCGACGGCATCACCTGTCTAATATCTTTAGCGGAACGAACTTGTTCTGCAAGGTTTATATCTTTCTCTGTCGGGGCCCTTCTGCGCAATAGGATTTCCAAATTTTTTTTAATTCTCTCCGAAGCTGCTTCCAGTTGTACGCTCAAATTTTGAAACTCTTTTAGTTGGTCCCAGCTCGGGCGAATGTTGGAGCTCAGCTTGGAACTAACAGATTCCATGTGGGCCAGGACGACCGAAAGCTGTGCTAATACTGCTCCGGCAGACATATTGGCAATTGGAGCAAATCTGATGCATCTGAATGCCTTCTGGCTCACCCAGAATTGATGAGCTGTTCGTTTATTTAAGTACTTGCCAAAGCGCTAGGAAGTGCCATTTGAATACCCGATTGGATAATTATGGCTGAGCCACGGCGATGAAATTAATTTTTGACTAGCGCATGATTCTCTAGACTTATCAAAGTAGATGAGCAGCCGTGTGCTGTGTAGCCAATTACTGGCTACCATGCACTAAAATCCATGCAGCCGTAAACTAAAGTGGGAATGTGACAAGCTGTGCATATGCAAAGCAAGCGGTCGACACCCATGTCAAGGGTGGGAAGCTCCTCTCAAACCATCTGCAGCAAGTATACTGGCTTGAATACTATCCAAAGCATAACTTCTCAGTGATCTACATAATCCGACTATAGATATAGATAATCTTTTTGTGGCAAATGTGCCCCTTGAAAACTCAAGGTCAATCAAGACGGACATTATCCACCCAAGCAGCCCAAACATAAAAGGAAGAATCTTTCCCTCCGAGTGCTAGTTTGTAGCAGCCCAGAAGTAAAACTTTTCATTTCTCGATCCTCGAGAGCAATCGCAACTTACCACCTTGCTTCCGTCCATTATATCCATCTTCGACGCGTATTAGGTGCCCCCCAGGTCACTCAAAGTCAAGTCAATATCAACTTCATCACAAAAACCTTCTTCATATTCCACAAGTACCTTCAAATAGTCACCATGATCGCTACCCGCAAAGAAGTCAACGCTTCCACTTCAATCCCCCAAGTCGTTGACCACGCCCGTGGAAGTAAACCTTTCCCAAATACTGTCATCGCCAACCTGGAGCCAATCGTAACTGACTTGGTGAAAAGAGCACTGTCTAACCCAGCCACATGGCCTGGTGGGCAGCCGGCCACTCCTGTCTGCTCCCTCGCCCCCTGTACGCCGCCGCTTGATACGGATGAGCTAGAAAAGCAGTTAATATACGCTGCTGGTACCAGGGGTCAGTCAGATCCCGAGGATTCTGGCATTTTCGAGACCAGTGTTGTGGCTGAGAAGCGAAATGGTCCTAATCTTCAATCTGAAGCTGATATGCCGTACATCCCTCCGCCTGAGTTTGTCACGATGACCCAGTTGAAAGAGCTTTTCGAAGCTGTCCTTGAACATAAGCCTCAATCTACTTCCGACGGTGTGGAGATTGGCCCAGTAGCGAACGACCAGAACAGAGAAAGGGTTCGAGTATCCAGGCCAGACTTTAAAGTCATATTGGAGACGTACAGTTTCCCCGTCTAAGCCTCGGTGCTTCAAGTTTACTGACCAGCAATTAGGTGGAATATTGAAGCATCCAACTACAAAATTGTTGAGTCGACAGGGATCGAAAAAGAGTTGGATAGCCTGGATGAATATGTCTTTGTCGTCCGTAACCGTGTTGGTAGGTTTATACCTAATCACAATCCAGAACGAGGCGATTAACAACACACATAGATAAGATGTCCGGCGAGACTACAAATTTTATAGACGTCAAGTCAGAAGCCCTCAGGGATATCTTTCGGGTCGTACTGCAAAATGTCCGGGCAGCGAGTTTGATGGAGGACAAGCCATCGGTATGTCATGTCAATACTTCAAAATAAGCAGACACTAACAAATTCAGATTGAGCAAAACATCCTATTTCACTTCCTACCGGAACTCCTCGACTACATACAAAAGATCAAGGGCGCCGAAGATGACAACCGGGACCCCATACAGCTGGAGCATCTCACACTGTTTACTAATTATATGAAAGAAGCATGCGCTTCCACCTCACAGAGAGTTAGCTCTCTTTTGCAGCATCGAAAAATTACATACGATCTTCTCTGGGCGCTCTTCAAGCCCGGTGGCCTCGTATACTCCACCTGCTTTGGAACCGGTAAACCCAGGTGTGTCATATTTGACGCTGGGGAAGAGGCAGTTTATGGTGGAGTCACATATTACAAGCTGAATTGCAGGTACCTGGACTTTGACGGACGAGACTTCGGCGAGGCAGGCGTCACACTTGGAATTGAGACGTTCCGGGGAGCCAAAGTGATTGACTCGCTTGAGGCTTTCCCTCTAGATTACCACCCTGACTCCAAACAGGTCCGCCACCGTCTCGCCGAGTGTGGTCGAAAATTCTGCAAGTTAACTGGCACCCATATTCAGCATTGCGATGGCACTGCTTTTATCATGAGGGAGGGGAAACCGGTTCAACTAAACATCAGTAGTCGAGTGGCAGTGGATGCTGCCTTTTTCACACAGATGAAACCAAATTACTCCAGGCCTCGCATTCAAGACATACGGCAGAACAAGAGTTCAGGAATAAATGTACTTGATCTGGAAACCTTGTTTGGAGGTCAGGCGAGCGAAATCATGCAACAGAAGGGCGTGGAAGTACAACAGATGACAGATGATGATTTCGCTGTCTGCTCTCCCACTGTTCGATGCTTTAGCTTCAGGGAAAAAGTATTCCGTGAGTCACCTCCAATACTGAATCTAATGTGGGGCAAAACTGACTCCTGACCAGTGGAATGTGCAGTCTCTGATCTTCATGAGGTGGAATGGTCTCCAGAGTCATTCCAGTGCCTCAGAATCCCACAAAGTGCGAAGAAAATACTCCTGTCTCTGGTAACTACCCGCCTGGGTCTGATTCCGACAGTGCCATTCGATGATGTTATCGAAGGGAAAGGGCGTGGGATCAACATACTCTTACAGTAAGTCGCTGATCCTCGCTTGTCTACTCCATCTCACATTACCCTTCAGTGGTCCCACGGGTGTTGGAAAGACATTCACTGTTGAGGCAACAGCAGAGTGGTTCAAGCTCCCTCTTTATTCCGTAAGTGGATATCAATATCGTTAATTCTTTGCTGAACAATTCTAGATATCGGCCGGTGAATTGATTGTGGAACACGGCGACCCTCGTGCACTGGAGCGTCAGCTTGACGTCATATTTAAGATCGCAAAACATTTTAATGCGGTTCTTCTCTTGGACGAAGCAGATGCATTTATGGAACGACGTACCTCCTATATTGATGGGCATAATCGCCTCTTGACTGTTTTCCTTCGCAAATTAGAATACTATGAAGGCATTCTTTTCCTCACTTCGAACCGGGCCATTGACTTTGATGACGCCATATTGAGCCGAATCCATCTTAAAGTCAAATATGAAGATCTCACGAAAGAATCTCGACGAGAAATCTGGGAGCATTTCCTCTCCAAAGCCTACACCCCTAAAGGATCTAGCATCTTCGAAGTCGATGACCTCAAGCGCTTGGATTCCATTTCTTTAAACGGACGAGAGGTAATGTACCTTTTGCTATATATGATTGCCGCCTATTGACGTGAACCAGATCAAAAACCTGGTTTCCATCGCACATTCACTGGCTACAGTCGACGACGAATGCATGAGCTATAAGCACGTGGAAACAGCGGCAAAGTCGAATGAAAAATTTATGAACGACTTCAGTAAATCAGAGCATCTAGAGAGCATGTACACCTAATCACTCCGCTAGAACTAATGCTGTGTTCCGACGTGATTAATATTCTTCACTCACATCCCCATTCGGCGAACGTTTTATCAATGTAGTTAGTCGCCCTTATTGCGAGATCATATGTGATAATCAGTCCCATTCTAGTATTCGAGGACTATTCTTCCGTCAAGTGGCGTGAACGACTGATAGATTGCCCTTTTTCTCCTGATTCTGGGTTCATAATTGGAGCATACATAAGTCCAAATTTAGCTAGTGTTTAGGGACTTCTGTACCTAGTACCTGTCAGATATACGGCTAGTCCCGAAGAGGAAATAGAGTACGATTGGTAAAAAGGTCTTGATTATTTTGTTGTGTGTTCCGCGGGGGCCAAGCATGGGCGCCTGCCCGGGTTCGACCTCGCTTAGTCATCATTTATATAAGCTAGCTCTTAGTAACTAACTAGTTAGTAGCGGCCACCAGGCCACCCATTCAATAGAACAAGCAATCACTTCCAACATCCACCAACAGCCATACAGTACTACGTATTTGACACTATGTAGTTAGTGTTATGAATATGGGATCGGCCCGAAGGATTAACCGAAGCAACGGCGAAGTCCTCGCTTATATATGTCTTCCCACAGACGAAATTCCTGTGTACTAACTAAGTTCGCTCATCCAATTCAATGGCTTAGTTCACTCTATTCAATGCCAATTCCTCTGACCTACTGTAGATTCACAGCAGTTAGTCAGCTCACCCGAGCGCCCTTGAATTGAAGCGAATAGTGCCTCGCGAGCACCCGAATCTAGTCACATGATTCTGGTCCACCAACAGACATATTATTTGACAGTTATTACATACTATTTGTCCACAGTCTACGCGGAGATAGACCGGAAACCCGCCAAGAATCCAAGTCTAATATATTACGGTAATACACGTGAAATTTTGGAATTTAATATGAAATATTATGTAATAGTTGTATATGTTACAGTTATTTATTTTTCTTGGCGGGGTTTGGGTCGGGGATCGAAATCCTACCGACTAATTGCACATGATAGGTTGAGTCATAGCTGTATTGAACGTTTGTGTCAGGAACATCTACCCATAGGTTTTTCTCCGTGGTACCTGTGCATCACAGCTGTTGAGCGCACCCATGCAGAACCGGCACGTTTGGCCCGCCCTCTGCGGTTCGAAGGAGGTAAATTGAAACGACAACCTTCCTAAAGCTTATTATGGCGACTTTATACACTTGGGGATAGTTGAACCTAGTAAAAGTAGAAACAGTCCTACTGACCCTAAGGACACAATCCACAGAGTATATACGTTTATGCCTTTTGTACGAATCGGGGGGCCTCTTTAGTGCTATGATTAGTAGTTCTGGTCTCCTGTGACAAGCCTCTTACCGGGGTTTCGTTGACTGGCGCCAGCCAAATGGCAGCAAGGACTCAAAACTAAGCTGGCATACGACTCAGTATGTGGCAGGCCAAAAGCATGCATTAGCGCATGTCGGGACGCGATTTCTTTTACATCAATTTAACCATCAACTTCTCATCCCACCATTTTCCAGGACCCTGCCCTATTTAAGAGGCCAAACCAACAGACATTTTACTATATTAATCAAAATCACTACTAATCAATCCCCTCGACTCCAAACCGTTGCGACAACAAACTCATAACTTACCAACTCATAACTTACCACTCTAACGTCTACCCACGATGTCTGGCATCGATCCCAACGCTCGAAGGGAAGTCAACCACGCGCTCATTAGCTCTGGGAGCGCCGCCGTCGGACAGATGGTTGACACCGCCAACTCCTCTGTTGAGAAGCGTCGTAAGAGCAAAGAGGAGCGAGAGAAACGCGAGGCTGAAGAGAAGGCTGCCAAGGAGAAGGCAGACGCCGCTGTTCGTCCTCAAGTCCCAACCCCCCAACCCTCCAAGAAGTTGAAGCCCCAGGATCTGCTATGTGCTGACAGTTATCAATATCAGAAGGGCGGCGCCTCCGGCTAGACGGCTCTCTCTCCCGTTGCACCCACAACTTTCCCTCCCATCAGTCGTTACTGTCTTTACCATTTCGGATTTTACACTTCCAGATCGGGTAGGCCTGCTCCGGGGAGGGGGAATACTTTGGCAAACCCTGCGCTCCTTGGTCCCTTTGTCTTGACTGAGTTTGACCTTTGTTGGCATTTTCAGGAAGCTTATCGAGTGTTTCTCGCGCGGAAGCGCTTCGTATCTTCTCCATCTTGATTATAGTATACCTATTTAAAAATCGTTGTAGGTGTAGGTGAAAATCGATTATTTTATTAACTTTTTGCCGAGGTCCTCCAAAATTTGTGACCAAGTCAAATTCGAAGTCAAAAGCGAAGTTTTTCAAATTTGTCAATCAATCCCATGTAACTAGGTGCGCCCAGTATGGGAGCCGCGCCAAGACAGCTGCCGTGACACCTAAGGCAGTCAAAGCTCGTGCACGACCAACCATAAAATCGGGCCACAGCCCCCTCGCGCGTCTCTGGACCAGCTCACTCAATCATCAAAGCCGTATCCCCCAAGTGGTCGTCCTTAATCATTAAAGCCTTCTCTGATGTTATGGACACCAACGCACTTATCGATCTTGTCCATGAGATGGAGGGCCAGCTTTGGGTGGACAAGGTGAATGAGACCCACAGAACAAGCCGTCTCTGCCAGTGGGTGTCAACTTTCCATCCCGACAAGCTTGCCTGTCAACTTGACGGTACCTTTCACCATGGCGCATTTAATGCCGGCATGAAGATGGTCTTCAGTGACAGTACTACCTGGATGGTTCGTTTCCCTCGTGTTGGGATGGTCTGTGACAACTACACCGACGAGAAGGTTGCAATGGAGGTGACGGCCCTGAGTCTCATCCATAACAAGACTACCATTCCCGTCCCGAGAGTCCGGGCGTGGGGTCCCGCTGCCAACAACCCACTTGGTCTAGGTCCGTTCATCATGATGGACTTCGTTAACGGTGTGGGCCTTGGCGACCTTCTCCGGGACCCCAACGCCGAGCGCCCTAGTAGAGTCATGAGGGAGGACATCAGCGATAGTGATATTGAAGTTATCTACAGGCAGTTGGCGAATTTTTTGCTTCAGCTTTTCAAGCTCAATTTTGACCGGATCGGCAGCCTGCCGTCGCCACAGGCTGAAGCCGAAAGCCTTACACCGCCACGGCCGCTAACGTTTAAGGCTCATAGCATCCTACAAAATGGAGGAGTCAACACTTTTGGTATGTCTTGTTGCCTTTCCCCTTCTCTTCCCTAATGCTCTGATCGAGTGTGTTAACTAAGCAAATGATATCTAGGGGACCGAGCCCAGGGGTTTGCGACGACGACCGAGTATTTTCAATATGTTGTCGGGCAGGACTGGGAGCAGCTCGTTCACCAGCCGAACTCGACTGTTGGTTTGTATGATGCTAAAAACAAATATGTGGCGTTCCAGGTCCTAAAAAGCCTGGCACGTGACTTGGTCAACGTGAAGTATGACCGTTGCAAGTTTAAGCTAATTTGCGACGATCTCGGCTTGGCGAATCTGATTGTCCGTAGCAAGGACGACCTTACTGTTGTTGGAGTAGTGGACCTCGAGTGGTCATACATCGGGCCCGCCCAGCTGTTTGGCTCGGCACCGTGGTGGCTTCTCCAAGACAGGCCCGTCAACAGCACGTGGGACTGCAAGGGAGACGAGCCGCCCAAGATTGCCGCCCGGTACTTTAAGTACCTAGAGATTTTCATACGTGTCTTGGAGGAAGAAGAGGCAAAAATGCCAGGACACAACGAGAAAGAGCTCTCCAGCCTTGTCAAGTGGTCGCAAGCCTCTGGGGCCATGTGGCTGCACATGCTCCTTTTATCTGGCTTTAATGACCATCGCAGCTTTCCTTTTACGCAGCTACGCTTACATATTGGGGCTACTGAGTGGGCGAGGCGTGAAAAGGAATTTGACAAGGCGAAAGAGTGTGAGGCATTCGCGGCGCGGAAGGTGAGCGAGTTGGATAAGTATGATAATGCCTTGGAGAAGATGGAGGAGAACAAAGCGCTCGTAGACAGCGGGAATATGACAAAGAAGGAATTCATTGCCAACGCTCTAATAGAGCCAGGCTGTATCCCCTGTTCCTCGTCGCTTGTGAATAAGGATGAGATGCCAAAAGACGAGGGGTTGTTCTATAAGGTGGCTGCTTGGTTCAGCTTGCGAGCTGCAAAGTTGAGAGAGGCCGCAAGGATGGGATAAGGAGAGGTTGCATGATAACCGCTAACATGGCTGCCTTGGGAGTTGCGCAACTCGAAGCTTTGCTGCATATTGAGAGGTAACAGTTTTCACCAACCAATCCTATCTTTTGGACACAGAAAAGCGGGGCATAATCTATTTATGGACTAGCGCCCTGATCAAGAAAGAATCAAAGACAGTAAGTCTCTTACAGGGAAGTGCAATACCAGCTTCACCGCCTCACACTCTTTTCTTTATTCTGGACCCCACTGCCAAGACTCTAATTTTAGAAATGGGTGCATCTAAATGAACCTGGATACATTACATCATATGCCCTCTTCGGTGACAATTAAGCCTCAATTGATCGCCCTGCAAGGGAGGCAAAAGCTTAAACACTATACATGTCCCACATTCCTCTCCAAAAAGATGATAATGATTGGTATTCACCCCTTAAGCCTATGGTTAAGTACCGATCTCTCGGCCTCTCAGAAAACCTTGTAATGAAGACAATCACCGGAGCTAAACTTGATATGAAGCCATAAGCTTGAAGAATATACTCCATGGTATACCATGCGCCTATATTTATTTCTCTTCAATTTCAATGTTCGCATGTCGAAAATGACCTTTTGCACTTTCTCCTCTAGACCCTACAACGTCCAAGCTCCATTCAAGGAAATCTTTGAAATCTTCACTTGTATGTTTCTGCCAATCTCGTCTCACAAATGCTTTGAGCTCTGCAAAGAATTCTTCGATCGGGTTAAGATCGGGAGAATATGGTGGTAAGTACAACAACTTCACACCGGCATTTAAGCACAGCTCCGTTATTCGATCAGTATGGTGAAAAGATGCGTTGTCCATAATAAGAACAGACTTCGGCTCTGGCCATCTACCACAATGGTGAAGAAGCTGTTCAACAAAATCTTCAAACATGTTAGCATCAGTCGATCCTTGGAAGACTCGCGACATCAAAATTCCATCCTGGCAGTATGCCGGGAGAATCTGGTATCGCTGACCCCGCTGGAAACGGGAAACCTGGACAGGTGTCACACCGCGGGGAGACCAGCCTGTCCTCCTGAAGCCAGCCCGCTTGTCACAGCCTGATTCATCAATGTAGACTAGGTGATACGAGCAAAACTCTGACAGTTGGTGCAAATAGTGATCTCTCAGATCCGCATTCCTCTCTTGTGCTATCCGTCGAGCCACTTTTTTTGTCCAACCGTGCGATCGAAGGGCGCGACTGACAGTATATGTAGATACAAGCACATCAAATTCATCGTATAAAAATTCTGCCATCTCATCCAGGTATAGATCCGGCTTCTCTAGCAAGTGGTCGCATAACGCTTCAAGCATGATAGGCGTGATCATACGAGGGCGGCCGCCAGGGATTAGGGGTGCTCTAACGTCGCCAAATACCCGGAGGTTGGTACTGATGGTTATGATCGAACGTTTGCTACAGCCAGCTGCTTCCGCCATCTGAGAAGCAGAGAGCGATTTGCTGCTGATCATATCACGGATCATCATTAGCTGGGAGGGTGCAAGTCGTGGCGCCATAATGGTCGTGTCGCGCTGTTAATCAAGTTGAGGCGGCCAGGAACAGGCAACGATAGGTCTGGGTCGGCTCGGGCCGAGAGTCGAACCGACAAACAGCATCCTATCGACCAGTCATAGTTTCTGCCATAGACAAGCGTAATTAGTCATATCGGGCTCGATGAATGGACTTTCGGTCACAGCATCGCGCGTAGGCCATAACTTGCCCCGCTTCAGCTCTCCAGAAAAGCCCAACCGATATTTTCAACCCGATCTCTTACTGTAGTGAAATCCTCGACACGGTCCACTGTGCACAGGGGAAATGGGGAATCGGGCAGGAGAAGCTATACCAGCTACACGCACGTAGCCTACTAAGGAGCGTATATACTCAACTAGATATACATCAAACGTCTCATCTAGATGCCACACGTCTCTCAATGATTCAGGGGTTGAACGGCTTCATATTTCCGCACCGCCAAGTCGGGCGGATCATCTTATTTCCGTAACACTTACGCCTAGCTTGAAACATGGGCGCATTGTAATGAACTTTTGTTTTGGCCATAAGCACTCTGCTTCCCCAGACTATGGAGCCTGGGTCGGGTTGGACCAACAGTTGAGCCGACAACCAGCAATTCAAAAGCAGTGACCAGATATGGGAGGCGCTTGGCACGGCTATGAAAGATGATCGACTTGCTTTAAAGCACCAATGACAAAGCGCATCCTCACTCAGCCTCGCCTCCAGGCTGTGTTAGGGGCCTTCCCCTCTTTCCCCTTAAACTGGGCACTTCCTCTGTTCGATTCATCCTCGCGGCGTTCTCGTCTGTCTCACAAACAATACTTGACCCAGCGAGGAAACTTTCCAATTAAATATTGAACATAACCGAGATATAGTGGAAGCCCTCTACTGCTTCAATGAATCGACCTGAGCAACGAGACCCAGATTCCACAGTCTCCTACACGGTCGCATGGATCTGTGCCTTGGAAGAGGAGTACTTCTGTGCATGCCGTATGCTCGACGAAGAATTTGCTGGACCGGAAATAAGCGAAGACAACGACGATAACACATACGTCTACGGTCGTATCGCGAAGCATTATGTGGTGATTGGGTGTCTCCCAGCTGGTCGGTATGGCACCAACTCAGCCGCTCGCGTTGCCCGAGATATGGCCCGGACCTTTCCACGCATGCGGTTCGCATTAATGGTGGGCATCGGGGGCGGCGCACCAAGTCCCCGCAATGACATACGACTGGGTGATATTGTCGTCAGTCAACCAAGAGATGGATTCGGTGGGGTGATTCAATATGATTTGGGCAAGTTGAAAAATGGTCATTTTCAGAAGACAGGTCAACTGAATGCACCGCCTGAGAAACTCCTAGGGGTCCTTCCAGAGATACGCCGATTACACAGTGATAAAAAGAAGCCAGACAGACTTGCAGAACATCTTCGACTTCTCGATGACATGGAAGATTATCAAAAGCCAGCCGTTGATCGGCTTTACGCTGCAGACTATTCACATGTGGATGGACCAGGTTGCGATGAATGTGACTTGCGTGCAATAGTGGACCGCCCCGAGCGCCAGAACCACCGTACCGTCCATGTCCACTACGGAACTATTGCGTCGGGAAATTCCGTTCTGAAGGACGCCAAAGTGCGGGATACATACGCCCAAGACCCACAGCTGAACATTCTTTGCTTCGAGATGGAAGCAGCCGGTCTCATGAATAATATTCCATGTCTAATTATTCGCGGAATCTGCGATTATTGCGACTCTCACAAGAATGATGAGTGGCATAATTATGCTGCCCTCGTTTCTGCTGCTTATGCACGAGAGCTCCTGCTGGTTTTACGGCCGCAACGTGTGGATGCCATGCCGCCATGGGCCGAGCGAGTAGCTCAAGAACTTCAACAAGGTTAGAGCATCACACTCAATTTCAAGGCTCATATGGTATTTCCATAGCTTGATGTTGTAATAAAAGCACCTTATGAATAATCTTCGTGTCCTATATTTCATCGGGGTAGTGTACCTGACAGGCTACAGTAACTCAGGAGTTGACTATTATCAGCAACAACCAAAGGTTGTATACGTATCTATCGCATGGGATCAAATGCACTCTCGCTTACTCTGAATAGGACCGCCCTGACGAAAATCGAACGTATGGACCAGAAGATTGGGCTAGACAAGGTGTCGGCTGTTCACGAGGCCGAGTTTGACTCATTCTCTGATCGGGATGAGATCCAATGTCTTCAAGGCACAAGGACTGAGCTCCTCCAACAGATAAAGGAATGGGCTACTTCGCCATCTCAAAAAAGCATCTTTTGGTTAAAGGGAATGGCTGGGACAGGGAAATCCACAATATCTCGAACTGTGGCACGGTCGCTCAAGGACACCAACTGTCTTGGTGCCAGCTTCTTTTTTAAGAGGGGTGAAGGGGACCGAGGGAACGCAAAGAAATTTTTCCCTACATTAACCAGGCAATTGATGCTCTGGTGCTCAGAGTTGGTTCCTGGTGTGCAAAAGGCACTTGATGATGACCCTGGCATTGCGTCAAAATCTCTCAGGGAGCAGTTTGAACAACTGCTTCTTCAACCGTTGCTTAGTCTTGGCCAACTTAGCCAGCAACCTCAGACTGCTGTGATGGTCATCGATGCTTTGGATGAATGTGAACATGATCAAGATATCCGACACATCATTCAATTCCTGCCTCTTTTACAAAAGGCGAAATCATTTCGCCTTCGGATTTTCCTCACCAGCAGGCCTGAACTCCCAATTAACCTCGGGTTTTCAGAGATCGGAGATCGTGCATATCAGGACCTAGCTCTTCATGAGATACCCGGAGAAGTGACTGAACGTGACATACATTTATTCTTACAAGACCGATTTGCGAAAATCAAACATGATAGGAAAATCTCCCAGGACTGGCCTGGTGATGACGTCCTCCAAGATTTAGTCAGGATATCCATTCCACTGTTTATTTCGGCTGCCACTGTGTGCCGCTACATTGAAAACTCAAAATTGGAACCCAAATCACGGCTCGCAGAGCTTCTAAAGGACCAAGCAAAATACGTTTCGAGAATGGATAAGACATATCTGCCTGTTCTGACGCAACTACTCAACGACCCAGAGAGTAATGAGTCAGAACAGCAGCAACTTCTGCAAGAGTTCCAGGATATCGTGGGTGTCATCATTCTTCTCGCAATTCCGCTTTCTATATATGCACTATCGCAGTTTCTTGGGATAGAAGCGGACCAGATTAGCAATCAATTGGATTCACTTCGTTCGGTTTTAAGCATTCCTGATAACCGAGATCAGCCTGTTAGGATTCTGCATCTCTCATTTCGGGATTTTTTGGTCCAGTCTACGACCAAGTTTCACGTGAATGAGCCACAAAAACACAAAGACATTGTTCGGTCCTGTTTTAGAACTATGCGGAGTCATCTACGCGAAGATATCTGCAATCTCACAGATCCTGGAGCGCTCAGGGTAGACATCAACCCTCTCAAAATCCGCCAATGTCTACCACCTGAATTGCAATACTCCTGTCGCTACTGGATACACCATCTCAAAAATAGCGAGGCTTCACCTTCTGAAATAGAAGAGGCGCAACTATTCCTCCAGAAGCATTTTCTTCACTGGATAGAAGCAATGAGCCTGCTAGATCTTATATCAGAGGTGGTGGGTATGCTCGATCTTCTCCGCACGGCTATACCAGTAAGTATATACCACACATTCGTCCATGCGTTATACTAATAAACGTAGGATGTTGATGATAATTCCGTTTTGGCCGACTTTTTATATGATGCAAAGCGGTTTGTCCTGAAAAATCGTCAGATAGCGGATGAAGCGCCGCTTCAGATTTATTGCTCAGGGCTGGTATTTGCACCTCGATCGGCAATAATTCGTAGAGTGTTCCAGTCATATCTGCCTAGGTGGATCGGCCAGTTCCCACAGGTTCAAGAAACCTGGAGTGCAGAATTACAAACTCTGGAAGGCCATTCAGACTGGGTTGAATCAGTGGCCTTCTCACCCGACGGCCGGCTACTGGCGTCCGGCTCTAGGGATAACACGGTGCGGCTCTGGGACCCGACTACGGGCGCCCTACAACAGACCCTGGAGGGCCATTCAGCTGGTTATCAGTGGCCTTCTCACCCGACGGCCGGTTGGCGTCCGGCTCTAGATAGACGTGCGCTCTGGGACCCGCGACGGGCGCCCTACAACAGCCTGGAGGGCATTCAGCTCGGTTGAATCAGTGGCCTTCTCACCCGACGGCCGGCTCTGGCTCGCTCTAGGGATAAGACGGTGCGGCTCTGGGACCCGGCGACGGGCACATTGGAAGACATTTTAAGCACTGATGGAATTGTCACAGAACTCGAATTTTCCCAATATGTTTCACATCTCAGTACTAACCTAGGATCGTTCAAGATTCAATCCAGTTGTGGCAAACCTATCCTCAATTCACCCAATACGCACCCAGCGATATATCTACAGCGTGACTGGATAGTGTTGAACGGGAAACAAGTACTGTGGCTCCCCCCTGAGGCCAGGCCTTTGTGTTCAGCGACTAAATCGAATACGCTTGCCTTGGGACACGCGTCAGGTCGGGTTTCCTTTATAAGATATCGGAAATAATAGATGTCAATCAATTTTCTTTTTTACTGTAACTGTACCTTCTGTGTTTTCTAATCTCTCTACAAATGGAGGGTCTGGGAAAAAAGCATAATTTATTCGGATGTGCTTCTTTCCTCGAATATGCTACTTGATTCTCCTAGATTCCAATACTGTGGCGATCCATTGTCCAGTCGCCACCGTTCTGCCTGCTAAGTCAGACGCATCCCAACGCATCTCAAAACCCAGTAACCGTCTATTTGGTCATCACTAGCCATATCATACTCCTACAATCGGACAATTTCGGCAGAGAATTATAACTTCTGGACTAGTTGGTGTTGGGCCGCTCATCCAATAATGGTGTTCCCATTGACTAGAATGCGAAGCGTGGAGAGGAAATAGGATCCACGGCTCCGCCGTGGATCAACTTCTGTGGGGGACACCATCTGCCCACGTGACACACTTCCGAGCTGGAGGTTGGTGAGCTACTGCCAAGCCTTTCTGCTCACGTAGTTCACTAATTTGCACTCAATATTCTGACTAGCGCCTTGGCAGTGGGGCCCGGAATAAAGAAAAGTGTGTGAGGCGGTGAAGCTAGTTTTGCACTTGCCTGTACACCGTTTTTGCAACCGAGTGTATATATAATCCAAAATTACTGTTCGATTTTTGGGGGGGGATATTGATTAGGGGTCTGAAGTGATTGTATTCAGAAGGATGTTCTGCCCCCCTGCACATTCATCCCATCTCTTGCAACCTCTTGATGTTGGCTGTTTCACACCACTAAGCGCGCGTATGTGCGCCTACTGGAGAACCAACTTTATTCGCGGTATCTTAAATGAGGAATGAATCCAGGACCTACTACACCTCAGAGCTACCAAATTGCCTGCCCACTCACCACTATCATTGACAGAGACTATGGTTTCCACATACATAATAGGCCTCCATCCCTCGGTAACTGGATCAATCCAGGCTGACACTCCCCTCCCAGCCAGAAAGGGACTGATAAAGAGACGTGCCATCAAACATCCCACCAGCCAGTTCTCCATCGAATGGATTGTGGTTGACAGAATGCCACCTCTTAGGGTCATGTTCGTGGATATCAATCTTCGGTGGAGAAGCTAATAGAGCTGTTTCTGGCTTTCCAATATTTCCCATCACTTGTGAAAGTGCGCAGGACGACATTTCCGCCGGAAAAAACGGATCGTGGAGAAGTTCCCCAGCAACGAAAACAGAATTACCACTCGATATCGCCAGTACCGCGATGAGATCAGATACACCCGCATCTATGGTCCCGACTCAAATTGAAACAGAACCTTTGGTCACTCTCCCCTTCGGTGTATAACGCCTTGCCTGCACACATGTGATCACCGTACAAAGAGAACAGAAATTTAATGAATAATGCAGGAAGAAAGGCAAAAATGCTTAACGGGGGTGCATTTACTCTGGCTTTTGGTTTCAACTACCTCCAAGACTAGGTATTAGGTGTCGCAGGGCGGGATAAATCTGGCTTCTACATGATATACAGTACATAGTTTCTTAACTTCCACTCTATATACTGTAACTATAAACACATCTTTGTAAAGTAAACCAAATTCGCTGATAGTAAAGATCAAGCCACCGTACCAGCTATCCCACCATAATACGTATGGGGGAACTTAAGATCGGTTAAGAAATTAACAAATTTCAGGGCGTCTTCCTGAGATTGCTCACTGCCTCTGAACTCAACACTTGGTGCCCCTTCATCATCGCAGAGTCGTAAGGTGCTGAGCCCGTCAACGTGAAGAAATTTTATTGCCCAACAAGACCTACTGCCACCAGCCTCGAAGCTTGATCGTCCAATGTAGATGATAAGGCGGTAGAGAAGAAGCTGTGAAGATATATGCACGCACAAGCCATGTGAAGATAGATGGTCTTCTTCTTCTTCCTCAGACATAGGGGTAGCGGTGAGCCACTTTTCACAAAGCTCAAACCGGGACTTGACTAAATTCCAGTGAAGGGCGTTATCATCCCAAAGTTTTTTTTCTCTAGAAGGTGCTTGACCTTCTAGTAATGTCCATTGCTTTTGCAAATAGTCCAGTTGATACTCGGCCTCCTTCTGCTCGTCCTCAGTTAGAAGATTCCCTTCGAAAGGAAGTCGAAAAATCGCCCAGTCAAGTTCAGGAGATGCTATGGGGAAAGCCTTCAAAGTTTTCCGCATATTATTAAAGTATCTCTTTTGCCTTCCACTGTCGAGTGTGCTAAATTCATTATATGTAAGGATTTTAGGGGTGGTGTCTTTTTCGGAATCTGGAGACTTCTGTTGAGTATACTTAATCCGGTTTCGATTGCCCTGTGCGAGACGTCGGAACTTAGTCCGCTGGAAGACAAGAGGAGAGTCAGAAGAGTCAGAAGAGTCAGAAGAGTCAGAAGAGTCAAAAGAGTCAGAAGAGTTAGAAGAGCCATAGGGTCTCTTGGTGGCCATGTTGTTGTCATTTGCCTGTTATAATAATATTGGAAAAATGAATTTGTTTTCATTTTGGAACCGGTACATCCCTCGTTTATATACACCAGTCCCCTGTGGAGCCTTAGGCTCCAACTATTTGCACTTCCTGCCGGTGGTTACACTAAAAGTCAAAAGTAGTGTTACCCCTAAGAATTGTTTCTTGGTGTCGGTCAGCTGAATACGCGTATGAGCTAGTATCACCGATCAGGGAGGGCAACGATTAATCGAATCGCCGCCGATCGATAATCGATTATTGACAGCCGATCATCGATCATCGCCGATAATTTCTTGGCGCTGTCATACAAAAATACAGCAAGTATTTAACTGTTACGGCCTACGAAACGGAGATAGAAATAAAGCCAAATCAATGTAAAATATCTTTTAAACTTTTTCTAAAATACCACTTGTTTGCCAGTGTTTTAGGCATTCTATCCTCTTAATATTCTGAGCTGATAGCTGCGCCCTTTCCCATAAGATTGTACGACGTGCTCCTAAAAAGACATGCTTAGGTTTATTACTCATTGCTAGAATTAATAGGATATTAATTACTATATAAGAAAGCCTTGCCCAGCGCTTTTATTATTAATCCTAAGACCACCATGTAAGAGCACTCGTACGAATGTTATATAAAGACTTAGAATTATAATTTTTATATTTATCCTGGCTTGCAGGCCAAGCAAACTTGCGTAGGTCTTGAACAATTTGATTAAAGTTATCAAGATCTTGACTTTAAGACATGTTCTTTTCATATAATGGTACAACTATATAAAAAGGTACCCTTTCTCGATACTCTTCCCAAAGCTTTTTAATCTTTTGCAGTGCAGGCTTTTGCCAGCTCTTTCTCCAATTGGCCTGAATGTACTTTGTACGACGAGCTGGGTAAAGAATAAGTGCTGCAGTATAGAGAGGCGAGTTATCAGATTTGCTGTAATACTTGTTAAAGATATCCCAGCCATTTTAAATCCGAGTACAGAATTCCTTATCTAATACATGTTCAACCTGCCATATATATTAGAATAATCTTGTTATGTAGTAATTAATGTAGTAATCAATGTAGTAATAATGTAGTAATTAATGTAGTAATCTGTTATATTTTTTATAGGAAGTAGACTTACCAAAGCCTTTTCAAAATGCTTTATAATAACATCCATAATAAAAAGCACATTGTCAATTGTTGCTTGATTTCCTTGAGTTTGCAGCGTTGCTCGATCAAAAAGACTTAGGAATTTGCTTGTTGTGCGAAGCTTGTCCCAGTCTACTGGAGTTAGGTATTCTGTTTAAAGAGTATCAAAGTTCTTTTTTATATAGCTATCTACAGCACCTTTATACTGTAGAGCCACAGAAAGCATATAATACCAGCTATTCCATCTTGTACGGTTGTTAAGTGGAATTAATCTCCCAGCCAGATCTTTAAACTTCTTTGTACGACCAGCTGAACCACGAATATGTGTCACAATATTGTGAAGCTTTCCAAGTAGCCCTATTAAATAAAATATGGCCTGTTTTTGTATATTATTAATTTTATCACCCTTTACTTCTCCTATTGCTTCCTCCTTATTATACGAGCTGAGTTGCTCAAACTTAATCAGTCTTGAAACAGGAAGGCTTGTACAGCCAAGTTAATAACATAGCCAATACAAAATATTTGCCGATATATAGGATCCATTTAATCCCTTTTCGTCTCTTAGATATGTGGCTAATGTACGGCAAAGCTTATTATTTGCAGTGTGATTATCAAAATAATAGATCCAAGCTTTTTACAATCCCATAATCTTTTAGCACTGGAAGAAGAGTAACAAATTGCTCCTCTCCACTATAATTTGCCACTATACAAAGACCAAGGAGAGCTTTTAATAACTTCTCTTAACTTTGTTCAACAAAGTGAGCACAAATCCCAAGAAAAAAAAGCCGATTTGGAGAGGTCCAGATATTAAGTAAAAGGTAAATACTTATAAAGAGACTAAAGCTTTTTCTACAATATCATCTGTTCTGCATAATTGTTTGATTTTTCCAGGGACTAGTTATGTGCTGTAATAATACAACTCTCTGACTTAGGATTAAGCACTCGGCAAAAAGCATAAACTCAGGCCATTCCACAACATAAAATAAGATTCCGTACAACAATTAATAAGACTAATGCCTATTAATAACATCTTGATTTAATACCTTTTAAAGGACCTGAGAATCAACTTTTTCTGTTTTCCCTGAGGACTCTGCTTTATAATAAAGTTGCTGTAATCGATCCATTGTTATTTGTCGTAGTGTGCTCAGGATTGGGTTAATAATAATCTAATACTTTGACCGGAGATGATTTCGCATGTTGGTAGTAACTAAAGTTCTGTACAGCGATCCAGTACAATGTACACAATACTGGATTAAGGTGTTTTTATAAAATTAGGCCTCTTCATCTTGTGCTGGACGTGTATAAAACCATGTTAGCTGTGCTGTGGCTGTTTTTCCCCTTTTTAACTGCGTTTCACATGAATCTACCGTGGGCAAAGGTAAAAGATTAGATGAATCTGCATCAGAATCCATTTTCGTACGATAATATAAAAGAATATGAAAAAGATAAAGAAGAAGTCAAGAAAACTGTTTATAGCGGTGTAGATAGTATAGGCGGTGAGAATCTGCCAATTATCGATAAATAATCAATCGATTATTGCCAAGACCGATAATCGATGATTAATCGATTAATCGGTGCGGGAATTTATCGTTGCCCACCCTGTCACCGATTATATAAGAATATGGATATGCATTGAAGAAAATGAGGTCTCTAAGGTGTCTTCTATCTGAATCTATCTGGGAGAGCTGGGTGAAAAAGGTGAAAACAAAGGAATAAAGTCGGACCGAGCGGATGCTGAATAATGGGTAACATTGGCTCACTTTGGTCTACACTTGGTTTCTCAGACCCTATCACAAAAACCACTAGTATTTATTAGGAAAGGTCCCGGAAGAACAATATTCCGTAGATTACGCGGTATTGTACAATACTAAAAATAAAATGATGTTATATTAGGCCTTTGTACGGTTTTATACGCGGGCTCTGAGTGGCTGGAAGCTTCCATGCAAACTAGTGCAAACCGTCGAACCGTTGAATCTAAGGTTCCTTGGCTTGGCCAACTGTTAACATCCTTTTAGTTCCTATCTTGCCCCCGGTGTTAAGGCACATGCTGGACTTGTGCTGACCTAGCTAAGTGGTGTAATACTAATGGCCTTGCTTATAATTCTACTCTGCTTGTCAGGACAGCTAGATATAGCCTATTAGCTGCACTAGGAGTTAGCTATAGAATCTAAATAGATGTGGAAATGGCCGACGTAGGTTTATATCTATAGCCATTAAATTTTTCTGATAATAAAGAGTGCCTAATCTGCGAGATTAATACCATTGTAGGAATAGATAAGAATAATTTGCTTATAATAGGCCTCCCCCTGTTTTATACTTAATTTCCACTATTAAATTTGGGAAATGTAGAACTCATGACCATGTTGCTAAGTGCATAATACAAACTATAAGATGCCAGCCTTTTCTCAAGCGCTTACTGCAATTTGGTATAGAGTAATCTATTTTTCTAGTATACTTGTTTTTAGGTTAACTCCTACCCTGGCAACATGTTCTGCATCCCAAGTCCTTTTAAATCCTGGAGAGCTGGAATTTCCACGTTAGTTATTAAAATATTAAAAGCTCTCGAGGCTACTAATATAATAGTTTTAAAATATAACAATATCTTACCAATGGCCTATTTAAATCAGCCAACAAAAAAACCAGTGCGAGACGTTATCAAAGCTAAGAAAAGATTTGGGATATCTTACTTCAGAGACTACTGCGGTGTTAATATTATAAAAGGCCAGCTTTGTATAGTATTTTCAGCTCGCTTCCAGCGTTGCCCTAAATATATTTATTTAATATCCTGCCCACAAGTAATTCATGCTCCTAATTTTCCCCCTAATAATTGGGAGTTACTTCGAATCAAACTTAACAGTGTGGTGGGTTGTATACTATGGGGTAAACTTAAGGATCGCTATAACATTATTCGAGACGAGTGGTTGGTTTTTTCCGGGCAAATATGTAAAATAATCCTATTAGGACAAGAAAAGTTGGCACCCACCTCCAGTTAGGGGTCTAGATATGGCTGGCGGAATGGCAACTGCCAGACTCCAAAGTTAAATCTTTTAAGTCGAGAAAAGAGAGATTACTATCCTTAAGAAGCTCTTAAATTCTAGCTCACTCCCGGGAAGTGAGTGTGTTGGTTAGACGAAGGGCCCTTATTAAAGATTAAATATATAACAGGGTTTAATAGCAAAAGCAAAGCAATGTGCCAGTTCTGTATATATTATATTAAATACCAGGTATTTCATATATAATGGTATAATAAACAGATTGTAAAATCGGTGCTCTATCTTTTTTAGTTGTTTTGTATAGGAATGTGATGTTCTGACTATTATATATATATTTGTGGTTGCAGGAAATTACATACACTTTGTCCAAGCACTATATATAGTTTAGTTAGACCTAGTTCTCTACCATGCAGTATATAGGCTTGTGTTTATTTATATCTCCTAATATATATATTCCAAAAAAATAAAAAAATAAAAAATATAGTAAAGGAAATAAATAAAACTAAAGCTTAAGTTTTTTCTACCAGCATACTCAGTTCGTCTTTCCAAAGCTAAATACAGATCCTGTACTGTATATCTTAACTAATTTTCTTAGTATTATTAATAAACCATCGTCTTCTTGGGGGTAAGTGGAAGGAGTTGTAGGGCCTGTTTGTAGTTTACTGTGCCGACACTGTTGCATGGCTAGTACAGTTTTACCTACCTCTGGATCTCAATTCCAGGAAGCCGTATCTCCAGTCTGATGTTGTTGTTCCAGAGCCGCCAAGAGCTTTATATTTTAAAAGCCCCGCAGTACAGTAGCGTTACTTCACAACAGGGCTGTTCCTGGCAATCGATGATGTAGATATATATTGCTTTGTTAGGTAGGTGTTATAAAGAAACAGGAGTAGGGGTAAGGGTATAGCACCCGCAAAACAAAATAAAAGGAATACCAAGCCACAGCTATAGTGCTCCAAATAAAGTCTTCGGAGTACAGCTTTAATATTATATACACGATTCTAGAGGGAATATATCCTTATTTATACCTGCGGTGTGAATATAAATGTGACATCTCTTGTGTTAGTTTTGTAGCGGTTTTTTAACTCTACATTCAAGTATCCTTAGTGCTTGCCCAATCCTTCTTATTTTCAGGTACGTTGAGCGAGTCGGATTGTGATTGTTGCACTTAGCTAACATTGTGGCAAGGGCATCTCTTGTTGGCAGTATGCCTGCCCTAAAGGCCACAAGAACAGGGTCTGTTACAGTATGGATGGATGGATGATTTCATTTATCTTGACCCCTCGCCTCGGCGATATACAGGCTACCACAACTATAGCTATCCTTGTATGTGTACATACAGTGTACCAGTCTGTTATTCGCAGACACGAATGCCATATTGCCCCACATTTGGGTGGGTCCGTAACTTCTCGGTAATATGACTGGGTATCTTAGAGGTATAAAGATATGTAAACGTGCCTCCATTAGTACACTTATCCTTTTGCACTGGTAGGCCAAAAATATTGTAGCAATATATTTTATAAACATGTGTCCGGCCACAGCACGGCGGAACAAAAATTCCAGACATAAAGACATTCTAGCATACTAACTAGTGCAGTGCGCTTTCACATATCAAGCTCGCACTTCACACTTAGTTTTGCATCGCAGTAATGGTCGGTACTTGGAAGCTTGTTAGTCCATGTGGGTTTCAGTGCTATAAGAGGGTTGCTCGAACTTACTTCCAATCGCGCGATGGATGCATATCGGCGAAAGGGTCACGTTTATCGTAACTTGTCCCAGCAGTCAGCATGAAATTTCCACATTCACTAACCCCTATTCCCCCCATGCTCCAGTTATCCTTATTAGGGCAAGAAGGGTGTCCGGAAAGTATGGTATTATAGATCTCTCTGCAAGTCTTCGAATCCAAAGAGATATCACAGCCATCGCGTGCTGTTGCAGCGAGTATCAGATTTACACCTTTTTTAGTATCTCTCGATACAATCTTTTGATCGTAATAGTAATTTTGGGAGCGGCCGGTCTGACGTCCTAGGCGAAAAGGTTCCTTGAGGTCGCAGGCAGCATCTACAGCCGCGCTCGCGTCGGAAAGTTTAAATATGGAGCCCCAGAAATTCACACCCTTCGCTGATGGTGCTTTCGTAGCGCAAAGCAACTGAGTCAAGGATGAGGTTTCTGGACGGGGTTCGGTTGTTGTTGGAGCAATTGTAGACATCATGCTCAAAAGGGGCCCCTTCAAAACACATGCAATATATGTAGACTTCCCTTGTACTGCAGTGCTGATATCGTACTGAGTTGGACCGCAGGCACAAAAGGTTTTAACCCCAGAGACTTCGAGACTCGCACCTGCAGCTATTGTGGCTCTAACGGTCTGTTAGTCACATCTTTAGTAGAACGTAAGGGAGCCACCCACGAGGTGATACTGCAGGCTTGGGCTGATGAGGAACAAGTGGCAGCTGCGGCTGTGGCCGGTGTAGTAGAAAGGAGGGTCAGTACAGTACCAAGGAAATAGTAGTGTGGGATCTTCATAATGGGTGACCATTCAACAAAACGAAGTCAAGAAGAAGATGGACCATACGAAAAGATGATGCGGAGAGGGTATATATGCCTACAGAATCCCCCCTAGAGGGGCGCTTTTAATAATCATTAATGACGCTACGCTAGCTACCGAGTAGCAGAGCCCTGTGGATTGCGACTCGGCGAACTCTAAGTTTTGTTCTCACCGTTGACAGGAAGTTTGTCATTCGCGATATAGAAAAGGACAAACCGGATATTAATGCGGTCATTTTGCAAGTATCTTTAATATCCAGGGGATCAGACGATTTTTGTTTCTAAAAACCAAATCTTTCTGCAAAGACGGTATGTTTATATTTGTTTTATTGCCTGGGACTTTACAGAAGTGCAAAAATTGGGGCGCTATTAGCAATCCAACGGAGCCGTGGTACTTAATAGACTGGGATATTATTTTTCGGCCTCTGACAAACAGCTGACAGAGTTACAATGAATTAGTCAGTGACACAGGCAAAAGGTACAATGACCCAAGCATCAGAGTGAACGAAATACTAAGAAATCAACAATTATATAGCTGGTTCTGAAACCATGCTACCATTACAATTAGTCTCTATTGCTTCCCGGCAAAGCACCAACAAGCGCAAACAATTCCGGGAATGCCTCAATCTCCACTGGTGGTAGGTAATTTGGATTTCTGCTTCCTGGTGCTGTAGATGCGAGGTCCCTCAAGGTGTCTTGCTCAAAATTTGCTTCCTGATATAACCAGAATAGTGTCCTCTCATACCAAGTAAATGCCTCGGGTCTTGACAATGTCCACTCGGCAGCTTGCTCAACCATGCCCAAATAGCCGCAAAGACAGTGTAGATGGGCTAGCAACATTATATTGACCGAGGAATGAATGAGAAGTTCTTTTGCCTGTGCCTTAAGAATGCTTTTAATAACCGCAAATGATCTTAAGAGTCCAGGTGTAAAGAAGGGCTTGACTTTATGTAAGGTACCTAGTATAAATGTAATATCATAGTGGAAGATCCATGTGCTGATAGTTGATGGGAAAACGTAGCTTAAAGCCCAAACATGGCTGGAAACTTGCATCCTGAACGTAGCATATTCCCTTAGTTGCCTATTATCTCCCAAGTGCCATTGTCTCTTTATGAGACACATCTTTAGAAACTTCTGCATCAGCGCAATGTCTGGCTCCTTGGAGGGCAGTAATTGCATAGTTCCTTTTGCTAATAGTTTTATCACATAAAATGCTTTTTCTTCATCAATAACCCAACCTCTGTGGATCATGTGCAAGTTGTATGCAAGGTCGGCCTCATTAGGCGGCTCTGTCTCGGACAGTCCCGGGGGGGGCAGAGTGTCATCCACAATGCAAGGCCGAGAATAAACTCAAGAGGGTTTCCAGCATCTAGAAGAAAACAAGTGGACTGTTGGCGACTGTGCTTAATAAATTCATGTTGTGCTATATCATGCCCTGCATAAAAACAGCGACGTATATAATTGGCACTGTGAGCATGATTTGGAGGCAAATGAGTTCTGATAAGATTCCTTTATAAAGTATTAGCTATAGCTTTTTAGAGATACAGAACGTTCTTACTCAAATACAGAGATAATATCCTTTTCAGCCATAACAGAAGCCATAAAAGTCCATGTGAATAATAGAACAGGATGCTTGTGCTCGCTATAATATACCGATAGGAGGTAGAAGTGTATATATTTTAGGCAACTGTTTGTATTAAAGGAAGTATAACAGGAGGTGGATGATAAATTATATGTATACTGTTAAGGTCCACAGGTGCATTCAAGGGACCGCAAAACTAGATGTGATCTGGCAGACCAAGTGCTTGGCGAGCAGTGGACTCCATCCAAAGGAAGTTTCTGAAACCTGGGGATAGTAATTCCTGGGTCCAGTGTGCTGGTAAAGTATGGGCTAATTTCAGCCATATTTGGATGGGGGCCGAAATAAATACTGAGAACACCACTGAAGTCTCCGCTGTAATTACCAATAGAAAATGGAGTGGAGAAAACAAGTTTCCTTAAGAAATTTTTATCTCTTGTGCCTTCAAACTGGAAACATGACCATTGGAACCAGGAGACACCGCCGACGGCGTATGTCAAGATGATTATTGATATGCAGAAAATGCCTCTTTACAACAATATTCTAGCAGCCTTTTTTTCGTGGGCTCTACTGGCTGGATATCTTGTTTTCCCAGGCACTTTTACCTCACTCCGTCGCTCTGCAACTACAGTGGGATGCGACTTCTCCTTCCCATCCAGAGACAAAGAATGCTTTTCCTGAACCCTAACGCGCCAAGGTACGCTAAGCCTGTCTTGATTTAGAGCGTTCTGGAGTGTTTTGAGACGGAATCATACAAAACCAGACAGCTGCTTCGGCCACTTGTACCGTATTGTAGTATGGCTCAAGTTGACTACGTAATGGCAACTAGTATGATGTCATTGAATTCAGATCCGACAGGGGCCCCTGTCGGTCATTACGCAAGGTATGCGATTGACTATATTGTGCATGCTTATGGTAGGAAAAGTATTGAGATGTTGTCCTTGAGAATTCCAGGTACAATACAACTTACAACCGAGGTTGGCCATGCTGGTCAGAGTGTCAGGATGTTGAGATCCCAGTACTGTCTTACTTGTTTCTGGTACTTGCATCCCTAACTTCTCTGCTTCGTTTAATCGCCCATAGTTATGGTAGGTTACTGCTAGGTTTGCCATGCTTATCAGAGTATCACGATGCTCAGCTCCCCCTACTGTCTCTGAAGCCTCTAGCACTTGCACCTCCCCCAGGAACCCGCTAATAGTGGGCCTGGTAAGTTGGTTGACCCAATAATTGTTCACGACTCTGAAGTGGCCCTACTTCAGGCTCGACTACTCAGCAAGAGCCTGTCCAATGTCGTCGGCTAGCATAGTGGGGATTATCCACCGGATTGAGCGAGTCAGTCAGTCCCCTTACTGGTGTGATTAATATCAGTGGCCTTTGACTCCCTGTTCAACTAATATGAAGGATTGATAACCTCTATTCTCTTCTGCCCGGCCATGATCCACCCTGGAAACAACCCCGCAGTATATGTAGCAGAACTTTTCCTCACTTTCGCATTGTTCACATAAACATACTCGTAGTGGTACATCTTTGGCATTTTTAATCTTGATATTTGAGAGTATACTGTACCTGCGACCGTGTTTTCATTTCTCCAGACAGGCTCTTTAGAGCAAAGGTACTCATGTCGCTTGAATCCTTGCCCCATGAGATACTACATGAGGTTTTCAAACGGGTATTCGAAAACATCAAGTCTGTGCACTTGACTCCAGCTAACGTACACAAAATCTCAGTTAGGGTCCGGGGACCTATGGTGTCTTTTTGAATCATCGAAGGCATTTCGCTGCTGCGTTGCCCCGGTGCTGCTTCGGAAAGCAAGGATTGAATTTGATTCTGACAGGGTATCTCTGAATGGAAGGCTGTTGCATCCACGTATCGCATATGATATTTTGATGACATGGGCATCAAATGTACGGATTCTGAAGTATAAATCTTACTATTCCTACGCGCCTCTTCCAATGATAGAACTGCTGCCCCAATTAGTGAACATGAAGTACTTGAGGTACGCTAAGAGCTTCAACGTCCTTCTTTCAGTCAGGATGCATGTCGATCAGCCGGCTAACAGTGACTAGTATTGGAAGCCGTCCCGACAAGGAGAGCCTTCATCAAATTCTTCAAAAAGTTACAGACCTTCCGGATCTCCACAGGTTGAAAGTGTGCCGCAGTCAACCGGTTGTCTGGAGACACGATTGGAACTTCCAAAATCTACTTTGTCTGGAAATTAAAGGCGTCGGGTGCGAGCAAGGAACTTTGAATCTTCCAAGCTTTCCTGCTCTACTAGACCTTAGGATATCCTTTGGCGAAGAGTTCGAATTACCCCCTGCAAAGAAATTTCATGTCTACGTGGATTTGTCTCGCCTGCCCAGTCTCTCAGCCCTCGAAATTGAAGGGGTTCTTGATGAAGAGATTGATGACCGTCTAACTTTTCGTGGCGTTACTAAGTCATTACAAAGATTCACGGCTAAATACATGAACGGTTGGCTATTCTGGGATAATTGGAAATGTATGAATGAGAGTCTTAAAGATATACGGCTTCAAACTTCACGCGAGAGCAACTGTTGTCCTACCGAGCTGAATTTCCCACGTTTAAAGACCCTCGAACTGGAAAATTCTGTGGACTGTCTTCCTCTTAATATCGGATTGCCGGTCTTGAACCAGATCAATCTAAAACTGGGCCCTGCGGACTTTTACAGCCTTTCACTCCATCTATCATCACCGATTTCAGTATTACAAAAGCTACCAATCACCCTCAACCTCATTCATGATGAAATCTTCGACACTGATTGGCAAACAACATTGGACAGTGAAGAGCTAGAAACCCTCGCTCAATTGATATCTCGGTCGAACGTAAGGCTCGGGGAAGATGAGAAGCTTATTCTGGAGATGTTGTCACCTTGAACTGGCTTACTTTACAAGATAATGGGTTAGATGTGGAGTACTGTGTTGAAAAAACAGCTGGCTGAGTTTTAGAAATATGCCTCCACAATATACTAGGCGGCAAGGTATTAAGGATGCCTCAGAAGAAATATCAGTAACGTTATTATCGTTAGGCATTGTTGTATCCAGATTCCTGCCAGCCCTCCTCTTTCTTTTTCCGGTGGACTGGTATTTATAGAAAAGCTGCTTCTTTGGCAGACGGTCATTGTTTGTTGAGCTTGCATCGAATCTTCCAGACTGGAACCTGGGAGGTCTAGATGTCTGGTGCGCTACCGATTCTCCGTCAGTCTTTCGAGTTTGATATTACGTACGGTCATTTACGCGGACGTGTGTACATCCTAAGTCTAAGCCTAATTTAGTTTAAGGCGAGTATGTGATTAGGGTTGGAAAACGAATGCATGTCTTTGACTTGGAAGCAGAAGGCGCATGCCACTGTAAAAGCGAGGTTGGGAGGACAGCGTATCATGCTGTACAGAATATACCGTTCCTAGTTATTGGGGCTCTTTGTTGTGCAATCGGTCTTTGTGGCACGGCGTGGTTATGGTACCAGAGGAGCTCCAATTTCGTACACTCGGTTGCAAAAACGGTGCAAGAGACTATCTTTGATTCTTTCTTGATCAGGGCGCTAGTACATAACTAGACTATGCCCCGCTTTTCTGTGTCCAAAAGATAGGGTTGATTGGTAAAAACTATTAGGCTTAGCCATCTAGGGACTAGCTCCCTGGTCAAGAAAGAATTAAAGACAGTAAGTCTCTTGCACCGTTTTTGCAACAGTGTGTATGGCTTGCACAAAAAATATTCCTGTAAGTATGACTTTGCTAGCCGGGGTTCTCTTTTTAATATATAACAACTGGCTTTTTATGAGACTTGAGAAAGCTTTTGATACTGAGATGAATCGACTTTGACATCGAGATAATTTGCACAAGCGCGACTCGTTTGCGCCGCACCGGTCTCAGCAGGTTATCAGGGGAATGAAGAAAAGAAAAAGCAATCCAAAGAGTGAAGACTTTTAAGAGGAGAATGAGGAAAATGAGGAAAATGAGGAAGGTGAGGAAAGTGAGGAAAGAAGAAAGCGCCCCGAGCCAGTCCACTCCAAATTGTTATCCTTGGTCAGATATAGCATAGCAGGGGCCTATCGCAATTCTCTGTACATGTAATGGCAGCCCTCGCAGTGAATATTGTCACAGAAAGCAAACAAAATCAAGGCTTGCATTTAATCATGTCTAATACTATCACTCCTAGCAGTACTATTAATGTGAAAATAACTGAAACATGCTGGAAGAAAATTTCGACACAAGGTTTGTTAGGAAATTTCTACTATACGGACCTTTTGTTAATTATTTGAATACATACTGCCATGAATGTATTGTATGTAGATATTTTCTAATAGTCCGACTTTGATACAACCGCCGAATTCTGGATTTTAATTCTGGCAGCTGGCGGCCCCTCTCGTAAGAGGAACTTGTTAACATTTTACCCTTGAATAATTGTCTGCCTTCTCGCTATAATTACTTAGTGTAGGGAAGTAGAATGACAAACTGTAAATATTCTTGCGTGTCGCATATTATCTGCATCGGGGTTGGTATCCCGGGTAGGCCCAACTTCGTCGGCGAATCCGGCATTCGGAGATCCGACCAATGAAGCCAGGGACAAAATGGTATGCTACTGTACTTCTAAAGTTGATGCACAAAGCGCACCCTACCTGGAATACCTAATACTATTTAATAACGTACATATCCGAGCTTTTTCAAACTGCTCTCACTGAAAAGCTGGTTATTATTGGTAGAATTACTCCTTAATAGGCAAGTCGATCTTGTCATCACCATACTCATTGTCTTCGTTTCGGCTAGAAAAATGCCATCGAATATGCTGATTGTTTGCGAAATTAGTGGATCATCCATTGATTGCAACACTTTGGTGCGCGCTATGCGAAACAAGTATGGAAAGCACAATTTCCGAATTGAGGTTGGTGAATCGTGGAAAGACTAGTAGCATATCGCGTCTGACAGCTTTAGTTACGCTGTGGTCAGTACAGGATCTACCTTAAGCGCTCTTTTTTAGAGCACGAAATGGCCCATTCGCAGATTATGCACTTGATTTTGGGTGCTCAGCAGCCTTCGCCAGCGACATAGCAAAAAAATTGGTTTGGCTAAGGCAGGTGGACATAGGCTGGGGGACAGAGAAGTAAGGAGACTATTGTCAGACCGGGGCTTATTGATATTCTCGCGTCCCCTTGGCTCCATTACCTTATGTACAACTGCAAGTTTGGGGTGTAACATGGAAATATATGGGGATAGAGTCATTTTGCAACTAAAGAAGATATACTAAGCTGGTCCTCCTGGCCGGCCAGGTATCCATCAGTTTGCGCAGTAGCATCTTCCAGTTCAATCTGGGAACGTAATCTTAAATAACAATAGTAACTACTTATTGTATCTTGGAATCACAATTTAAAACAGATCTCTATGTACATGATGTGGAAATTACAGCACCTAATTGCTAACATTGACTGGTACACTCGATTGCAAAAATGGTGCGCAGGTGCTGTACTCTCTTTAATTTTGTGGGCTCGCTGCAGGATACAGTACAGTAGGCTTCCGGGTCCTGGCTTAACTGTCTCTCGGGAGTCAATTGCTCGCCTCTGCAAGTCGCTCGTCATCTCTCACGCTGTCAAGACTAGGTTTTCCCTCCCACATTCCCTCACTATATAGATTATAGAGCCACTGCAATATACAGACACTTTGCCTCCCCACAGGGAAGCGCGGGCGGGACCCTGACGTTACGGTCTAACGCGTTTACGTCTAAGACTGCAGTGACATGTGTGCCATTATGGCCAAACCATACACACACTGTCCCTCTTGACTGCGTGAGGTCGCCAATAAAAGAGTACAGTATAAGCTAGTGACACAGTTTTTCGGAATACTGTATTCGCCAATTTGTTAGAAGTCTCCTAAGAATGTATATCTATTTCAGCCCAGAATGGAAGGGCAAAAGTAAAGATAAATTAGGCCTAACCCCTGTGGGAGACGGCCTTTGTATAATAATACCTGAGACTTGAGTTCTTTCTTTTCTGCTCCAAAAGCCTTTTAACACTGTATTTCCTTATAAGCCAAGTCCCCTTATAAAAATCCAATTCTGACTCTGAAGTGAATTTTTAAAATTCATGTAATAAGCAATTTGAAGAAGCATGGGTAAATATTGGTCCGATGCCGAGCTTATTGTTGCAGTATATTTCACTTCTCGTGGGTTTACAGAAGCTGCTGTATCCCAAATACTCCATGCTCGAGGTTTCCGACGCTCTTACGATGCAGTGTATCGAAAGATAAAAGATATTCGGAACAAACACCCTGTTCTTCAAGCAAAGGACCAAGACTGGGATATCAATGCAGTAGATCTATGGCTAGATGAACTTAGCCTGGATCATCAAACTGTCAACCATCTTATATGCTGTAGTGACCTCGAAGCAACAATAGCTGCTAAGGTATGTTATCACCTATCACAAACAAGATTCTTACTGACTGAACTGCTTCTAGCATGGAGTCGCTGAGTCTATCCTAGAAAAGTTAGAACGTTCGAATTGGCGTTGGATGGCTTAGTATATTCACCCTAGCGAACGAGAGAAATTCCAAACGTCTGTCAACTCCTTGAAGGGTAAAGCAGCGCTGTGTATATTTTCTACTATGTTGGGAAATCAGGATGCCTAAGGCACCTTCGCATATTCTAGTCCCGCAGACATCTGATATATCACACTCACGGGCTAAGGGACACGTAGACATAAGGAAGCGTTGGTCTGCGCTCATTCTCGAAGATAGAGGAACATACTCACCATGCAATACTAGATCGCACGATAGTTTCAATGTACTATCTGGTCACCGCTATCCTAGCACCTCACGACCTACCCTCTTCCCCATACACTCTAATATTCTAATAGATTTTGGTTGTGGATACAGTACATATGTACAGTAATACTGTTAGGCTTTGTTAGATGTTTAGTGCTACTCCCTCTCATAAAAAGTGGGATTCTTACTGTGTTTACCTACAGCGCCTCGCAGAATCAGAATGACACTCAAGAAAAAGCTACGAATATATCCCGGCTACGTTCAACAGATATGTAACTCAATAGCCACGGCCAATCCACCCATTCCCAGACTCTGGATGGACGTGAGTTATCAACAGCTCAGAAAGCAGAGGAGGAAAAAATTTCAATAACTAAACAAAGAGACAATAAAGGTCAGATTTTCCAATAAAGCAGGATATCGGTCTGGGGATCTTGAATGTTACGTGTCCCTCGCGCCTTCTTAGTTCTCACTCTTGATGAGATGTTATAGTAGCTCATATCATCAAGCTCCTCCCTTTTCATCCATTGTAGATCGTGGCCACAGCCCCAATATAGAAGCCATTTATTCTGCCACTGCTCCCCCAGCCGTCAAGTAGGCTAATCGGGATCGTAACTCCTCAATCTCCCGATTTCTTTCTGCTGCTGTTATGTTGTTAAAACTGCCAGGATTCTGTATCGTCTGTCTAAGTGGTTGTCCGTGGCCAAAAAGGCCTCCCTGTACTGGGGGAACGGCAGGAGTTGAGGATGTGTTGTTAAAAAGCCCACTTCTAGATTGGTCGCCAGTCTGGCGACTCGATCTTCGCTTTTGTTCATTTACCACGGTATTCTGCACAGGTCGCTTGCCCCGGGAAATCTCTCCTCGCTGACGGAGTTGCTGAATAACATTGTCCAATGCCATCGTGTAATCCTGCGGGGGTTGTTGGTCCTCAACATCGGCTACTGCTTTTGGGGGCGGAGGATCCTGATGCCTGGGTTTTCGATTGTTCATGGTACTCTGTTTAGGTTGTTTGCCCTGGGAAATCTCCCCTCGCTGACGGAGCTGCTGAATATAATTGTCCAATGCTCCCGTGTTACCTGGCTGGTACCGTCGGTCCTCAACATCGGCTGCTGTTTCTAGAGCTCGACGGGTATTAACATTTTCCGTACCTCCCCTTTTGTCTCGTTCGTGGCGTCGGGCCTGAATTGGGCCTCGTGGTGGTAACTTTGGGATCATATACTTCGGTGGGGTCAACCCATACTTCTCATAGAATTGGGCGATATCATATTCTGCATCCACGCCGTTCCGGAGTTTCCGGTACTCTGTGCGTGTCATGAGGGGAGTTTGTGTGCCAGATCCATCAGCCAGAAGAGGCATCAACCAAGCTTCAGGAACCTTCCTAGCTGACGTTGTATGCACAAAGACCGCCAAAAGCTCCTGCCATTTTTCTTTGTCCATTTCTTCATGACGTCTGACTTCGTTAACCACGGAGGATCCAAAATAAGCCTTCTTTGCTGTCTCGCCTAGTCGTGTCCCGGATCGTAGTTCGCCAATTGGGACGCTTTCGTCAGGTAACACTGCGAAGAGATATGCGCGTATAGGTTCACCATCTTTTTCGCCAATTTTCCATTCGCGGTGGCCACAGATTGGTTCCCCATCACGTGTTACAGGGTTAGACAAAGATGGACCTGCAGTTTGAAGCCTGCCTCCAGCCTGTCGTTGCACCGGAGGACCAGCAGGAGTTGTGGATGTGTCGCCGACCCCGCCTCCAGACAACTCGGTGTAGGGTGGGATGAACATCGCCCAAGTCTCTGGGTAACCATGCTCAACAATAATATCCTTTATCTCATCATTAATACAATCTGCCTTCCTCAGAGCGTCAACATCTGTAGGTGTTTGTTTCAACCGCGACAGGTAGGGATTTATCTCTCTGTAGCGACTTAGTATGATTCCAATCTGGATTTCGCCTTGGCCGGTGTCCATGTCATTTTCATGCAACTGAGCGCGTATTTTTTCATTGATGTTATAGATTCCTTGCAGCGCTTCCATATTTTCCGGGTCTCTCTTCAAGACCTCTATATATTCACTGGCCGTGAGATAGAGTGATCTAAGAGAAGGTGATGGGGGAGGTGACTGCGCCTTTTCTGTCTGGACCATGTCTCCAATTTGCCAGTCTTCCGGCCAACCATTCCAATTACCTTGCTTCTGAAGGAGTGTCTTCACATTTTCATATGCTTCCGCCTTCTGCTTTTTCTCCTCGTTCATTTTCCATATCATGTGATCATGCGGTAATTTGAGATCCTTTTTGGGATGAAGAAATTCATATTGGTGAGCTAGTCGTCGTTCAGCACAACTAAAGATTAACCCACTGTCAAGTCTAAACTGTTCAATGAGGTCCACGTGATTTGAAGGATCTTGATAGTACTTCACAATGCGTCCCTCTGCACCTTTAATCGCTTGTCGTGCTGCCTCATCTGAGGGATCTTCTAGAAGCAACTTTTTGATATAAGGATCGACATCGTTGTAAATTGTCTGGATATCCTGTGGGGCCTCTCTCCGTACAAAGATTTCATTACCCGCCACATCCGGGTTGGGGTCATTATCGGGTTTATCATGTTCGTCATCCTTATATGCACTTGCTGCGAAACTCGGTGCTCCAGGGTCAAGAGTAGGTGAATTGACTGGTTTATCTATATTGTCATGTGCTTGTGTGAGCCCTATGAGGTGTCAGTGGTAGTCCTGGAAATATAAAGAAGTTTAGCGTACATTGATGTGCTATCTTTGCTTGACTGTTGTTCGCGTTCCTGTCTGGATGTACAAGCAGAGCCCTCATAAGGTATGCTTTCCTTTTTGTTGCTTCGTCAGCAGCTCTACTAACACCAAGAATTCGTTCATATTCATCCTCCGCTCCGTTGAGGATGTTGTTGATTGCCTCCTGATTTGCGCCAATTTCTTCATTTAGGTCTTCGCTTCCTCTTTCACTTTCAGGGGCATCTGTTACAGTTGCTGGCACGCCCTTTACAGCTGAATTTTGGATTTGTTCCATGTTGCTGCTGCTGCTTTTGATTCTCGTGTTTTGTGCTCCTAGTCTTTGGCTGAAAAGCTATATATGTATTAAAGTTCGGGCAGTTACATATAATGCGAGTCATTGGGATCACCTTATCCCGTAGACTCCGTGGCTGTTTAAACTAATACAAAAACCAAAAATAACTAGGGCATTTCAAGGATGAAGGGCAGTTACAGGATATTACAACGAATAGAGATATCGAGATTACAGTTAAAGGCCTAAGCCCTCTCACAGTACCAGAAATTTGTGCTAAAAGATACAGAGAAATTTAGATATACATAGAACACGTTTCTCCCCTGTTCAAAGATAATACATACACTTCCTATAGCTATACCCGGATATTTAGGTCCTAATACAAGCCTTAGATTCCTTTTCTGCCTTCTCATTATTCCTATCCCGTCTAGAATCACAATCGATTCATCTCAGCATCGAAAGCTCTTTCAAGCCTCATGAACAGCCAGTTATTATAGATTAGGAAAAGCGAACCGGCTAAAAATGCAAATGACCCTGTTACAGCAGCTGTCACAGTGGCTGTCACAGACCATGATCCTGCTTGCGCCGTGTATATGTTTATGAATGTGTTAAGGAGCCCAGTTATTGAGTTTATCAACACCGGCCTGCCATTTCAGTCAGTTTGTATTCCCAACTAACGGTGCATAACCCACAGGAAAATCTTCCGGGCGAGCCACACAAAATTCCCTCTCCGCCGATAGCACAACCAACCGGTTCCACACAGCCCCATTACGCAGCAAAACCCGGCAACCCCAAGGAGTGATATGTTCTGTACAGCATGGTACGCTGTTGTTCCAATTATGCTCTTCCCCGCTGTTTCTTTAAAGGACGTAGAATTGCGGAGTGATGAAAATGTTCCTGGAAACACGAGATATCCTGCTAAAAGTATCCATGAAAAGAGAGCAGCCAAAATATTATCAAGTATGGGAATCTTCTCCATATCAAGTAACATTTTAACGTACTCCGTTGGATGAGCTGACTGAAGCCTGTAATCATGATTGGACGTTTTCCAACTGGAAGGGAAAATGGACAATAGCCTCTTTGCAGAAAAATAATCATATTTGAGCCACTTCATTTCAGTAATGAATAAAATATACACCTAGATGTTATCACTCGTTCTTTGGTTATAATTTAAATGTAAGGATGCGCTTAGCGCTTCGTTGCTCCTTTATTTAAAGCTAAGCAAATTAACCAACAGCTGGGACTCGTGCGTACATGGGAAATTTGTTTCTTCGTCGTAGATTTCTTTTCCTTTCTTCTTTTTTTTTTTTTCAATTTTGCCCTTGAAGTGACCATAAGAAAAGGGCGTATTTTAGACAGTACATATAATGCAAATCTTTGTACTAGCTGACATATATCCTTATAGCCTCAAGGATAACCGGAAGGAAAAAGAACAGTAGAATAAATACAAATGCAAAGAAGTGAATCATATATATTGCAAAATCCATGTTTGAGAGTCCCTGCAGAAGAGTAAAAAATCAGCATAAATGCCCCTTATATATGCATAGCTCGTGTGATGCTATACAGGACGGAAATAATAAAGCTTTTAACTAGTTTTTCCACTGTATCAGAGTGGAATTTGAGCAAAGAGCTTCGCAGAGATGCCAATCTTTCCAATCTAGACCCGAAATCTATAATTTTAGAGTGTGGTAGACCCTGTCCTTGAGTATTTGGTGCGCCGGTCAACCCTTTTTGGCTTGATGGAATTACAGTACCGTATAACCAAGGTCCGTTAGCTTTACAATTCGTCCTTTTAGTCTAAATTAAGATTTGGTACTGTATATCTCCATCCATGCATCCTGCTCTGTTGATGAACTGGTGGGTAGTAAATTAAAGGGATATGGGTGACGAAAGTTTTAACCTCACCTGGTCTGCAGAAGTCGTGGTATTGGGCAGTCTGAGCTTTTTATACTGCCTTAAGATCGCCCCACAGTGCCCTTCGACTAGACATATCGAAAATCTATGCTGTGTCTATTGCTATGGTAACAAAGTAATGTAATATCCACCTGTTAAGGCAAAGCTATGACTATGTAAGATGCACTTTTAGTTACTTGTATGTGCCATTGGAGATTGCCGGTTTTTGTATTATGGTGTCAAGCTAAGAAGCCTTGCCTTTTCCATGCGTGCCCACTCATTTTTCCACGTTATATATAGCCCTTACTTATACCCACGGACATTATACCAACACATTCGAAAATAATGCATTCTCCTTATGTTTTTTCTTACTCACACTAAGTCAGGTATTGTTTTATCAGCTAGATTTTGCTTCCAATTTAACATTATCCCAGTTTAGCTAAAGTGGCGGTTACAGTAACACAAACCAATTCACCCCGAGCACGGTCCATTCCAGCCCATAAATTTGGTAGGTGCACCATTGGGGTTCTATCAAGGTCGACTTTCTGCGAGATGCAATTACAGATCGCCTGCTACGGCATCCCAGGAAGTCCAGTTAGGTCGCAATTAGGGACTCCAGATATTACAGCAAGCAGGTCATGCTCTAGAAAGCCGCAACCCCGATCCCCAAGCCGCACGTAGCGAGCACCACGCCGTGTCCCTAGCATCGGCTTCCTATTTATCATTGGTATTACCTGGCTTCAGTATGTTCTGTTTCCTAGTTATGATTTTCCGTGGATAGAATGTGGTGAGGAAAGCAAATATTACAATATAGGGAACTAATATCTTAGCGATTGGACAGGTTTGATAGTGCTGACTTGAATGTACGTTACTGATGCAAGAAAGAATAAGGCATTGGGATCAGCTCAATACTTTCAGCCGTAAAACTGGAATCCAATAAAGCACTAACTATCTGCTGGGTGGTACCGACTAAGCAAATAATACGAATTGACTGCACGTAAAGTATATATTGCAATTTTGCCTGTGGAATCCTTTATAAAATCACCCCACAAGACTTGTTCAAGTCTAAAGTGACAGCGCTTTTTAACTGCAATCATTAAATGGCGTGATACTTGGTGCGCGCTGATTGGACTGCGACTGCTCATTTCCAGATATAGAGTGCGCGGAAGCAGTCACAGACATTCTGGTAGTTTGAGATTGCTTTGTGTTCCGTGTATCACTGCCTGAGAGATCAGAAGAAGACTGTCCCCCAGTTGTCACACCAACATGGGAGGATGATAGTACTGTGGTCGATCCACAAGTTATTTTATGACTCTGTATTGTTGATCGTACCACTCCCGGTTTAGGATTGATCAAGAACAAGGAACCTCCATCACAGAAACACGTGGGTGCCACCATAGGACAGGCAAAATATGCCATTGTGGGGGATTCTGATGACACAACAGAAATCTGTGATGTACCGGCATTGTCGGCCAACAAATTAATTTTCCTGTGCGACTTGCATACTTCCTCGGGAGGATTGTAAGGGGTCTCATATAAATAGAAAGGTACATTCTTAGGGGCAATGAAGACAATAAGAGAGCCTATTGGCACGTTTTCAATAGTATTTGGGGTAAATTCCAGCTGCCCATCAGCTCTGTGGGAAATATCGACAAGATACTGGGGGCGTTGGGGGACCTCGGTCGGTGACTTCGAAGACCTTGGAAAATATTTAGTAAATTAATCAAGCTCAAATCAGATATTTACATACCCGAAAATAATGTTAAAAAAGAGGAATGAAAGCAGCAAGATAAAAGCCATTTGCACAGCAACTTGGATACAATGTGTGTTGAAGGTAGGTATACTGAGGTTGTAAGAAAAAGGCAAGTATCGGAGACTTTATATGACTAGGCTGTGGCAATACATATCTAGGGCCGGGAACGCGACCATACAGATCTGGCAAACCAAATTTACATTTGCCTTTTAGAGATTTAGGATGCATGTTCTACGTACGCATTTCCAATCTTGATCAGATTGTAAGTCTTTTTAAAGATTTCTAGGGTTATACATAAACAGTCCCAGCAATTAGCTGAAAAAGTCCGCATTTGCCAGTACCCAGCCCGCTCATTCTAGAATCATTATTTCTGGGGCAAGAGGGATGACCTGAACGAATACTATAAGGAACCCCAAATCTGGTCCTATGCTACCGTGTACATATTGTACTATCTAAGAGATTATATACAATAATTACCCCGACATCAGTGTTTATTCCCAGCATCAAAAGCTTTCTCTGGTCCCATACAAAGCCAATCGTATCAAAAAGAGACCCTCAGAAGCAAGGGTAAAGGCAGTCACAGATTGATATGGAAATATATGGACCTGAGAGCCTAGCACGTCGGCTCCTTGCGCGGTATTTCCCCTAGGTCTTACCCCAGCAGATAGAACTGCGTTCATTATATAGCAATTAAAGCAATGTACATACTATCAAATACTGTCCTTAGTAGGCTATGTATGTGTAGCTGGTATAGTGTACTTCTTCCCCCGTTCCCCTGAATTATAGTAATCGTGTCGAGATCGCTTCTCATATTATTAACCTGCCTGCGCTGTATACGCATTGATAAATGTATTAACAAACCAAGTTGCCGAATTTATAAGAATCGGCTAGAACTGGTAAACATGATGGCCTTGACTAGACAACAGAAAGAGGTAAATGTACAGTACCTGGACAAACACGATACTGTATCTGGCCAGGAGAACCCAAGGAAAAAAAGGCAGCTAAAATATTATTGTAAAGAGGCATGTTCTGCATCTCAGCATACATAGTTGGCAGCGCTTGGTTTCCATTATTACAGTTTGAAGGCACAAGGCATGACAATTTTCTTGGATGAGAAGATAACTCTTTTTCCCCACCCCAGCTCCATAGGTAAGTTATGGCAGAGCCTCCAATGCGTCTAAAGTTATTTTAAAGAACAAGCATATTTATATATTGTGAAATAGCAAAGGTCATATCGATCCACACCGTTTCAATAGTCTTCGCACTGCGCCTTCAGGCCGTTCTTGCTTATAGTATTCTCCCCCCCAAAGCAATATCCGGTGGTACTGTACATAGAGAAAACAATGTATACACCGTGCAGCAGTGACAGTCTTTCTCGAAATCGGCATAGCCAACAAGTATGTAAAACCCATATAAATTTTATTTAGTGTAAATCATTTAAGGGCCGTCGCGTGCGGCACCGCGCATCACCTTTATTTGCGAGGATAAGGATTTCTATTTTCTCCGTTGCATGTGAGAGGGACAAAGTCACACCTTGAACAAAGTCATGTTTTGTTGCTACTGTGACTCTGTCTTGCCGAACAATGGATTCTGGCTCTAGGTCTTTGATCATGTTGTCATTGAAGAAGCAGTACTGCGATTGGAGGCGCTTGTCCTTGTAGGAGAATATCTGGTTAATGCGCCTTCTTCTGATCTCGAGCCACTCGCATCCGCGCAATGGCTCGGACACATCCACTGTCAAGTTGGTCCCGATTTTAATCTCGATATAGTCCTCATTTCTTTGGCGAAGAGTATAGCCCTTTTTTAAGCAATTAAGTAAGAGTTGTCGGATTGGCTGTGCAGTAACCCATACTCCCTAGAACCTGAGTGGAGTACCATATGATTTTGAGCAATTCCACTATGTTCTCCAACATCCCTAAGGCGAGCGCCAATTAGGACAGGATTGCCTCCCAGATCGGATAACTTGTGAAGCCAGTCCTCTTTCTCAAATACCAAAGACCATAGTCCTTGAACCTCTTTCTCACTTGCCCAAGGGAAGACATGAAACGCTGCTTGAGCATTTACCGCAGAAAGGGGTGGAAGATAGCGGATTATGCGATCAATAAGCTCGCGTGGAAATTTCAGAAGCGACATAGTCCTGGGAAAGGATCTCCAGCAGGAATAGAAAAATAGTGACTTCATTTGCTGATAGAAAATACTACAGTAAATAGTTATTTGACGTAAGATATATTAATACTCACACACAAAAAGCCTAAAAAATAAACTAGTTAGTTAAATAATTAGTATATCAGAACCCGACGTTGGTCAGATATATTTGTTAAAGGTGCTTGGCAGTGTGGCCCAGTAATAATTAATAAGATTTTCTAGTCATGCTAATTTCAAGAACGAGCATACATACTCACATCATTACAGTATATTCTTTAATTGTTTTCAAATCCTAGTACATATATACTAGTATTCCTGGATTCTGTATAGTTACAGGAATACCCTACAATTATTAGTGTATATAATATATCCTATTGGTATCGCTGGATCCAAGTGTTGAATAAATTCTATCCAATTCCAACGATTATTGTCCAGGAGCTTCAGGCAATACAGTAGACAAAACAAGTTCAGTTGCGAGAACTTGGGTCACTGCTTCATAGATAAGTATAACCCGGCCCTTTTAGAACGGTTCTGATAAATATACAACCACATCCTGAGCAGTCCATATTTTCACAGTAGATAGTGAATCTGGACACGCATTGTTGCCAATTTCCGCAATTCTGCCTATCTCCGTCGAGTCAATTATTATGTCATTTGGCCCCTGCAAATAAGTGATTTAGAATGACATTTCTTGAAAATCAACTAGAGAGCCCGAACATTATGATATAGATAAACCCCTGCCTTTCTCCATGTAGCAACATTGGAGTAACCGGACTTGTACTGGCGGTTGAACTGGTGATTCTTGAGGAAATATATGGGATGGATGATATCTTTCTGTATGTTATACTTTGTCAACTGGCAGCTAATGCCTGTCTTAATAGGTGTCAATATTGACCGTGCTGTATAGAAATATATTGTCTCTTACAATATTCAGTTCTCCAGCACCGATTACATCTGTTGTTGCCAGTAGATATTGTGTAAGGATTTTCGGGTTCATTGCGTCCAGTGCAGAGCCAGGTTGACGACTGTTATTTGTATGCACTAGCAATTAATTTCCCCCGAGCTTATTCCCTCTTCGGTTACGAGCTGCTCTTTGATCGATGGCACTCCTCACCTTTGCAGAAGTGCTGTTCTGAATGGGTTTTTGACCTTTTTGCCAGAAACTGATAAATGAATAAAAACTAAATAACATAAGTACAGTATAATAAAGATAAATTGCAAGAATGCAACAATGTGACCTACATGCCCGTTGCTTTAAAAAAGGTATTGCTAGTGGCAAATGCGGTTATCTAAAAGTGAACTAGTTAGTAGGCTTAATAAAGGGTTCGCTAGAAAAGCATCCTCTAAATATATTGCTCAACTTAGTACCGGAAGTTAGGGGGAAAAAAAGAGAGAAAAGTTCTGTTGCTACCGAAGTTCCAACTTAAACTATAAAATGTATATCGCGCAATGCATTACTACCAGGCTTATACACTCTACTGCATGCAGTGATCTTCGAGATTAGCTTGAGCAATAACTCTCATAAATTATTCCAAGAACGCACCCCCCGTGTTTAGTGTAGGAAATATTTGGGGTTAAAAACTAATTGGGTTAGATTTTTTTTTTACACCAGGTACTTGACAGGGAAGTCTAAAATAATTAAAAAAAAGTTGCTTGTGAAGCTGATTTGAGAATCACTGTATGTATAGTTTAACACTCTCAATTAACTTGTATTATTCAACGAAAGAAGCGAAGCTGGAGAGGAAAGAAGGAAAGAGGAAACTATCTAAGCAGAGACACTGCTAATATACGCCTTGATAACAAGCACCAAGTCTTATCAGCCCAATCAAAAAATGTTTACTCCACTGTCTCCAAACCGGCACTCTTCCTCTTCCGACTGCCTCAATCGTCACAATAGAGGGATATATTGAACAACTCAAGATCCATCGGTGGACTGGCTTACTGCCATACTCAAAACAAATTTCATATACTTGTAGCGGCTATCACATAATAGCGACACAGTACAATGAATCTATGACTGAAGTAACAGCGGCCACGTTTAATGGGTGTATAAACGGCGCGAAGGTGGTATACACAGAGGTGCCATTCTTTCCAAGCAAGATTTGCTCGTGACAGAAGAAAGCGGAGGATCTCTTTTGTACTTCCAGCTCACCCCGTCATCCTCGAATACTGGGTCGTATGAAAGTCTTCGATATACCCTTAGTTGCATCTCGTCGAAACTAAGGTCCGGTTCATCCAAGCTTGTGAAAATCCAGGACTTGTTCCCGACAAAGTCCTTGCCCCTACGGTAAGTCCACCCTTCTCGAAGAGTCCAGTCGCCATTGAAGATCTTTTTGTCGAGGGCTGACTGAGGTGTTTCCAATGGTATGTCCAGCTCGAATTTCGTCCAGTACTTTTTCTGAGCTCCTCGGTCGCGCCCTGAGGGAATTAGTAAAGAGATCAAGAGCCACCTCGCAGAGACAATTTACTTACGCATAAGGACCTTCAAAAATTTCCCCATAGTATCTACCCAAATTTTGAAATAATTGCTTTGGCTAGGGCCAGATATGTGCATCACACTGTCAGGTCGGAGAGTCCTCCTTTTATAGATAATCCGCAGTAGCGCGCTACACTAGTAGTAGTAGTAGTAGTAGTAGAATTCATACGCTGATCCCTCGCCTTCGGCGATATGCAGGACCCGACTGTCGCAGGAAATGTGGGAAATCTCTACATTGTGAGATTAACAGTGAATAAAGCAGACTTGTTGCCTCAGGCTGTGTTCGACCTAGGCCCTGACACAAACGTGGTACAGAAGATGGCGACCTCTCCTTCCCAATGTAAACATAGTGTATTTTTAAGCCCTAAACACTAACATGCACTAGTCCTATCATGGTTAACTTAATACAACATTATTGTTTCGTATCTAAATATACTTGGCTAAACATTGATTAACCATGTTTTAAGAACGATTACTTGTTTGATACAAACCATTTAATTACAGGAACACATGGTATTTCTTTATTCGGGTTAGCTCGGAAGCAGGGTTAGGGTTCAAGAATATTTTTGTATGTGTTTACATGGGAAGGAGAGGTCCTTAGCGTGCTCTGTTTGACTCCTCTTATTTTCCCCCTGAAAAGGAAATATGTGTCTCTGGAGTTACTAGCACATAGCCATGCAAGCTTGTCGAAAGGATACAAATGTTCCTAGGTGTGTACCCATAGATATAGTGATAAAATCATCATCGTGCACGGCAACCACTTTGTCCTTAAAATATGGATGGACGAATTTGGAAAGAAGGGACACTTCGAACTCTAGTATTATTAAGCGGACATTTACTACTGAATCGAGCTGCTCAACGTTCGATAGACAAGGTCAACAGCCTAATTCCTGCGCGCTGTAGCGCTGAGGTGAACTGTATCATCACCGGTGCTATGTATCGTCTTGGCCAATTGCAAAAGGGTGTTTGATTTTTTGATGGTGTACCCACACAAATCGGGAATTGGCCTTATCAAGGTGTCTTATTGTTTTCTCTGAGACGAAAATTGTCAGGCCATCAATGTTATTCTCCATGATTTTCCTGGCCCAGTTAAAAGAGATTATCCGCGCTTGGCTTCAATACTTGGACTTGGAGTTTATTTCTTGGTACATAGTTTACAGTGGATCTATGTGGAATTTATGCCTTCCGAAACCTAGATACTGTATCCACTTTTATTCGACATTGAGCCGGACCCTCCACAGCATGTTATGTACTCTCCATTCGTGTACGTAATGTGAAGCCAAATTCAGCACTGTGCAGTACTAGAATGTGACAACACATTTATACAGCATTTCTCGGAACTGGTGTCACCACTTTATTCATTTGATTTCCGACCTGCAAGGGCTTTTCCTCTAACCAACACTTTCACTTCCCGGGAGTGAGCTAGGGTTTGAGAGCTTCTTAATGACAATAATCTCTCTTTCCTAGACTTAAAAGATTTGACTTCGGAGGCTGGCAGTTGCCATTCTGCCAACCATATCTGGACCCGTAACTGGAGGCGGGAACCAACTTTCCTTTTCCCAATAAGATTACTTTGCACGTTTGCCAGCCTACCCATTTCGTGTTCCCAAAGCCAGATAAGGATCATGTACTGTGTATCCTGACCAATCCTCCTAGAATTATCGATGAACCATCGTCTCCTTGGAGGTATGTGGAAGGACTTGTAGGGCCTGTTCTGTAGCTTGCTGCGCCGAACAGTTTCGCCTGCCTCTGGATCTCGATTCGTGGATGACATATTCGGAGTAGTCACCTGTCTAACATTGTTATTCCAGAGGCGCCAACGGCTTTGCATATTTAAGAGTGACGCGGTAGCGTTGCTTCACCGCGGAGCTGTTCCTGTAGTTGGCAATCGATGATGCAGATATATGTTGCTTTGTTTAGGGCGGTACTTTAAAGAAGCAGTAGTAAGGGTGAGGCATTACACAAAAAAAACTGCTGCAAAACCGACACGGAAAGATGTCGCTTTATATATTTATGCCGCAGGTATAAGTAGGGTATACATTCCATCTGGCATTAATACTGTACTCCGAAGTATTTTATTATTCGAAGCACTATAGCTGTGGCTTTGTAACATTCCTTTTTATTTTATTTTGCGGGTGCTATTGACTACTTCTCCCGACAACTCCATCAGCGGTGGGAAGCTATGCATTCAAGTTTCCTTGGTGCTTGCCTAATCCTCCATATGTTGAGGTACGTTGAGCGAGGCGGATTGTGATTGTTGCACTTAACTAATATCGTGGTAAGGGTATCCGGGACAGATGTAGGACCAAGACAGTCAACTGCTCTCGTTGGTAGTACTCCTGCCCCAACGGCCACAAGAACAGGGTCTGTTATCCTAGGAATCGTCGACGGCTATTTCCCGTGGCTTGGGTCCAAGTCCCATAAATTATCACTGACCATCAACACAGCACCCGTCATAAATGTTCCAGTTCGAGCAAGTCATTCGTAGTGTCCTTTAGTGCTACAGTTACCAACACGCCGAACTATATACCTCAGAATAAAACGCAAAGCCGGCCGCACCTCGGAATCCCACAGCCAACACCATCCGGACCAAATATTCTGTCTCCAGCTCCGGCTTTCCGGGCGTCATTATGGTTGCTGCTTTTTGTGCTTGCTTTGTGTGTGCTAGCACTATAGGCGGTTTAAGCTGCATGATGTTAACGGGCATAACGATACTAAGGCTAGCCATTAAATGGATAGTATGAAGGTACCTCTAGGAATGATATACTATATCTTAGCAGGCGAGTTTGAAAATTCAGGATCGACATAATTGTCAAACAGCCTGGCCACAGATTACAGTGAGATTCCTTATAGGGATGAATATTATATGGTACTATAGTGACGATAGATTTTATCATTGACTCTGTTTAAAGCCATTGGATATCTGGTCGCGTGGAGGGCCGAAAAACAATTACTATTTTTTTGTTAAGCTAACTGGTACATAAGTTGATTCATTTGGCCAATTTGTCGATCTGCAGCCACGCATCGGCACGTAGTTTCTCGAACAGATACCAAGGAAAAGAGACAATAAGCAGGGACAAACGAACAAGAACAAGGCGAGAACGATGGCATTTGTCTAAGTACACCCATCATCTGTGATGGTTGTTGCTTGGCTAATAGGTGGCGACGTAAAGGCTGACGCTATTATCCCCTGTGACGATAATATTACGTTTGAAGATCCCATGCCACTATTGGAAGCTAACGGAGCACTCTCCTTTCTGGAAGTCTGTGAATTAGGTGACGGTACCACTTTTGTCACTGATACAGGACTAGAAACCCCACTATTAGATGTTGAAGGTGTTGCTGTTGGGGTATAAGCAATTGTATGCGCCTTGATCGCCGTCCGATCCGGGCTGGGACCTGGGTTGAGAAAGAAAAGCGAGTAGCCGTCACATACGCAAGTCAATGAAACAAGGGGGCACGCAAAATAAGCCTGTGGCTTGGATTGTGAGGACACCATATAAATGTGCGTTGTGATGGTATCTTCGGTTAAGCCATTTGTCTGTTTGACGCATGTGTCTTCAGGAGTGTCATAAGGCGCCTCGAAGAGATTGAACGGCAAATCTGTGGGAGCAAAGAACCAAATAATAGCGCCTGCAGGCACTCCTTGAAGGATGTTCGGCCAGAACTCAAGCTGCCCATCAGCCCTGTAGGAGACATCAACCAGATATCGGGGGGCTGTTAATGTAGTCGGAAAACGTGAGGATAATTCCGGACGCCTTGTATCAGTCGATCCTTTTTTAATTGTTTCTCCGAGACTCAAGTGGAGGCAGAGGGACCCTAAGAATGCGTATAGGAAGTTCATTTTGCGAGAGCCGACGGAGAATAGTAGTTATGGAGACATGCGTATATGTTTATATCAGCATGCGTCAGTGTACCATCGTGAAGACTAAGAGTTTATAAACTGGGGATGCTGAAATAAAAGGGCAAGGACGCGGTATTTTATATCTTTCCGGCAACATGTGACTGCGATTCTAATAGGGATATTAAAGGAAGCGGAGCTCAAGGGCAACAGAAACACGAAGAAAAGGAACCACAATAGGCTGCTATGGCTCTACAAGTCTATAGACATGGTAATATAAGCCCTAATAGACCTTAGGCTGGAGCTGTTGAGAGGCTTTAGCATATTCGTTGGCTCTGCTCCGTTTCCAGATTGCTATAAACTCTTACTCCTTACGGGGATGCAGTGGCGCAAAACTCATACAGATATGTATAGATATGTAAATACAGTATACCTCTATAACAATACTTATTTCGCACTGGTAGGATCAAGATTTTGTAGTAATATATTCCATAAACACGTGTACTGACCACAGCAGGACGACCAAAAAAAAAAAAAAGGAATCCAGACATGTGAAAAGACAGGGCTCCCGGTCTGATATCCTAGGTAAAAAGGTTCCTTAAAAGTCATAGCTGCGCTCGTGTTGGAAAGCTTAAATATATAGCCCCAGGACGGGTTCGGTTGTTGTTGGAGCAATTGTTGACACCGTGCTTAAAAGTGGCTCCTTCAAAACACATGCAATATATGTAGACTTCTATTGTGCTGCAGTGCTGACATAGTATTAAGTTGGACCGCAGGCACAAAATATTTTGACATGAGCGACTTCGAAACTCGCATCTGTACTGTAGATATTGTGGTTCTAAAGAGCTGTTCACATCTTCGGTTAGACGTAAGGGAGCCCCCCACGAGGTGATGATGAGGGAATGGGCCAATATGTAAGGAACAAGTGGCAGCTGCGGCTGTGGCCGGTGTAGTAGAATGGAGGGTCAGTACAGTACCAAGGAAATAGTAGTATAGGATTTTCTTGCTGTGTAACAATTCGAGGAAAGGAATTCTAGCAGAAGACTGCGCATACAATAAGATGATGCGGTATATATGCCTACAGAATCCCTCTAGAGGACGCTTTTAGCGATCATTAATAAGGCTACGCTATCAACCTAGTATATGAAGGACTAACAGTCTAAGCAATCTTTTCAATTCAGTTGGCCAGATCAATAATTTACAAGTCTCAGGTGCGTACGGCCTGGACACCGGGCCAATAATTGCACCGTATGCTTCGATATTGAAAAGCTTCTAATTTGAAAAGGACTGTTTTGCAGTGACCGCCGAGAATAATGGTGGCGGAATCTCTTATCTTCTCCAGAACAATCACCGCATCCATCGTAACGGCAACATCGATTGTCTATGATACCTCGACAGGCTCAGCCACGATAAAACCTCCTGGAGAAGTTACAAACTCGACTAATCCAAGCCAAGCCACCAATCTGATGTCAACTGGGATAATGACACTACTCGAGGGACTTTGGATTCTGCTTGCAGGCTGGATGATATAGTGTAACTGTACATACATAAAGTATCACATCCACCGAGGGGAAATGAATTATAAGGCACTGTATGTAAGATCCACAGAAGCTTGTGAAGGCCAAATTTCGCTATGTAGCAATGTGACATTAGGTTCGGCTGTGGAATTCACTGAGTGCACAATGGTGGTTCTAATTCTTGCGTCCCTGCCAGTTCCGACGGTTTCCATTCCTATGGGAACGCAGCAACCTTGTGCCAGTCCGGTTTGGAGTGGGGGTGTTTCTATCTTCAATAATCTAAACACCGACCTATATGTTGCGTCTGTTTCAATTACCGATGGTCCGGTTCAAGTTCTTACTGCTAATGGTGGACAATACCATGAAACATGGAGGCCGGTAGTCGGTGCAACAGGTATCTCTATCAAGATCGCTATGCGAGTTGAAATGCACGGCATCCTACAGTTTGAATATAGTGCTGTGCCCCCAAACGTCTACTGGGATGTGTCCTGTATCGATCTGGAAGACAACACCCGCTTCATCGAGGAAGGCTTCGCGGTGAGCACGAGTAGCCCGAGATGCGCACCTGTCACGTGTCAACCAGGGGAGGGAAACTGTTCAGACGTCTATCACAAACCAACCGACAACCACGCTGTCCGAGGTTGCCCAATTGATACTAGTATGGTGATGCAAATTGGGCTGTAATACTCTTGTTTCTGGCATGCACGTTCCTACGTTTACATTGAAAACCGCTATGGAAAGGACGATTGACGACAGCATAGAGAACCTGGTAGAATTCCTGGACTATTCGGTCCTCAATCCCACTACCATGATCGGGAAATAAGATGAGGATTAGTGCAATGGTTTGGTTGATTAGAGTAGCACTAGATATATTAAATAAGATTTATCAATCGACCGATCAAGGATTTGCTGCAGGGTAAAGGAGATAAGAACAAAAGCCCCAAAGTATAGAGCAGGATAGAAAGGGCCCGAGACCAAAAACAACAAATCTGTTCAATGCTAGAACAGACCTGTCTACTTGGATAGTCACGGTTGCGGCACTTGTGAGTGGGATCTCGGTACTCTTTCTCTTAGGATGCCCACAAAGAAGTTTGATGATAGTTTTTGGGCCATTATTTCTTCATCGCTGTAGTCCTCTAGCAAGTAATACCCTTCGGGGTCTCTCAAGTACAACAGGATATTAGGTAGCTCCGCATCGACCGCCGAAATTATACCAGGCCGAAACTCCTCGAAAAGCTGACCCACTACCTGGCAATCCGGAATCGCAAGGTCCCGGTATGATGTCGTATTCAGCTTGCGGGTTTGGGGAAGGCGGATGGAGACTTTGCGAGGAATCAGACAGAGGATGGCTGGATTTCCATTGCCCATGAACTTTACAAGATGGCCCCAGTAGGATCCCTTTTGGGCTTCAAGTATCTTTTGAACGTCAGCCAGACCCACGGGCGAAGATGAAGGTTTTCCACGCATGATGTGATCCATGAAGTCATCTCCAATCATTTCTTTCATGTCTTGCAACTTCCACATGCCCAGCCGCGTCCCAATAGCCGACAGCGCCTGATTTCCGACATGGCAGCGCGTGGCATTGAACGTCCCCCAGAGTGAGTCTGAGTAGGAACGTTCTCCTAATGCGACTCGCTCCCGCAGCTGGCCCATACACTCCTTGATTGTCACGAGGACATCCGGGGATGCGATATTAAGCGCCATCAGTAATAACTCACTGGCACGGCCTGGGCCAAGCTGATGACGTGTATTGCCCTTGTACCGGGTGGCAAGCTCCTGAACCCTGTCCCAGAGTCTTGTGTCAAAGCCCTGTTTCCTCCCAAAATCAATCCAAAACTCCTGAAGGGACACACTGGCTGCCTCGTCGGTACTCGTAGGCACATGTCCAGGCGCCTTACGTAAGAGATGAGTGCTGTACACTGCTTTGAAGTCTGCAAAGATCTCTCGAGCCAGCGTCAATCGAAAGTTGGCCGGGGCAGGTGACGATGGATCCCTCTGCTCGACCCTGAGCCGTGTCACCCAGATGGCCCATAGTCCCTTGTCATCGGCAGTCCACGTGGTCACATCCTGCACCCGGTATTGCCATGCAGGAACTACCTTTCCCTCATGGCGCAAGAGCCGGCCGACCGTGTTAACAGTTTCAATGCAATGGCTACAGCCGTCGTGGCTACTCGGGGGAGTGATTGGACCAGCATGGGAAGATCTGTAGTGGACGACCGTTCCTATGTGAGATTCGATCTCCACCAATGACCACTGGTCGGATGGCCCACATACTACCAGGACCCTGCGCCGACTGTTCAACAGCTGGTTTAGGTGGTGCTGAGTGCCAACCCAGATCTCCATCGGGCCTTGCAACGACATCAGTTTACGTGTGAAATAGTCAACAGTTAACCCGCCGGCAACTTGAACGGGGCGAGTAAGCTGTTCCAGCAAGGCTCTCATCGTGGTCCCGTTGTAGCTGCCCCATGCAAACATGAACTCTTCATCGGGCGGGATGCAGTCTATCGACACAGCAGAAGGATCTGGGCCTTCCAATGCAATACCCAGCTCCTCCATTGCTCGTGCCGTTGCGGCAGCCGGCGAACTATGGGACTGAGGGTTGGACGGTCCCTCACTGTTGTTGGATGAGGCTTCGGAGGAGAGCTCGGCAACAGGATCAATAGCTGCCTCGGGAGCCGGTTCGATCATGTCGACATTTAACTCAATGGGGTTGCTTAGACTAATCCCCAGACCGAAGGGGTCTTCTGTGTGCAGGAAGCTCGGTTGGACCATAGATTCTATGTTAAGCGTAGCCGGCCAATTAGTGTCGGGATCAGGTGAGGGCAACGGCGGTAATGATAGGGCTGATGTACTAGCGTCTGTTACCTGGGGCACGAATAACGATTCGGAAACTCCTGCAGCGAATCCACCTTCGGCAGCGGGCAATGGCCCAATGGCGTCAACCAGTGCCCGTAGATTATCTAAATCATCAGGATGAATTGTGGGCGGCACAGAACCTTCCTCGAATGCAGCAGCCAGGTCGGAATCCAGGGTGTTAAGGTCCATCAGATCCACTGCTCCAAAACTTGGCTCCTGTCCAGAGTGCCGTCCTATCTCCTGGGAGGTGTCATTAATGGTTTCCGTATTGTTGTTCGAGCTAGAATCACTCTCATCGATGATGGACGGTGTACTCGAAGGTACCTCGCTGACAGATAACTGGCGTCGTCGAGTGGTCTGGGCTCGCCGTGCAGGAGAGGGCGATGCGTTGTCCTCCGCCTCCAAACGAATAATATCTGCGATATTACGAACCAATCTAGAGACACCAGGCGACCCTTGATGTGGGTGAGCAGATATCGCCGGCCATACAGCCTTGATCAAATCCGCCTATCACTCCTATCACTAAGAAAACCCTGCAGATATTGGAGCCTCACTGACCAGTGCTTCAGCTCTATAATCTAAGCCCGTACAATTCTGACACTCACAATTACCGTCCAGGATACGAGTTAATGCGCCATGCTAAGCTCAGAGTCAACACCACGTGCAAATCACAAGGAGTATTGACTTACCGCTTTCTCCAAAATCTCCTGCTTGACTTGGGGGCTGATCATCCTGTCCAGTTGAGCGAAAAAGGAAGACAGGACAAACGAGCGGAAGAGCAAGGCAAGAAAATCCTCAAAGAGGGCTGCCCTTTCGCTAATAATTTTAGCTGGTCATCCTGCCTATATGCCCAGACTTAACTCGTCGTCCAACATGGGTAATTGCCCATGGCGCGATGTGTTTGGTCTATTGAGCTTCCTGTGCACAGTCCCAACATCGTCCAGTGTCGCATTCTGATTAGCGCCCATCAGCGTACTTTTTTTTCTCCTGAGTGTGATGGTGGACCCGGGAGAACGGTAGCTTCAATACACTATCCACTTGGGCGCTTTTCGTGGACATAACGCCCTGGGAGGTGTTTACAAGTAGGAGGCCTATTCTAGGCGAATTTGTGTGATACTCAGGATGCTCTGCATAGCAATTTCGTTCCGTGCAATGCTTAGTCTGTGACAACGGGGGCTCTGCTTGATTTGGCTGATATTAAATAACATGGCAGAAGACTTACGATCAGCCAGGTGCACGGATCCCCTATTGGAGGAACGCTATCGGTAAATAATTTAAATGGATGAACTGTGGCGGTTCTAGACAAGACCTATTACATGGATTCTGGCTCAGTGAAGGACAGGGACCGGGTGGTAGTAGATATGAGGATGAAATTGTTTGGCCCCATGGATAGAGTGCCAAACGCTCGGTAGAATACAAATATTGTATGCTGCCCAAGGGGCCTCCTGGATTGTCAGCTACGAATCACGGCCGGAGACGGTAACAGTGGCAATGGCAGCAGAGGCTGAAGCGGTATGGATTATGTACTCCCATCTGCCCTGCATCGATAATAGCTGATGACGTGGTGTTAGACGCCAAGCATGTCTATCCTATCCTCGGCTCATGAAAACGAGCCGCTAACGGCACAACTCAATTCGTATAAGAGGGACAACGAAAATCTTCGGACTCGGCTCACGGCACTCCATGCGCGGGTCTCCGACCTACAAATTGAGAATGCCAAAGTCCATCAGGAATTAACTATAGAATGCCGCCAACATGCACTAACTGTTAAGGAGTTGTTACAACTCCGGGAGCAAGTACAACGCCTGGATGAGACATATGCCTCCCTACAACAATCAGTGGGTGAAATTTGTCAGCGAGCGGCCAGCCTGAGGATTGCCTGTCAGAACGTCGAAGAGCGGTACGCTCATGGCAGGAATCCCATGCCAGGTTCTTTTCAGCCGCGCCAGCTTTTACGCCAACGCCTTCAGCATGGTCCGATTACACTGGCCAATCCCAGGCCGTGGAGAGAAACTTGGCGTATGGTTTGAACTAGAGGGTATCTATTTTCTTTTCTTTTCTTTTTTTTGGGGGGGGGGGGATAATTCGGAAGTTTTGTGGGAGATTCTTTCTTTTTTCGATCAAATGTTTTATACAGTGGTATGGTTTAATTTTTTATTTTCCGTTTTTGTTATTTTTTTTCTCCAAGAGAAGGAAAAATAAAGGGGGGCTGTTCTTATCAAGTAAACTAAAATAGAGTTCCATCCTTGTTGACAATCCAGTGAACTTTGTCTATTCAGGCCGATCAGACGCCTCTGAATTACCCTATGTGGAAAGGTCAAATATACCGAACCCGCTTCCTATAGTTTGAGGGTGGTTGGATTGGTCTGTTTTTGCGGTGGACCCGCATATCACAAGATTTGCATGCGGTGCGTGCCGGCAAACCTTGTGTGTTGCTCCAATACAGTTCCTGTTGTTCGAGGAACCAGCACAAAGACAGCGGAAATCCACCCAAAGGTTGAGCCTGTTCGCCATCGAGCCGCAGCGACAGAGTTATCCGACTATGCAGCTCTTTCACCGCGAAGCGGACGGGCACGCAGTACCTGCGGCACATCTCACAAACTGCGTCGGAGTACGGCGAGATTCCGAGCGTCTCCTCGCCGAGTATAAAGGCGGACGCGTGCGGATGGAGCTTGGTAAGGGCGTCTACAAAGATGTTACCCCTCACGCGGCATCTAATTGTGCCTATGCAATGATAGAAGCCGTCCTCCCACTGGGGAACAGAGGACAACTCAAAGAAGAGACTGGCGAGCAGCAGGGATGTTAGCGCCGGTGGCACTTGAATCCTGGCTTCTTTGTCTACTAGGCTGGTCATCCACCTGACCTCCCCGGCAGAGTTTAAACGGGGCTCTTGGCTGGGGAAAGTGACGTCTAAGCGGTGGTAATTTCGTTTCGTGGCCTCATCCAGCTGGCCCAGAAACTTTTTCCAAGCCTCCTTAGCATCCATGGATGCCATAAAGAAGTCATACACGCGAAAGGCAAAACCCCGCTTCTTGGACCGACGGCGCCGGGCAAGGCCCAGACCGGGTGGGTGACCCACATTGGCTGACCCCGTTCCTAGTGATATCAAAGTCCCAGGCTCTAACCTGGAAGGCCACATGAACCGTGTCTCAGAACGACAGATCAGCGCGGGATTATTCTCCTTGAGTCCACCGTCTTCGCAGCTACCTATTCCCGGCAGATCAATCGGCGGAAAGAACCTGTCTCTGATTTTAGCCTCCGTAACGTTTGATTGCCGCGACAGGCAGTGCAACTGACATGGGGGCTGCGGTTGTTGCGCGGGCACTGCTTTGGGTTAGGAGCTGCTTGACATGAAGGTGGTAGCCACGCAAACCACGATTGTTTTTAAAAGGGTATAAAGAAATGAAACAAACCATTGCCATAGCATGGGTTCCTCAGTTGCATCCGTCGGCTCGTGCACGCGGTAGTAAGCTCCATTTTCCTTAGTTTTTGTTCCCTCGAATGGTTTGGAACTTACCTCCATCGTCCGGCTTCACAGTATTACGCCGATAGTTAGTTAGTAGGACTGTATCTCGGGCCGTTGTTGTCACCGCGACCTTCGTCCCCGAAACCGGCTGTGTGTCGAACATCTGCTGACTCGCATCAAATTGTGATTGAAGGAGTTTATCCCACATGCTTGCATCGTACCACCCGTCTGTCCACCAGCAACGGATCGCACGAAGAAGCTTCGCCCATATCGATCGCGGTGGCGGCTGCTTCTGGAAGAATTCCTGCATTAGATCTGCAAAAGTATCATTGCATTCGTCGACGGATCGACGCTGTCGAAATACTTTCAATACAGAAAGTCCGCCTGTCTCCATTATTTGTTATCTATGGCAGTGAGGGGCAGGTGGCTAGGCTGGTACCCGTACGCACCGGAGCTCGTCCCAAAGGCCACATCGACAAGATCCTGCACCGGGAATTGCGCTCCAAGTTGAAGTTGTATGTGTTGGAGAAACCGGAGGGGGATAAAGCCGCGAACACCGCCGCCGTCGATGGTGATGGCTCGCACGGGTGCCGTGCACGGTAGCACATTGATCACATTTATAGATGGGCTTTGGCAAAGCACACAACAGTCGATATGATATTGATACTCTGCTCCTTCGACGGGGTGACCGAACCCAGCTGCACAGGTATCGCAGTAAGCATGTCCACAGGGCAAGGGATGTTGCGGCGAGTGAAGGAGGCACACAAGACAGGTCCTACCTGTGCGGATTCCGACCAGTAGGTTCTGCCACTGGACAAGATTTGTCTTGTGGATGCGACGCGATGGCCCCTGCCCAAGCTGAAGTCGCTTGTGGAAGCGGGCTAGGTAGAACTCAATAAGCTGGCAATTGGACGGCGCCATTCCCACGGCTGTAATTGCAGCCTGGCAGGACTCGCGATAGAAGGAGTCGAAGATGGCAGCCGGGTTGAAAACTACAATGAGGTGAATAGTCAGTGAAGGGGTATAAGGCTTATGAAATCCACTACACATACAATGCGACCCCGGACGATATGCGTCGACCAGAAGGGTTGAAGCGATGTATGCCGCCTGGTACTCCCACTCCTGAACACTTGTTAAGCCCAAAAATTCTTTCAGATGGAAGGAGTGATCCATGTCTCTCCCAGCATTACGTTTAGAGCTTCGGACAAAATCAAACGGCTGTTGTGGCGTCCGGCAAACATGGTGAAGGGCATGGTTAAAATACTCGTCCATATGCGCCGCAGAAAAGAGTAACCCATCTTGCCTCCGGTCCCGGCGGCTAAGGTCAAGAGCCTTCAGTAGCTCATCCTTGAGTTCTAGGAATCGCGCCGCACCAGATAGGTTGCCAGTACGCAACTGCAGCAGATTGGGAGTGGCAAAAACCTCAGGCACGTCCGGACTCCGCAGCAGTTGGAATAAGAAATCGCTTTCTTCTAAGATGTCCTGCGTCACGCTTGCCCCGTTCGAGTCGGCCACAACCAGGACGCGAGGCCGGTGGTCCAAGCTGGATACGTTCCGTCCCAAGGCAGCCCATCTCGTCAACTCGGCGCGCACCGCATCCAATCCGCCCACATCATCCGCAAAGATGCAGACTACGTCGACAAACAAGAACAGCAGGCGGGATAGCAGGATATCCAGGTGGTTTCTGTCTGCAGCTATATTCCAAAAAATAGGTATCTCTTCCCGCTCACCGTCTACCGGCTCTGGGGCTAGAGGTGTCAAGTGTGAATCACAGTCAGCAATAAGGATTGGGTGGTCCCCGTACAGTGTACGATTTTCCAGTCGCAGCCGCAGACCCGACCGGCCTGGTGTAATCTGGTTATCTGGAAACACATAGCGAAGAGCGACATCCTTGTGCCCCTTGCCGAGGAAGAGGGTAAGCGCGGGGAACTGGGTTTGAGGTGAGATCAGCTGCTCTCTCACATGGCTCAGGCACCTGTTGTGGTGTATAAATGTGCCTGCTGCATGCTGAACAAGGCACAGCCAGTCATGACTAGACATCGTTGTCGGCTGCGTTTGGTCTGCTGCTTGACCGGTGGGAAACCCCAAGACGAACTTTGGCGGGCAGGGAACTTTATTTGTAGTAAGGTAGCAATTTTCAGGCACTGCGCTCGGTGTGTCATATATGGCTATGTATGTTGTGCCACAAGCTACGAAAAATCCGACACCTGCGCGGCTAATTGTACACGTTTTGTATCAATTATAGCAGGTTTTCGGGTTCTGTTCTATTGCTTTCTACTGTGGATTCCTAGGGCACCCCGTCCCCTGAACACCGTCGACCACCGCCTCAACAACGCCGAGCAGACTAAGTATGTCCTGATGATTCTTCTGAAATTCCTCCACTGATCTTGCTTCCAACGTCTCTAGCTCTTCCCAAGTCGGAGACCACTGAACCAGATGCTCGGGTCCCTCGCTGCCCAATCGGCTCCCGAGAATCCTGGAAAATGCACTACATTCAATGTGTGCTGGGTCTTGATCCCCTGAGGTGAACCCTGTGTGATCTGTGCCTTCTCCCAACTTGCCTGATGCCTCCCATACTGGCTCCCAATCTACCAGACCGAGCTGCAGACCTGGTAACTTCTTCAGAGCTCGAAGCCGACGGTATTTGCGTCCACTACGATTAACGTATCCGTGGCTTTCATATTCTTCCTCCTTCGCGCCTAGACGACATGGAATCGCATTAGCTTTTTTTTTTGTCTTCACGGTCGCAAGTAGTAGGCGTGTTTTTAGAGTGATCGCAGCATACCATGAGATTCACTCAACTGAGTTCGGCAAGTGCAAGTAGATGATATGTACTCCAGAATCGAGACATCCTGTTCCTCACTAACCACCCAAATGGCTCCCGGTCGCAGAGAGGAAGGGGGTAGCTTTAAATGAATAGAGATATGAGCTTCCATAGCAGACTAAACACCAGAGGAGCTTTCTACAGTATTTCTGTTCAGCTCTCAGACGTAGAGGTCAGATAAAAACATCGAGTGGGCTCGACTCAGTCTATTAAAGAACAATTTTAGGTCAAGCTTCTATACCTATGACATTGATAATATGGATTACGCTTTTCACGAGGCGGTCTTTCCCCAACATTCCCCGCGCCTTTTCTTTTTATTTTTTTCTATTATTGGTTCGGAATATTGTCTGGTTGGTTTGACTTGCTTAACAGGTTTCGATTCACCAGCTAGGCTACATATGTACATCCAAGGAATAGGAGAAATAGACGCACTTGAAGCTTACTTCATTCTTTGATGGGGTTCAATAGCGATTTAGAGTCCGCGTTGGTATTGTTGAGCCTTGCCGATACCCTGTCGAAAAAATGCTGCATCTCCTCGTAGAGCATGTTCTTTGCTTCGTATACAGCCTCTGTATGCTCAAGGCGCCTTCTAAGTGCGTTATTATCATTTTTCAATTGGTCCAGTGATCGCCTGATCGAATCGTGCTCTGTCAAAACTTTGTCCAGATCATGACAGAGAGTAGACAGTGTCTCGCGAATCGAGTCTCTATGAGTCGCTAGGCTCGCTGAACCCATATCCTCATGCCCAGCAATTTGACACGGCTGCGAAGGGTAACTCCGCACACATTCGCAGAGATCACAGAAGTGCTGCTCATATCAGTAGAATTCGTTACTTGCCAGTTTAGGGACTTACATCTGCGGTAGTTGACATAGTTGATATTTCAGACCCTGACTCGGACGCCATGATGGTAAGGAGATCTGTAGATGGGCCCCTGAGCTCCTGTTCACTTCATCCCCCTCCCACAATTTATATTCTCAAGAATACCCTACCAGTGGTATATAGTCAGGTTTGGCTTCACAGAAATATAGTCCGACTGCGAGGAGACTAGTCCATAGTTGGTTAGATTATTGTTTTATTTTTGTACAGTGTGGCGCGTTTAGATAATACTACGACTTAGGTAAAATTGCAATAAGTGGGGTACTACGTAAAAAGGGTTTGGCTGTACATAGCTAAAAAGTTGACCTCCATACTAGAATAGCATATACCAATGTGGCAACAAGATAAAAGCCACGCCGGATCTTAGTATTTCAAGTGACTCCCTCGTCTTCCGGGCCCCCTGTATCCACACGTGGGCTGTCATAGGCATCGGAATAGTAATGAAACTCCGTTTGCAATTCACGCTGGAGATACTAGCTTGGCTGCTATCCCACATAAAAGCAAACGATTATACACTCCAGCGGGGTCAGAATCATACACGATAATGCCAACAGCCGAGTATGGATCGTTCACCCAGACCCTCCACCGCGTATAGTTCCTCAATGTACTCTGAACCTGACAGGGAGGTATCGCCCGATCGCCCGGAGACACCCAGCTCATTTGAATGCTACATCACTCTTCGCGGCGGTCGTAGCTCGGCCGCAGATCTCTCGCCTTCTAGCCTTAATCACGCGAAACACGAGCGACTCACTGACAGTGAAGAATACAAGAGGGCAGTTTTTAATGCATCCTTTCTTCAGGCGGAGAACTCGTGGCTTCGGAGAACCAGAAAATCAGCGATAGCACTTTACGAAGGCACTGTTGAACCCACCATAGAAGTACTCTCAAACGGCAGTGATAATATTCATGACGCTCTCACACAGTTTCATGTTGCGTTTGGGGCTGTCAACCAGGCCCTAGCCATCTGTGACGGAGAAGTGGCATCCGATGTGGAAGCTACGCTCAGAGACTTGATTCCCGCTTTTGAAACTTGTAGGGAAGGCCTGGCAAAAGTCCGCAGCGCGTCGGAGAACCTGAAAAGCGGAGCGCAGACATTTTCCGACCGGATCACAGAATCAAATAGGAGCTACGAAAACTTTTTTGGTATAACTTATGAGGAGGGAGATGAGGTCACACCAACGATTAAGAGATAGCCATTCGTCGCATGTGTACATAAAGAAGCAAAGCACACAGTCATGTTGAAATTCTACTTAAGGGAAAAATAGCCTAGTAGCAAGCCACGTCCAGACGCAGTGGTGTAGTTGCTCATCGCCGTTAGATAATTTCAGAAATTCATGCTGGCGCCTGTCAGTGCTGATCTCATCTCTACACAGTGTAAGACACACCTGGAGCAATTTCGATGGTGGTTCACCTTTTTCAACTCCCTTTAGAAAGTCGCTCAGAGTCGGGAGACTAAGTTCTGTGGGCTGGCAAAGTTGCTTGATAATACCAGCAAGAGAGCACATATCCTGATTATAGTCTTGGCCCCCGCGTAGCAAACTATCACCAATGTTTGCTGCCAGGAACAGTGAGCAAGGTGTTCGGAGAAGGTCGGAGTCTCTTACCAATTTTAACGGTGCCGTCCAGGTCAAGGCAGATGTTTTCTACACGCAGGTCCCCGTGGGAAATTCCGAGCACCCCGTGGAGATACCTCAAGCCCGAAAGTATGCCCTGGCACATCGCCGCAGTTTCAATGACAGTCCAATTTGGCCGAAAGCTTAAAATGTCCTTCAAGGAGGCAACGGTGATATCATAAATCAACGTGACAGAATCATTTTCTAAGTAGACGCGGGACAATCGAACGATGTTCCGATGCAAGACTGATCTCAGAGCAGTGGCCTGAGCGGCTGCCATGTTGAGTTGGCGGACAAGAACAGCCGTGTAGGGATACTTCTTCAGAAATGCAAGGTGATACCCCGATGGAAGCGTTGTCTCGCGCCGATAGTGTTCCCAAGGATCAACAGATGTGCACCAGAAAGAGATGTCGCCCAAGGAGGCTGGACTGGAAGGACGAATCTGCAGGGGATTTTTCTTGATCACTTTATGTGGACGACTGTGTTCCCCACTCGCTTCTCGCTTGTTTGAAGCTGTCATGGTTACTCTTGGTATGACCTCCTTCAGGAGTCCATACATTTACAAGGGAGCACGACATGCACTATATATGTTATAATCTGCAATACTATTTACTTAATATATTACTTTGCGTGATATAAATTCCACGTGGGTCTATATAGAGGTGATCCGTTCGTGCTTCACATAGTTGTGATAAGACTGTACCTGGAACGGTACAGTGTATTAATCCAGCTGCATTGCAGAACCGTAAGAAGTACTATAGGCCAATGTGCGTATTGTAGAACAAGAAGTCGGATCCACGCAAGGAAGAATGTTTACATACGTACGGTGTTTTGGTCTACACAGTCTGTACAGCCGGGCTAGGTGCACTGTTCAACGCTTCCTTTTCTATCTTCTTGGCAAAATACCCAGCTGGGTGTACCCCGTGGGTGTACCCATGTGGGTATTCTCCGTGTTTGCATCAGCAGCAGGGTCTTGGCTATCCATGCTTTAATTAGTGGAATACAGCCTAGCCTCCCTCTCTCCAACTCCAAAGTAAGCTAACCCGTAGCATAGACAGTTCGAAGCTGAAAAATAATTGTATTCATATTTGAAGTTGGTTCGCATCGCCGCTGGATCACTTTCATATCTAGAAGTGGACAGCCAAGTCAGCGCATTGGTTGCCATTATCCCTGTGGAGGTTTGTCAAGGACGGCTATGGATAGTCCGCATCGGGACCTGTGGGAATATCATCAGCTATAATCCAGTTCACGGGATAGCCAAAATGTATTGCTCTGCTGTAGAGTCTGCGGGACGTTCAATCCTTCCACTGGGCATGGGGCACGATACGACGAGTACCTCCAATATGGCACTACAGTACCGTACTGCCAATATAAATTAATACCTCTACTTGGAAGATTACACATTCTCGCATTGATTATTCAACATGATCCGTGCAGCGATTACTCAGCCGCTCAAGCGTACTCCACACATATAAGTAGGTGTCAGATATACGGCTAGTCCCGAAGAGGAAATAGAGTACGATCAGTAAAAAGGTCTTATTTGAATTAATTGAGCTGGTTGGGCTCTTCTTGATTATTCTTCTTGGTTATTCTTGATTGATTATTTTGTTGTGTGCTCCGCGGGGGTTTTACCCCGATCTAGTCACATGATTCTGGTCCACCAACGAACATATTATTTGACAGTAGGCAAATTTTGGGTAGTTGCAGGAGATCAGACCTTATTTAGATAGTGATAATATGAATTCTATTGGCTGAATAAGACACGACCAATAACTATAGGTGATGCACTTACTACCGCAAAAGCCCGTGCTCCAAGATACGCACGACAAGAACGATCATTACTCCTTCAGCAATCAATATGTTAAGATACCCACGAAACAGCGATCATTTCCACTTTCACAGTCCATCAATACCCACGATAGGCAGATCATTACTGCTTAAGCAACCTATGAGTCATAGTACCCAGGAAGTGGTGATCATTACTATTATGGTAATCTATGAAATGTGCACGAGACGCCGATCACTACTAGTTTAGCATTCCGTGACTCAAAATACCTACTCAGGAACAACGACGATATGGCCTCTTTGCTCATCCTGACGTCATCTCAAATTAGAATATCGCCGTGGGTAAACCCACCTGGGTGCACCCAGCTGGGTAAACCCACGGGGGTAAACCCACGGGGTATACCCAGCTGGGTATTCTATTATCTTGATCAAGTGGTGATCTACATATCGGATTTGTCAGGGTCAAACGGGTTGCCCACTTTTCGAATTTCGCTCCTGAAGCATCGTTTAGTCTTGAATCATGGCACTATTTTGGCCTTCACATATTCTGCAGATTTCGTTGCTTAGATGTTGAGGATAGATCAAGCACATCTACGTCATACACCGGAGTGTACTGAGCTTCGCCGGATAGGTGAACACCTTATAGACAGAATGGGCCCCAGGGATATATCGTCGGCATAAAGGCGGTTTGGTTGTCATTTATGCGGTACGTATCTTGGGACTCACGCAATTGCCCCAAGCGCACACCAGGATGCCAGTACTCATCGGTACGGTATTGTCCACCATTCTGCTATGTTACTGATGTGAGGAAATAGGTATCGACCTTGGACTCGCCTACTCCTCTATCGCCGTCGCACGCGGTGGTGAGATTCAAACTATACCGGACGACCACGGTTGCCTAAGAATTCCCACTAGTCATCTGCTAAGCGGCCAAGGCCCTGAAACCACAGACGATACTGGCGATAGCCTCGCAGACAGTCCTGGTGTTCACGTATACGACACCTCGATCGCTGCTAGGTTAGAATCTCTGGCGGATGAGCGCATCACAACCGCAGTACTCAAGAGACTGAAAGCTCTTGCCGAGGCGTTCCTTGCAGAGCGTGTTGAGGACGTAGTAATCACTGTGCCTGCTTCCAACTGCGATGTTCAGCGTGAGGCAACAAGGGCTGCCGGACGGGATGCTGGATGGAACGTCTTGCGGCTGCTGAATGCGCCTACAGCGGCTGCCATCGCTCATTGGGTTGATAGAGGAGAGGAATATGATTACTCCCTGCAGGCCCTGGATCCTCTGCTGGTCCTGGATATCGGCGCGAGCCACGCAGATGCCACCCTTCTGGAAGTGTGTGACGGCCTATTCGAAGTTAAGTCTTCGGCCGGCGACTCGAGGCTCGGTGGAAGACAATACGATGAACGGCTCTTCCAACACTTTGTCAGCCAGCTCCAGCCCAAGTCCCACATGAACTGTACATCAGCCGCGGATGTCCTACGACAGAAATGCGAGCAGGCCAAAATATCGCTCTCTATAGCGGAGGAGGCTCAGCTGGATGTCAATGTCACCCTTAGAAGATCTGAATTCGAGAATATCTGCGACGGTCTTTTCCGCTCGACTTTAGGCCTCGTTCAAAAGGTGCTCCAGTATACCAAGCTAGACAAGGCTGATATGAAGATCGTACTTGTTGGAGGCTCAGCTAAGATACCCAAACTGCGGCGAATGATCGCCGACCTCTTCGGCAGATCTCCGGGTGAGCTCTTCTATCCTGACCTGGCTTGCTTGCGGGGCGCCTCCTTGCACGCGGCCTCCCTGTCCGATAATTCCTTTCCGTACACCCTGCTGGTGTTGGACATCGTCCCACATCCAGTCCAGCTCGGATTAGTCCCGGACTTTCTGATCCAAGTGTTTCCTAGGAACACAGTAGTCCCCCGAGAATCGACGATCTGTGTTACTCTGGATTCCTTTGAGCATTTACCCCGCTATACTCTATTATTCGCTGGCCCGCTCACCGAGGATGGATTAGTTGGCAAGTTCGACCTGTCATGCCTATGGTCGCGGTCTGTATCGGGTAGAAGGCAGGAGATTCGAGTCGATGTCGCTATTGATGTGGATGGCATCCTTATGGCTTCTTTGGTTGCCGTTGATACAGAAACGGGCATACGCATACCCATTCCACTCGAAAAGGGCAGGCCGATGACCACAGGGTAATTCGCGAGCCCAAGGAAACGGGAACAAAAATAATCCGGCAGATTCTTTGAGATCATACATCGTTAACATCGCGTCTTTGTCGAAAACCTTCCCCTAGGGCGGCAGGAAACCCTATAGGAGGCTATAGACTGAACAGAGGGTTGGATGGCACATTGTCATGAACGGTTTATTGAAGGCAATCGACTGGCAATGGTACGCTTGATTCGGCATTTGGCCTGGTCCCCACAGAATTATCAGGGGCAGTTTACTGACTTGTCTACTGTAGTGTAGCCAATTGAGCGATAAACTATCAGACAGTCTCAGAGACTAACTAGATTGGGCTAATTAATATCGCTGACGGCGATGGGTCGTGATCAATGAAAACATCACCGCAACTTAATGTCTCAGCTGAAAGATAACAACCGTAGCTTCATCGAGATCTTACTGTGGAAGGGATTCCCTCATCTACCTCTTCCAGAGGTGACCCAACTTGAAAGGGGGTCCCAACCGCTTCATACAAGTATTAAGAATATTACCGCTCTACTTCTCCATTTCCCTTCTCAAGTTCCTACTCGAAAGTGTTTCGCTATACTTTAAAAGGTAGTTACAGTAGAGCCTCCTAGTATAAGGAATATATATCTACATCTTCATTCCTTTGCATAAGCTATTCTCTATTTAGGATTCTAGGCAGACAACTGTTACGGTCAGCAGCTATAATATTAGGAGTGAGACTGCAGCGGCTACGATGCCCCAAGTACATATCTTGGCGCAGTGTGTTATAGGATTAGCATTCCTAAGTACCATGACCCAATGTTGGTTTTATGTACACTGCTGGGAGTGGCCACTTTCCAGTTTAGGGCACGGCGAAAATCCAAAAAGAAGGGGAACGGTACAGTACACTGTAAGCTTCATATTTCAATTCGTGCTGGAGAGTGAATTTTGTAGCATGATGGTGTATAGCTATAGGATAGAATCAAATGACCACTGTTAATTGCACTTATATCTAGCACGACGCATACTATCAGGAGCGCCCTGGTACAGTACTCGCCGCAGAGTTCTAGGATAGGAAAACGCATTCTCCGGTATGTACCGTTCTTATGCTACAGTACGGACAGACCAAATGCAGCTGGCCTTAGTTGGCTTGTGGTCTAGTTAGCAGCGAAGCTATTTTGAGTAGTCCGAGTTCTCGGGTGACAATGGAACTGTAGGGTGACAATATTAGGCTGCCGCTAATGAACTATCTTCAGGAGAGGGTGGACAGGACGCGCGTGGTATAAGAAGTCCTTGTACCCGTCCCACAAACAGCTACCAGCCTGAGGATTCTTCCAATCTAGAGCTATGGACCTGGAGAAGGAGTTCCTGCGAGTCGCAGCAAGTGCGCATTTCGGCACCGCTTGTGTTCCTCTAGAAAGTCTACATTTTCTTTCCTCAGGTGAAGGTAGCCGTATCATAAATGAAGAGAATGTAACCCGCCTTGTTAGAATCTTCAGAGATTACCAATGTCAGAGACGGAGCCACGAAAACCATGTCCCGGTCATCATATCTCTCGACCATCTCCACCAGGTTCTAAAAGCTGCTGGATTATCGTTGACATCCCTTAAAGCGGATGAGCCACCTTTTCTTCCGCTTCCGTACGAACAACCAGTTCTTGCTCTGCGCGGGAGACACCGTTTGGAGGCTGCGAAGAGATTCTTCCACGATCCGGGCAACCGCTGGTGGACAGTTGAACTGTACAACAAAGATGGTGACTGCGTTGGCAACCTGTAGCCTGATGCATCATTTACTAACCTAATTTACTAGAGATTCCGCCTCGTTTTCTTACGTTAATGGCAGAATGTCATGACAATTCTTTACCATACGCCGATGGGGAAATATATTGCAATATCCGAAGTTATCAGCTGAACGGCGAGTGGATTCAGGCGGCGAAATGGAGAAATAGAATTATCTCCGACCACAAGCTGCATGACTATGACCGGCTACACGAATCCAAGAACTATGTGCCACTCGCAACCGCCCTTGACTCGCTGGTCCCATTCCCAGCTCTACTATTTTCTTTTCGCCTCGGAAATCTACGCCGTGTTTTTAGAATAAAGTGTCCTGAGGAGCTAGCAGCTTCTGTGCGACATGTTCACGACGTCTGGAATGGCGTTATGGAAGGCTTCAACACAGGGCTGCTCGACTTGGCCACAGTGAAGTGCCTTCAAGGGCGTTCGCCGGTCTGGTCTTCAGCTGACCGGGAATATATCCAGACACTCTTTGCCAACAAACGGTGCTTCGCTAATATCCATGACACTAGCCATCGTAAAGTGTTAAAGGACCGTGTTTTAGCTACCAAGACGATAATACCTTCTATGACAACTGTGCTGGAGAACACCAAGTACATGGAGCCCGCGGCTATTCTCTTAAGAAAGCTTCTCCATAAAAAGTTTAAGGGAACGGTTCTTAAGCAAATGAAGAAGTGCCACAGAACGGGTTCTGGAGCTGACTTTTGGGCATCATATCGACGACTTTGGCTCGTTGCCTTTCGTGTTTTCCCTTACATATCCAACTTCAAGCCCCTGCAGGCAAATAGGAGCCACAGAAAAGAGTATGTAGGGGATTACTGGGGGTTTCTGGCGAGTTCTGCAGTGAAATATGGGTTCATGTCGACAGAAATACGACGCCTTCTGAATAGGTATCCAGACTCGGACATACTCCATGACCCTTGGGAAAGCCCAGTAATGACTACAAACAACACGAACACATGGAAACTGAAAAACAGATGTGGGATGCCAAACTATAGCATGTTAGAATGCATCAGTCCGTATCTCTCTCTGGAGAATATATATGCCAATCTACGCCCGGATGCAAATGCGGTCGATCTCACTCCGTTCGCAGTGGCCAGAGACATGTTTCACACATTCTTTGGCGATCAAGAAGAACTGGAGATGCCAGATGTCACTCAGATGCCAGATGTCACTCAGATACCAGATGTCGCTCTGATGCCAGATGCCACTCAGGAGCCAGGACCTCAGGATGAGACTATGGTCGAGGTCATAGAGATGAATGCAGAAACGGACCGCCAGGCCTTGCAGCACTCTGAGAATAATCACCTTGAATTCGCTCCAACACCCCTCTCTCTTCAGGGAAATCGGCAACCTGCACCACCTCCTTTGTCTTTGGGAGAGTTATTAAATACAGAAATTATGCTTCCTTCTGGCCAGCCCACACCATTTCCGTCCATGGCCAATCCAGGTTTGGCTCAAATAGATGCAGGAGAAAGTATCCTACTAGCTGATCCAAATCTTTGGGATAGGGCGGTGCCAAAGGAAAAGATAAATCTGCGACCCAGCGACGCAAGGAAACGATATGAGGCCCAAAGATCGCACAATCCCTTTGCAATATACCATTATGAGGAGAATTCGACCTTCTATTCGCTAGCTGATGTTCACATACCATTGGTAGAGCATTTTCTTTGTAGCCGGAGAAATTTCTGGTTTGCGGTATACAATGGCGAGAATCTTGTAGCAGTCGATACTCAAGAGGTGGAATCCAAATTGAGGGCTAAAGGATTTGTAATATGTGGCAGCGGAAACACGTTATTTGATGCGATGCGAGACCAAGAGTTTGAGTTATAGCTTAGAAGCCAATGCCTAGGCTAAAGGTTAGCCTAGACCAGATTATACGCAATTGCTTAGGTTAAGTAAGTTTATCATATACCCGGCGCTATAACACAAGATATTGGCGTAGTAATATGTAGCCTACGCTATGCCCAAGCCCAGGCTTAGAATGGCAGTCTATCGGTCACTACTGGCGTAGGTATACTGTAGGCTTAGGCCAATGCATAGCCAGAAATGTGCATAGCGGGCCAGTGTATAGTTAGACTGTTAGTGATCCACCGTTAGCGTAGGCCAATGTATAGCGTAGGCTATACATTGGCCTGGATCACTAACAGCCTACGCTACAGTGGCCTACGCTAACGGTGGATCACTAAGAGCCTACGCTCTGCATTGGCCTACGCTAACGGTGGATCACTAACAGCCTACGCTATGCATTGGCCTACGCTATACAGTGGCCTACGCTATACAGTGGCCTACGCTAACGGTGGATCACTGGCAGCCTACGCTATGCATTGGCCTACGCTAACGGTGGATCACTAACAGCCAACGCTATACAATGGCCTACGCTATACAGTGGCCTACGCTATACAGTGGCCTACGCTAACGGTGGATCACTGGCAGCCTACGCTATGCATTGGCCTACGCTAACGGTGGATCACTAACAGCCAACGCTATACAATGGCCTACGCTATACAGTGGCCTACGCTATACAGTGGCCTACGCTAACGGTGGATCACTGGCAGCCTACGCTATGCATTGGCCTACGCTAACGGTGGATCACTAACAGCCTACGCGATACAATGGCCTACGCTATGCATTGGCCTACGATAACGGTGGATAACTAATAGCCTACGCTATACATTGGCCTACGCTAACGGTGGATCACTAAGAGCCTACGCTCTGCATTGGCCTACGCTAACGGTGGATCACTAACAGCCTACGCTATGCATTGGCCTACGCTATACAGTGGCCTACGCTATACAGTGGCCTACGCTAACGGTGGATCACTGGCAGCCTACGCTATGCATTGGCCTACGCTAACGGTGGATCACTAACAGCCTACGCGATACAATGGCCTACGCTATGCATTGGCCTACGGTAACGGTGGATAACTAATAGCCTACGCTATACATTGGCCTACGCTAACGGTGGATCACTAACAGCCTACGCTATACATGGCCTACGCTAATAGTGGGTACGCACTGTGTGGATAACTAATAGCCTATACATTGGCCTACGCTAACGGTGGATCACTAACAGCCTATGCCATACAGTGGCCTACGCTAATGGTGGATAACTAACAGCCTACGCTATACAATGGCCTACGGCGGGTAGGCAATCACCCACTGTTGGCGTAGGCTAGTGTATAGTGTGTACCCACTGATAGCGTAGGCCAGTGTGTAGAGTAGGCTAATACATGTTTCCGGAAATCATGTTTGATCCAACCTGGTTCCTAGCCAGATAGCCTACGCCAGTAGTGAGCCTAGGCAAACCATGGCTGGCCTACACTCATTGCCAGCACTTGATTATAATAAGTAGCATCCCGACAGCCAACTCCGCACTGGATTCCTTCCAAATCAATATTGGAGATATACTCTAGTCCTTGTTTTGTCATATGCCGGATATTTCTTAATATACTTTCCGGTCCTTTCTTTGACTATAGGCCATATTGTGTTGGGTGTCAATCTAATTCTACAAGGCGCTGTAGAGTATATTTATTTGAAGTCAAACCAGACAGGAACTCTATAAAAGGGATCAGGAAGAGCAAGAAGGGGAGAACATCAAAGATTCTTTCCCAAAGCCAGCTCATTGTGGTAACAATTAAATATTATAACATTCGCATCTTTAACGTCGTACATCGCTATTATGGGGATTCGTCGGGTTTTAATGCGTGAGTGATTGACTTAATATGCAAGCAAGCCGCTCTAACCGTATCAGCTTGGCAACCTTCCGCTAAGGTGGTAAGCAATACGATGGAGTTTGACTACTTCAAGGAATTAAAAAAGATGAATGAAGAGCTGGAAGAACTGCACCAAAAAGCAAAACCGAAGTCAAAACCTCGGCAAGGAACGCTGGATGAAAGGGTTTTTACACGAGAGTGGAAACTGCGCCCTGAGTGGGAAGCGAGAAAAGTTAAAGTTAAGACTAAGCTTGGCTGGGAGTGGATATTCGTGAACAAGGAAACTAGGGAGGAAATTGATGAAGTTGATATGTTCCGCCAGCGGAGAAATCTCCAATAGCTCCAATATAGTATGGCACATTTCTCATATAGTGTAGTTAGTACGTTGTTAATATTGGCAGTTATGGATACTGTAATATACAAAAACTCTTGCTGTAAATTGTCGATGGAGTATAGCTGAACAAGTGAGAGTGTGATATTATTGGTACGCTAGGTACTTTGCAATGGAAAATTGATGAGAGTTTATTGGTCAAGCCGATTTCGAGAATCACAGTATCGTTTGCCTAGACAGAATACCGTATAAAATACTTCCTAACAAATTTATAGCCCGACTAACTGTGTCGGCTGATTCCCTGATGGAAGGTCGGGGCTACCGTCAAAATCCTGAGGGCTTCTCCGTTTGGCGAATGGCACTAGCGACTTCTGTGTACAGTTAGCCACGCTCTGAGCTAAAAACAGGGCTCACTGACAACTTGTTTCTTAGAAGGCGGCCACCTTCTCGAAGAGCTACTATTATAGATAATTGTATATCCAGTTCGGCATTGGATCGCAAAGTAAATCTTCGCCGAGAACTGGTGAGCGAATTCATTCGCATAGGAGAGAAGCTGCACTTTCTTCTTCTCAAATTTAGACCTGGGGCGCCTGCCACCCTGACCTATGTTCTGGGGGTTTCTATGTTCGGAGGGTCCAGGAAATTCAGACTGAGAGGGTGGCCACTCATTCTCAGAACGATTATTGTATATAGTAAGGTCTCCTTCTTGGCTTTGAACAAGGAGATATACCTTTGAATCAAAAAGCTTGCCGAACTCATCGCCGTACTCCAATAACCGATCGGAGCGCCGTTTGAACCTGGAGCGTTCATTCTTCCGTTGTCGCTTTTCTTGATTTGTCGTCATATTGCTGCACAGTGCCCCCCGGAGTAGATAGTGCAAGAGATCAAAGGGATTTTAAACTATTTCAGTAGCGCGCTGCATGTAAGACGAGCGCATTTCCGCGTGGGACGTCTGTGCACACCATAGAACTATATAATAGCGACTAGCACCTGAAACAAACTCCATGAACTGAAAATGCAAAAATGAATCCGTTAATGATTTACACCTTTTGTTTCGGAGGCACACTAGCCCTACTGTGCGTGAAGACCTTCTTATGGCACATTCACCGCCGGTGGCCTCCACAGTTCTCTATTTACTACCTTCGTCGCTGGAACCTGTCCTTACCCCTACGTCGTAGGAGATGGATCAGCCGCATGGGCTGGAGTGAACTGGTCGTGCAACTACTATACTGGGCGGGCACACTGGCCTGTAATGGGGTTGCAGTGAAAGACCTGTCCGACGCTGGTTCGCGAGCCGCTTCGCTTGCGCTTCTCCAGTTCGCACTCTTACTTGGGGGGTCCCGGTTACATTTGGTGGCAGATATGTTGGGAGTGAGTCTCGGGATGCTCGTCCGCATCCACAAAACGGCCGGCTGGATGGCTGCCCTGCAGAGTGGGATACATATTGCTATTGTAAGTCAAACGGAGGGCATCCAGTGGCGCGGAGATGGTCATCAGGAAGGCATCATGGCAAGTTATCCGTTCCCGGTCGGTCGGCTACAGTGCTGACTGTCGTGACTAGGTTTCTGCTTGCTTGGGAGTCTTGATCCTTACTTCTTTGAAGCCGGTAAGACAGTATGTGTATGAGCTGTTTATAAAGCTGCACTACGGCCTTGCTGTTTGCAACCTTGTATTTTTGTGGCTTCACGTGCGCCAGGTTTCCTCCACTTCCCCATTTTGGAAGCCCAGTTTCACAGTTGGCTGCCTTGAGGTGACGTCGATATTGATGGCTGCAACTACCCTCTGGCAGATCGGACGAATTCTCTGTTATAACTTTGCCCCAGGAAAGACCCTACCCATTGCCAGAATCCACCAGTGGGAACAAGGCAATAAATCCCCCGACGTAATTAAGGTTTGTGTGCTATTGCCTCGAGGATGGAATGTTCGCGCTGGCCAGACGGTCTACCTGTACCTCAAGACAATGAAATTCTGGACATTTCCGGAGGCGCATCCATTCTCCATCACCTGGTGGCAGGATCCTGGACATATGCCTGGCATTCCAAGGCCCTTGAAAGACAAGGCCCCTCAAAGCACCAATAGCTCCGAGATTGGCAAGGCTTCCAAAGAGGCGAGATACAGGCCTCTGGACGACCGAGCCGCCGAAGACATCAGGCAATTTGGACGGTACGAGAAGACTACAGGAAAGGAAACAGATGCCGCGTTCACAGAACATGATGATTTGGGATCGTTTGCAATATGGTTGCTTGTCCGACCAGACCGGGGTTTAACCGGTGATATTGCCAGCTACCGCTCTTTAACAGAGCTAGGGGTTATCGTCGACGGGCCATACGGTGGCCAGCAGAGACTCGATCGCTATGGCCATGTTGTTATGTTCGCGCAGGGAATTGGTATTGCCGCTCAAATGTCATATATAAGGGCTCTCTTTTACGGTTCCTTAAACGGCGAGCTACCAACCCGGCGGATCTGCCTTTTATGGGAGACTCGCGAGAGTAAGCGATGCTCCAGTTCTTAATAACTTGCAGCTTTGGAATACTCAGATACCTCACAGAGGACTTGATCATTGTGCAGAAGTGGATGACGAAACTACTGACCGAAGATCATGACAACTATAACAGAACCCTGGTATGTGCCAAGAAGTCGACTATTTGTGCTTCTTTGGGCTAAACGATCATATAGATGTTGGACATCCAGCTGTATATTCTTGATCAAAAGGATGGTCTGCGATATGGCCGACGTGTGAAGACATTTGCCGGTCCGGTAGATATAAAGGATGTAATGAGAGGAGAGCTAGAACGTCGTCGCGGGAGAATGTTAGTCACTGGTAAGAAAGGGCCCAGTAAAAAAGCCTGTAACACTCTGACAGAAGAAGTTTCTGCTAGCGAGAAGTTTGCCGACGAGCTTCAGCGTCACATGCTCGAGCTAATGGATGAAGGGTTTAAGAACGACGATGTGGAGTTGCTATACCTGGACTTTCAACCTCAGCAACCTCACAAGGTGCCCCCAAGTGAGGGAAAGGGTGCTGTGATTGTTAGCGTATAGATCTGTAGTACCTGGTTTCATCAGAGTAGTGAGATAGTTACTAAATAAAGTTTTTGAAGCCCCTACTATACCTGAGGAAGCCTTGGAATCCGTGTTTGGACTGTCCTTGGCCGCGAGCCGTACTGCCAATTTTCTGCAACATGGTCAGTTTCCCTTGTCCCTCATTCTACGGCCCCACACAATCTCCTAAGTGGGCAGAAAGCGTAGTGTGTGTATTAATATATATATTCGCTAGGTCCTTCCGTTGTTAAAAATCACTTCTAGTATACTCCCTTTATCTGTTGAAGAAAAGCACCACTTAAAATAATTGAAATGGAGCTCCTAGACCCCGCCGCTTTTGAGCTGCCAAGTTCAGATTCTGGTAGCGGAATATCAGAGTGGCTCTGCCCCTCCCCAGTGGTGGCACTGCCTCTGTCGCAATTCCATACTCACCGACATCAACAAGCTGGGCCGCTTATCCTTCAGCTATTCCAATCTAAAGACGCCAATTTGGATAGCAGGAGACGAGCTTTGAACCGTATCCATTCGCTGAATGACGAGATCCACCAGCATAACGTGGAGAATGACGTTGACAGGGAAGTTGGAACCATCGATGTTGACATTTTCCTACACGCATGGGAGGATCCAGACTCAGGTCCTTACCTAATGGACTTCTGTAGACTGCACCATTATCCCATTGCTTGGGCGCTTCAGCCACCAAAAATTGGTAGCGAGTATCAGCCTTACGAGGAGATATACTGGAAGAACTGCGATTGGAATACTCCAGGAATGCTTCTTCGCTTCGTCTGGGATATGCGGAAGGCAAGGGTGGACGAAGATATTATCGAGGATCAGGAGTTGATCCTCCTGGAGTTTGAATGCAGCTTCAACAAAAACCTCGGCCGACTCCATCTAGAACACTCAAAAGCTGGAGGGGTGGCTCACTTTCTCCAGTCCGACTGTCTCCTTGACTCGTACCGAATATTGATCGCGTGTCTGGAAGAGGAAGAACCGGAACTCTACGAGCAACATCGGCAGAGCCTTCGAAGAGACTGTGCTCTATATGATTATCCTATAAGCTGGGTACCTGGGACTTATGAACATGAGAGGAATTGCGTGCGGAGTTAATGGATAGCCTACATGATATTGTTGTGTTTATTAACCGGGTCTGGGCTGCGAAGCGATTCCAAGGAGTGATAGCATGGCTCCCCATGGTTTGAACATGGTTGAGATATACTTGTCATCGTTTGCTCGTATTGGCGACTTGATTTCTCTCCCAGTGTCTGCACGAATCGCCCAAGCCAGAGGAGTTCCAGAGTCCTTATTTTCAGGGTTCTGTTCGATCTCTGTGTTGTGCTCAAGAAGTAGCTGGACGATTCGTACTTGATAGTTGGTAGCTGTAATTGATATGTATTATTGATTGTCTTAGGTTGTCATCTTGGCTGCCCTCGTCGCCACCAATCACCGCCACGATCCCATTTTGGCCAAGAATCTCGACAACTTTGGGGTGTGAGGGTGTGTTAAGCTCGCCTGCTCAAACACCAACATACACGGACTTTAAGATACAGTATATTCCTACAATCTCTGACTACTTTAGGGCCCAAGCAAAAAGAATACTCCTTGCTTTCGATAGAAGCTTTAATTATCTCTGTTAAGCGGAACTAAATGAGTTTATTTTCTTACCTTTTTGAATCAGCATACTACGAGGTAGATAAATAGGAGGAGCCACCCTCTTTTATGAAGGATTCGCATTAAACACGTCCGACTAAATCTAACAGCATTTATTGAACTTGAGAAATGTATTTCCACATAATCAACATGATTCTCCATAGCAGTATATGGATTACAAGTATTATGGCCGCTTCGAGGCCCAAGTTGGGCGTTGGTGAGATTGAGCGAGCGAGTTCTGGCTATCGATCTGTTGTTTACTTCGTGAACTGGGTTGGTAGCACCACATTGCATGAGACAAAAACATTTTTGCTCAAGCTCTCAAGTTCTAACATCTCTTTATTTTTCTTCGCAGGCAGTGTATCAACGCAAGCATAATCCACAAGACCTCCCTGTTGACAGGCTTACCCATGTTTTATACGCGTTTGCCAATATCCGCCCCGAAACTGGGGAAGTGTATCTCCCTGACGCTGATGCTAGCGCGAATCTGGAGAAGCACTATCCCGGGGACTCCTGGTCCGAGACAGGCAACAACGTCTATGGGTGCATAAAGCAATTATATTTATTAAAGAAGTATAACCGTAATCTGAAAGTCCTTCTGTCTATTGGAGGATGGACTTACTCACCGAATTTTGCTGCACCTGCGAGCACAGATGCCGGACGGAAGAAGTTTGCACAGACATCAGTGAAGTTGCTACAAGACTTGGGATTTGATGGATTGGACATTGATTGGGAGGTGTGTTGTGGTTCCTCCTAGAAGCGGCTGCATTATAACGAAGAGTGCCTTTCTAGTACCCAGAAGATGACCAGCAGGCGGCTGATTTTGTTCTCCTCCTTAAGGAAGTGAGGGCAGTGAGTACTCTGATCTTGCGCTTGTTATACCGCCGCTCTCACTAACAGCTGTCTAGGCACTTGAAAACTACAGCGCCAGACACGCCGATGGAAAGAAATTCCTTCTTACAGTTGCTTCTCCGGCAGGTAGGCAAAAGGTCATTTGTTATATGCCGGCAATTCTGATGTGTGTTGATTATCTAGGTCTAGAGAAAATCAACCGTCTTCACCTCGGCGATATGGATCAACAGTTGGACTTCTGGAATCTGATGGCATATGATTATACAGGCAGTTTCTCTGCCCTGACCGGGCACCAAGCCAATATGTATAGTGATGCTTCCAACGTCGGATCGACCCCGTTTAGCACTGTAGAGGCGATCAACTGCTACCTTGCTGCCGGAGTCCCTGCGGATAAGTTAGTTCTCGGCATGCCTCTTTATGGCCGGTCGTTCACTGGTACCGATGGCCTCGGCAAATCCTACAAGTGTGTCGGCCGAGGCAGCTGGGAGAAAGGAGTCTGGGACTACAAGGCCCTTCCGCAGCCGGCTGCCGAGGAACATGTTATTCCAGATATTGTTGCAAGCTATAGCTACGATACAGCCAAGAAAACCTTAATAAGCTACGACAATCCCCAAGTGGCTCGGATGAAGGGGGAGTATATCAAATCTAACGGTCTAGGAGGCGCAATGTGGTTCGAGAGCAGCTCTGATAAGACAGGAGATAATAGTTTAATTACCAATGTATGTTTCGACTCTCTGTGCGTCTTCCAGCGGGTTGGCTCTAACATTCTCTCCAGGTAGTGGACGCACTTGGAGGAGCAAGCGCGTTTGAAAAGAGCCAGAATCAGCTGGACTATCCCCTCTCCCAGTACGATAATCTAAGGGGTGGCATGAATAAACAACGTGAATTTTTTTAGTGGAAGATACTGTAAGCGAAGTAAAATAGGTATGAATATTGCTATAATTAAAGCTAAAGCAGATTACAAAATATAATCAGAATTTCTTAAAATCAAAATTTACTAAAATTATATATGAATATAATAGTATATATATGCAGTTGTTACTGTAAGATATGAGGTTATAAAAAGTGCTATTTCCCATGCAAAACAGAGCAGACGGCTCGAAAGTGCGGACGAATCGGCAGTACGTTAACTAACTATATAATATATATTACTAAAGGCAAATATTTTTATTTTTTTTTTTTCCTGTAAGCGCGAGAAGAGCCCCATTCCTGTCTTGCCCCAAAGTTATTACCAGGATATATTGTATTAATGTAGGCGTCTGCTTGATTGCAAAAAAAGTGAAGGCGGAAAATCCAGTCAACTACATAAAAGACCGTAACAATCTGGTATACATCCAAAGCGAGAAATGGTTGCCATTTCAAATACAATGTTAATCGCACTAGAAACTGTGGTTGAAGAGTCACACGGAATATATATAAAGTCAATCAACCTTACACGCAGGTATAAGGTGATGATGTATGGAGAGCAACAACAGCAAAAGACCCCGACAAGAAATGCAACACGACTCGGACCAAAGATTAATGCCCGTTCGATGCCGCTCAGACAGTGCTAAATCAAAGTCTCAGCAGTGTTATAGGCGTAGGAGAGGGCTACTTAAGAAGGCGGCAGAGTTCAGCATTGAATGCAATTGCGAAGTCCTTATGATCATCCGCGCTAGAAAGAACGGGAGGTTGGACTACTTCGATTCTAATATGTCAGCCCGCTGGCTTCCTGCACCGTTAAATCTGGTAAATATCAATAAATAATATGATGCAATGTGTTGCCTAACATTTTTAGGATCTATACTATCCCCGGCCTGTCATACATACACCGGAGGATATCATGCATAGCCATTTTAATACAAAATAACAAACCTCCACCCATCTTTTGCAAATGCAAAGCTATTGGTTACACTAGCGCACCAAAGAACAGAATCTTGCCCACTCAAAGTATTAATCTTTCACTGCCGGGAATCGTCCGCTTCTACTGAACTATGAATGTCGGATACAAGAAAGATATTCCCGTGGACATTGGTACTGCTTTAAGAAGGCCTCGAGAATGATTAAATTGGACGCTACTGTAGTCTTATGGAATTCCATTTCAAAAGCACAACTCAGTTTGACTTGGAAGTGATTGATGACCGATGTATCCCAGTTCTAGTTAGCCACAATCTAAGCTTATTCTGACTACACAAATTATCAAATCACCTTTATGTTACCCCACTAGCGAATAACCATTCCGGAAAAGGAATGTTAAAAATCATACAGTAGAATGCAATCAATTAACCCGACCACTCGGGAGCTGCCAGTTTCCGATTCTGGGAGCGAAGCGTCGAAATGGTCCTTGCCTTTGTACGAGACATTGCTACTCCCCCTGTACCATATGGACCAAGACCAGGAAGCAGGTCCTCTCAATATTCAACTCTTTCAGACTAAAAGGAATACTGTGGCTAAAAATAGCACTCAAAATTCTTGTCCAGCCGTTCGTCGATTTAACATTGCGAATGGCCTCAATGCAGAGTTGGGAACCATCGACGTTGGCGTTCTTCTACAGGCATGGGACGACCAAGGAATTGGAGGCCAGCTGGATCAATTTGAAAGCTATGTTGCAGCCAGCTAGAGCTGGTATAAACTACCAGCCGTACTTGGACAACTACTGGGAAGTTTGTGACTGGAATACACTAACCATCCTTCTGCGGTCTGTGGCTGCATCTGAGCATTATTGAGGATGTAGAGCTGATATTGCTCGAATTTGAGAGCAAGTTCAATAAATGCCTCGGCCGAGTACATACAGATATGGGAATGTTGGCTCTGTGGCATGTACTTTCCCCTAGACTACCTTCTAGACTACTGACGGCTGTTAACAAATGGCTTGGAACTAAAGAAACATGCTACGTAGGTCGCCTCGAAACCGTTTAGAAAGAATGTGCCTTAAATTGGCAGTTTGCTTTCCTTTTCGACGCTCTTTTTTGGCCGAGTCCTGTGTCTTCTATTTTATATGCTCCTGCTGACCCATCGCCAAGCTGGACGTCTGTAAAAGTCACCTTTGAAGATACCCAAAATCCCTTGCATACCCATACCTTACATGCGCGGGTAATAATATAATCCAGTAAAATATGCCCGCCACCATCCGTCCAATGACCGATTACGAGCGCTGGCTCCTCGAGTCGAATCCAGACCACCAACTCGCCCCGGAGCCTGACTACGGCCCGAATGTTCATCATGACACCCAGATGGACTCCTTAGAATACAAACTCCCCTTCTCCGAGTCCCAGGTCTACTTCTCCCGAGATGACTTTGTAAACCTATTCCATGCGCGTCCTCCATTCTCCACCGCCTACATCATTCCCATCTTCATCGTCCTGGTCGCCATTATCTTCAAGACGCGACGGTCAAGGGAGCTGCAACCAGCTACTCAGAGATTGAAGCCGATAACGGGTTGATTCAACCATCTATCAGAATATCCGTTGCGAGACCTAGATGGGCTCCTGGCCTATGTGAAGACGAGGATCAGCGTTGGGTATATTATTACAAAATAAGTATAAGGGTATTGATGTTCTTTTACAAACTGCGAGCTAAATTAAACTAAAAAATGGACCTATATCTTGAATTATAACAGGTGTCTTTATCTGATTCAATACTAGCATTAAGATCTACAATATTACACACCTCTGGCGTCTATTTTTCCTTTCGTTAAGCACAGCACAAGCCGCATGCTCAAATATTTGGTTAATATTATCTCTCTCAAGTACAGAGCACTCAAGATAAATACTAGCGCCGATCTGTCTCTGCACATTGGTTGCCTATGTTGAAATTATTAGTCGCGTTGTTTGCAGTGGGATGCCCTAACTGACCTCTTCCGGAGAGACATGATCTTCGGAATGTTTCTCTCGAAGGTCCGTCTTGCATCCAACAAGAATAATTGGCGTCTTATTACAAAAGTATTGGATCTCCCTAATCCACTGATAGCAACTTATTAGAACCCTGAAAGGAATAAACGGAAAATCCAAGGTCTATACATTCTCCTTGATACGGTCTAACGCCGTTCTATCATTCACAGCGAAGCAGAGAACAATAGCATGCGCACCTTCATAGGTCAGAGGGCGCATGATTTCATAATCCTTATGGCCAGAAGTGTCGAGGAGCACAAGTTGAAGTTGCCGATGGTCAGCTTTTATTTCCACATTATAGTGATCGAAAATAGTTGGCCGGTATTCCTGGCAGACCGGTCAGCGGAGTCAGTCTTGCAAAGTAGAATTGTACCGACTTTAGAGAATTCATTATACATAAACATCCTGCTATCTGTTAATAATTGTCTGTTGTCTATAAAAACTATGTTATACCTAAGAAGGGAAGTCTTCCCGCAGGCCGTATCTCCGACAATTACTAGCCTTCGACAGAGGGTAGCCATAATGTTTTGATTTATTATAACACATCAGGATGTAGTGGGCGCATAAAGTCCATTTATGTATTTCTACTTTGTAGGCTATTTCTTAGACTTCTTGCGAGAGCTCCACCGAATGAGTACCTATATAATTAATGGGGTGGGAGAAATTATTACTGGGCGATCTGGCCACAGGATGGCGCCATAGGACGCAGTAAGCCATAAAAAATAGTGCTAAGCCATGGCTTATTATGCAGCCTAGGGCACACCATTATGTGTTTCCATTATGGATTTGTCCCTATATAACCCTATCTTTTTCCCGGTAAATTAAAAGAAGCATACTACCTTCCACCGATTACTGAAGGCACGACCGCCGAACTAACAGCACCTATATAAGAGATTCACCAGTAACAGTTATTGTTGCGAGCAGCTTATCGACCATATGGCTGATCATCCTGAAACTCTGGCCACCACTTCTCAGTCCGTCCAACTTCAGATGTATCATCGTTACAAACACCAACGGGCTACCAAACACCTTATTGATCTGTATGAAGCGCTTGAAACGGACTATTTAGATCTGGAAGAGCAAGTCAAGAAGTCAGAGCTAGCTATTTCCCACATTGAAGGCATTAATTCCCGGATCAAGGAGTGTAACCGTGAGCAAAACCTACCGCATACCTTAGGGGTAATTGACTATGGAGCATTCTTATACGGCTGGGAGCAGAAAAAAGATCGGGCCCTTATTAGATCAGATCTGACAGAATTCTGCAAGAGAAAACAATATATGAAAGGATGGAGCTGCATTCCCCCCAGTCATAATTACGAATATTTTCCGCCGACAAAAGACCACGGCGCGGGAAGATGGGATGTTTTGACACATTGGCTCAGTCTTATTTGGAGCCTGCTCAAGCAGCCCTCCCAACTGGAGTTGGTTGACGACCTTGAGAGCAAGCTGCAATGCTATGTTAGTGACGCCGAACCTATAACAGATGAGCCCACTTGCTATTTTGATGCCTTAAGTGTGCTTATCTCCTTGCATGAGATGAATCGGCTTCTCGTCGAGCATAGTGTCGCCCGTACACCAAATGAAATAGCTGATAATTATGAGAGAGAAAGGGAGCAACTGCGTCGCATGTGTGAGCTTCAAGGAATCCAGCGTGATTGGGTGCCTGCAGACATTACAGTTGAACGGGACATATAGTTTTTATTTTTTTATTTTTTATTTTTTTTTTTTTTAATGCAGTCAGTTGCTTACCGTAAAGGTTAACTTCTCTGTGTCTCTTTTCATGTCGAATTTGGTCGGAAGCTCCTTAAATAGAATGCTAAAGCTCCTTTCACTACTATAACACATTAATAATATAATTTTAGGATAAAATTTCATATCTTATGGATTTGCTATATTTCTCTCTAATATATGATAGCAGCTCTAACCAACTTAACCTCTACCCATGCTGACCTAACTGATCTGCGAAGCTTAGCATGGGTAGGTGGGGGCCACGCTTTTTTTACCCATGTTTTACCCACACCAAGCTGAGGAGGCTTGCTCTATTGCTTAGGCAGCAGAATGGATCATTGACAATGGACTTTTTAGTAGGCTAAAGATATACTGTATTAGGAGTGTTGAACCATACCGAGTTGAAAACAGAAACAGTGCCGTTGTTGCCAGCAATTTGGACACTTGGCCTAGTCGTGCAAGGAGCGAGTAAAGTGTGGATATTGGGCGAGCCAACAAGACCAGTGCTTTTTGTTTCCCCAGGAATAAGACCTAGATGTTCAGACTGCAATGGTAAACAATCTACAGGGGACCGGACGTACGAGGCGCCTATAAACCCCAGATTATCCCAATCGAACCCCCGAATCCTACAATTAAGCATTATGAAATCTAGGGCCGGGATAGAAGCCCTAACCAACGACTACTAAAGCCAGAATCTGGATATACTTCTAATTTAAAAGCCGCTGATAACCGCACATTGCGCCTATATTAACCATAGCGCATAGCGACTCTATCGACTAATATACGCAATCCCGCAGCCTCCATAAACAGGATGGTTTCTACATTGTCACATCGCCAACTGCAACCATCCGGATGTCGTGGCCATTAAGATCTGGACACTAGAAATCCAATATCTTATTTTTTTAACATATATACAACTAATGGCACTTTACCAAGCGGTCGAAGCCAGCAGCGCCTAAAAAGTCCTAGATGAAATCCAAGCGACCATCCAGCAATATTTAAGAAAATAGTCGGACAACCAAACTTTTCTTAGCAGGTGACTTTAACCGCCACCACCCTGCATGGAGCCATCGCCTGGTATATCACCGTTTTGCGGAACATGCGGAAGACAGCTGGCAGAGAAACAGGGACCTAGCATGGCGCTGGCAGCGCACGGAATTATTTTAAGTATCGCCTTTGTTGCCCTCTTCCCCTGCTTCGCTATTTCGATCCACATCATCTCATATACCAAGACAGTCACGCGGATCCACTCTCCGCTCCAACTTGTCACTGTCGCGTTTGCCAATGCCGGAGTGGGACTAGGAATTTATTTTGGTGTCACCGCGAATAAAATAGGCTCGTGCCATTCAATTATCGGTCTGTTAGTCGTGGGCTTCCTCACCTTGTTTCAACCGCTTATTGGCCTGGTTCAGCATATTCATTTCCAGAGGACAGGCAGGAAGAGTCTCTTTATGTATATGCATCGTTGGCTGGGGAGATTAATAATTGTCCTGGGGATCGTGAACGGAGGACTTGGGTTTTTGGCCACCAAAGATCAGGGAGATGCTGCACCGGCAGCGGCTATTATTGTGTACTCGGTTGTTGCGGGTGTGGTTGGTGTGGCGTATACCCTTGTTGTGGTTATTCTTCCAATTCGATCCAAAGAAAGCCCACGATGCGCAGAAGGGGTTTTCACCGAGTAAGCTAGTGGGGGATTACGCTCACAAAGTGTTGATATTAATGGCCACGATGTAACTAAACAATCACGCTCTATAATAACTTGTCTGAGATTAGTCTTAACTTTAATGTAGCCGTGACCTAACCTAGTGTAAGCCAACATTTGTTTTATTATAATTAAGAAGTGCTCGCAGAGCATGCCCCCTGTTACAGTAAACTGTCCAGCAGCGTAACTAAACTCTTGCATCGTGGATTATTTTATCAAGCTTGCTTGTGTAGATGTGTTGCCTTAAGAGGGGGCAGGTGTGATTCCAATGTAATATACATTAGTGCTTACTATACACATAAGTTTCAGACTTTGTTGCAAGAGCACAGCTAAGTAATATAGCACAGTGTATCTCTGAACAGACAAAGTACTTAAATCCAACCTTCGTCTCTTAAATAAACTCTGGGTCAGTCAGTTCCTTACCAAAATCAAAGATGTCAGAACCTATTCCACAGAACATAATTAATCAAGAGTTTCAAAAGATCAAAGATCTTAGAGAAGTGAGCCTAAATGATGATATAAAATTATATCTTTATAAATCTCAGGAATCCTTTAAAACGCAGCCCACATTAAACCCACGGGGCCTCTGGCAAACGACCCTCCTACATTGGGCAGCGGCAGCAGACTGCGCCAATATTGTGCAATACCTTGTGAAAAACGGTGCCAATGTTAATATAAAGGACAAAAATAGAAGAACACCTCTATTCTGGGCTGCCGAGAACTGTGCATTTCAAACTGTGGTTATCTTGGTGCAGAATGGTGCTAATGTTAATGCCGAAGATAAAAACTGGGGGACGCCTTTGTCAACAGTGATCGAAGCAGGTTTAACGAATGCTCTGTCTAAAAAGGAGGATTGCTCCAAAATCATTGGATACCTGGAAGAAATGGGAGCACAATACGAGCTCAAGCATTCGTGGTGGGAAAGAACAGCTTGGGCTTTAGGAGGAAATGCTAAACCTATGGCAGTTGCACCGATTTGTCATTGCGTCGATTTTAGAGTTAGAAGGGCTTAGATTATCTCGGTGAAGGTTGCTGAGGTGGTACTAATAGTGGTGGATTATACCCTGACCTTCTGCTGGTCTCCTACACTAACCCGTGCGGTATTTCCATACAATAGTATATTATTTGTACATTATATAGTATACAATATTGGAAGCTAGCTATTATGGTCCCTAATATTAAGATCTGAGGACTCTTAGAGCATAGTACCGTCAAAATAACTAACCGCACAAAGAAATATTTTATTGCATACTTGTGGCGGGCTGCATATGCAGTATGTACAGACATATACAAACAGCTTAGGTGGAATAAAGTACCACGTGCAACCTCACTATAATAGGTCTCTTATATCAATAATACAGCCTGTGTACTCAAATACGACGCTGTCCTCCTGGCGCAGGGGTTTTCTTAGTTAAAGTTTCCGGACTCGGTGGGCCATAACACATACGTCACTGCCAAATCAAACCAAGCTCTTTTTTTCAAAAAAGAAGTCCACAGGACTAGAGCCGAATTTAATATACTGTACAAAAATTAAATTTTGTAATTTCAGTCAAGTATTTAATTTGTCTAATGCCTTGGCAATGGGTCTCCGAGACAATTAATAAGTGTTCCGTGGTGAAGCTGGTTTTACTCTTCTCTGTAGAATTCGACAGCATTGCCTTTTTTAAAATTATAGCCTCGTATACAGACAGACTCCTGATTATATGTCTAGATATAACATGATTGTATGTAGCATAATAGGTGCGGCGGGCTTGGACCCTTTTTGTAAGTTTGTCCAGATAACAGTTGTGGACAAGTCTATTGAAAATAACTCTCGCAGATATGGATATACTGTACTGTAATGCGAAGGAAAATGATTGCGCGAAGTACAAAAAATCTTCGAGACAATTAATGTAAGCAGATGTGCTCCCATACTACTGTACATATAAGTTTGTTACAAATAGTCTCGAGTGGGCGCCGTATAAAAAGGTCTCCTCCTAGTCCTTGCACCCACAAATCTTCAGGTACACCTACTCCGTATACTATACAATCAACGGCTAGTCCCACTTGGTGCTGTGCTTATAAATTATCTATCATTCCACACTCTTATATGCGTTGTTTTATACATATCTCGCCAGACTAAAAGTTGCCCAGGAGCCTGTTCAGTATTAATCTGAGTGTCAGCAAGCATACTCTTGGTTACCGATGCAGTTCCTCTTTTATCTCCGGTTCTTAACAGAGGTTGGTCACTGTCTTCCTATACTGCCCTTCCCTTGGCACATTTTAGTTTCCAGCATACTGGTACAGTATAAGTCCATAAAACTTGTCCTTCCATGTATGCCTCGTAGGCGGCATTTATTGTGTCTATGTATACCTTCACTATCGTGTGTATCCTAGAATCAAACTAATAATAATAAAAGGCCATGCTTTCCATGAAAACCCACTACATTATCCTGGTTCTCACAGTTGTTCTAATTATAGCCATAAAACAGGTGAGTAAGTAGTCTCGACAATGCTTTTGAATGTCTAAGATAATTCTTGTAGCTGGGTATAGGCCAACATAAATATGTCCTGTCCGATACAGGGGAAAATCTACAATGGTATAAAGAGGACCTGGGCTTTGTCAAAGACTGTGTGGATGGGCTAGAGTCTTCTGAGGAGCTCTGTGGCACGAGATGGTTTTGCTTCCGCCATTGGCAGGAACAATATGGTAGCTGTGAGGCTTGTATTTCTGCCCGGCGATCATAACTCAGAGGGTTTAGTTCGTGTACTTATAAATACGTTAACTGGGTTTGTCAATATATTTATCAATATGTATACTTTTACGTACAGTGCAGGCAGGTTTATAGTCTGTGAAGCTATCTCGACATAGTTACTATAATTCAGGGAAAGGGGGCAGAAGAATACTATAACTGCTACACGCACGTAGCCTAGTAAGGACCGTGTTTAATACAGTAGTATCTACTGCACAGGGACATATTCGGTGGGAACTCTTTCTACTCAGGATAATTTATACCTAAGGCAATAGTACTTTATCCTCCAAGTTCCAGTACATCCCTTTATCTTGCCATCAAAGACAAAAAATTTTACTGCCAATTCGGAAGTTATTACCTTCTAAATCTTCCGTCACAGACCATACAGTATTCTCAACATAATCAGCTTTGTTTACCAGTAATAATAAAAGCGGGACGACAAAATTTGGCCGTGTACCGCTGTGTACCGTAGGGCACCACGTGATGATTGGCCCCATCTGGCGACCGATTCCACATCAACAGCCAAGCCAAGAATTGAAGCCTTAGAGCCACATAATGTACAATTCTAATTATACAGATATATTTTAAGGTAGTGGAACTAAGGTCTCAAAGAAGCTATCAAGGTTTTTTAGTTATCCCGAAAGTGTTGTGGGAGCCGGATTTACCTTCCTCGACGATTTACTCTAGGATGGGCCTCTTCAATAACATCAACAGCTGGTTTATGTAACAATATCTTCCTGATCTTTAGCTGTAGATGTAAATCTGCCTGTTTAGCCAAGCGCTTCTCTGTCTTTTTGCGTCTCTTTTGCTCTGCTTCCTGGATATACAACTCCCTATCAGGCCACCATCAGGTGCCTGAGACCATAGTATATTGACGTTATAATAACCGTCAACCTGACACCATTATCATGGAGCTTGAATACCCATAATTTCCCTCCTCCTTCTTCCACGTTTGGGGGTCTAAGATCTTGAATACAGCTTCTTCCATAAAAGGAATACTGTGTACATGGCGTCCCTCTGTGAAAAGAAGCAATTTCCCTTATTCCCTCATCAGAGATAATAAGAGTGGGTGTTTCTCGTAGTTTTGGATCCTTTCGTAGTGAAGACAGATAAGGGTCGGATAGGTTATGGACATTTAACCTTATTCCAGATGCAAAATGAATCTCGTTCGATGAGGAATCATAATCATGTTCGTGTAAAGAGCTCTTAAACAGCTCCCAAGTTGGTATCTTTCCAGTGCCACCCAAAAGACAAAGGGTCATATAATTATTTTTACATCCCCTCTGCTTTTCTCGGGACGAAACCTGGCTAAGTTGAGAGCCAATTAGTACCAGCCTTGCATTATCTTTTTCAGTCACCTCTGTGAGCCATTGGTCATTTTTAAAAATGGTCGACCAAAGTAACATCTGTTGCCTGTCTGAGTCCCATGGCTTTAGGCCCAAACTTGATAAGAGATCACCTCGAGATAAGGTTGGAATAAAAGAGGAAATGCGATCAATCACTTCTCTCGGAAACTTCATAATTGGGAAGTTTAGTATTTATAAGTGAAGAGCAAAGACACACAGATCTCACAGTGAAAGAGAAATAAATAAGGGAAAAGGAATCAAAGTGGCATTTATACAGTAGAGAGTTGAATTAAGGGAATGAGTGTGAAACGGTGAAGCTGGTATGTATTACACCCGGCTGTACAAGAGTGACCACAATTAGTTTCTGGAGGCCACTGTGCCTTGGGTCATGTGATCTGCTGGTTTCTGTCAGGGGCTGAACCCGTAGAACCTAACTGATAGGTTATGCACAAAGAAGAATCGTCGAAGAGAAGTGCGTGCAGTAAGGAAGAGAAAAATAAGCGGTAAACAAGCAAGGTAAAGAAGTCCGTGACATGAATCGAGGGCCAGTGGGGCCAAAAGGGCCTATAGGGTCCGTAGGGGCAATAGGGACAACGGGGACAACGGGAACAATAGGTACATTGGCCCGAGAGATCAAATGGGCTTCAGCCCTTTACAGTTTCCGCGCAACTAATGTTGTTATGATCCAGCCCTTCTTCCTCTCCTCTCCATGCTTGATATTCTCGTTGAAGAGCTACTAGATCGAGCTGTGACAGCCACTAATATTTAATGGCGAATCCTCTGGCATCAAAATAATTACTAATTATAATTACCTTGGCGACCTGACTCCTATTGGTCCTACCTTTGATGCTGGGTAAAAGTTAGATAATTACCATGGAATACTGGAACAATGACTTATATATAGTCCAAGTCCGGTGGTACTGGAAGGCCCTATATCAGTACTTTGAGCGGGGAAACTTTTGTTCTTAGTGCGCTAGATACATACAGAGCCTTGCAAGTTCGGCTTTACATTGTCTACAAGTCTTTGACTCCTTCTCAGCGCCATTCCCGCAATCTAATCCACATTAGGTTTAGTCTGTTAATTTGGTAATTTACGATTAGTATTGAACGTAAGTATACGAAACCAGGTGTTGCTTCTTGTATTGTAAATATGCAGATGTTTGTAGAATGTCCCTGCAAACCAGACAAAACATCAACAAAGAGACAAAGAGTGTGCCCGCACAGACTGGCCAGGTGTCATCTTCTTGTCTCTTCAAACACCTCTGGAATAGGTGTGATAACCAAGACTTTGGCACCTTCAAGAGGAACTGATTTTCTTGATTTTTCTCGTATTCATTTTGGAAGGAATTGCTGCCTTGATAATACGATATTAGGCTTGCTTGTCTAGTGCATTCCGTGGCTAATGTTCCGTGTACAAGGGCTTACTGCATATACACCGAGATCCTACACCCTACTGGCAATCCTCGTAATGTAACTGGTTGCTGGGCCACCCGAAAGAATATGAGATGCTAATATGATGAGGCTCAATAGCGTACCGTGGTTCGCAGGCGATCATGGCCAATCCCTTCTCCCCCGAGAAGCTTCTCCATATGAACGTTCCAACATGGGATGCCCCCACCCCCGGGGTTTCCACGGAACACCAACCTCACCTTCGAACTTTAGTATATTAGCTCTCACCACGGCGGCCCATATGTGCGCTACTCCACCCCATCCCAAATACAGGCTAGGCTTCCCTTGCTAGGGCTGGATGACTGGGAGGAGGAAAGAGCATATGATGAGCAGCCACTAGGCTGACCGTTGGGAAGGGAAATTCCCATGGGAAATCGGGATGGGATTCCCGTCCCATAAAAACGGGACGATTTTCTAAGATTTTATGGGAATGGGAATGGGAAGGGAATGCCAAGAGATTCCCACCGGGATTCCCCGTTCTTTCTGGATGGGAATTGGGGTAAGAAATGGGATCACACTTACTGATGGGAAGGGAATGGGAATTTGGGAAATTCCCTTGGGATTAGGTGGGAACTTCCCATACTAAATCACGTGATTAATAATTACTGTATATACTGTATAGTTACTACTAAAAACTGCTACTTTAAAAACATACTAAACCTAATTAGGAAATGGGACTGGAAATGGGAAGAGTATTTTATAATTTAGGGATGGGATTTCCCTCCCATATTTCTTGGCATGGGATGGGATTATCCCATCCCGAATCCCATGTAATGGGAATCCCTTCCCATTTTCTTGAGACGGGATTCGGGACCAACCCCAGGATCCTTATGGGAATATGGGACGGGACCAGACCTCCCTCGGGATCCCGAATCCCTCCCAACGGCTAGCCTAGCAGCCACCCATCTGTATTCACTACTCTATTGAGTGGAAGCTTGCATTAAATAAGCGGGTTGTAGTAAGCGATACGGAGCAAAACTTGGTGTTAGCTCCCAGTGCCTACTGGGACAAATTCCTCAACCCAAAACTAGAAAGAGTTGTTGGGCAGAAATTTTCTCGTGACCAGCGTGTTCGTCCTGATGACACTGCAATAACTGTTGCAATCAACGACCGTTCCGAACATAATCTTAGTAAGCGGTTTGAGAAGACCAATATTAATTGGTCCCTCGTAGAGGATCAGCAGCTGGACTGGGGCGATTTGTTCCGTCCTGGGAAGAAACTTAGGCTGATTATTACATTCTATTACCTTGGGGACAGTCGATCATGTCAAAAAAAGGGAGATAAAAGAGGATTATCAGCGACCCAAAGGATGCAAGTGGAGATGGAGGACCAGCTAAATGCCGAACGCACCTCTGGCTTGTCTAGTTCTTGGCGGCAGGTCTATCAACTAATGCGTTGTCGTGATAAGGCCTGTAAGCAAGGAGTGCACTGCTTTGAGGACCCTGTAGGAATAGGCAACCTTCGGATAATAGTAATTCCTGTTACGACACGTGAGTCAAGAATTAATACCAGACATTCTCCCCAAGAAAGTTTTGTTGGAATAAGAAATCAAGTTCTGAATAAAGTTGTATGTCCAAAAAATATATAGGTATACTCTCGGTAAAGATTCCTATTGACTCCAATTAATAATAACGTGTATACCCGTAGCTAGGCGACTGTGGGTTGAGTGCGCAGCCTTGCAGGAACACGTAGCTGTTACCCCTCTTTCCCCAGCCTGATAATCAGTGCTTTGCATTCTCCTGCCCACAATAAAATTGTTTTCACATTTGAAAAGTCATTATCAGGATACCTGGACTTGACTTGTTTTATCATGTTGCTTGTTTTGATCCACCATGACCTCTTTAACGAACGATGACTACGCAATCGCGTGGATATGCGCCTTGCCGCTGGAGATGGCGGCAGCGAGGGTCATGCTGGATAGAATCCATAATCCTTACCTAAACGCCCACTGATCCGAACGCTATGTGCTTGGTGAATTAAGGCCATTATATTGTCTTGCTTGCCTACCAACAGGTGTATATGGAACAATATCGCTGCAACTGTCTGTCTCATGTGGTTTCAACTTTTCCGGGATCCAATTTGGACTATGGTAGGAATTGGAGGAGGTGTCCCAAGCACAAGAATGAATTCGGTTAGGTGAGTGGTGATCAGCAAGCCGGATGGAAAGTATATGGGTGTACATATGATTATGGCAAGGCGATTCAAGGTGGCAATTTAGCCAACGGCCTTAAACAAACCCCACAGACCCTCTTAACGCATATGGCTCAACTTGAAGCAACCCGAATACGAGAAGAGAGGATACTATTTAATGATAGTGCAAGAAGTACTGGAACAAAACCCTAATTTAAAGGAAAGATTTTCGCCTCCACAAGAGCAGACAGATTTTCTTTTCATTCCTCCTACCACCATGCAGACAAGGAAGATAGCTGTGAAAAGTGTGATAAAGAACAATTAGTTAAACGACAAATGCGTGGTACCAGGTCACCTTATATCCATTATGGGCTGATTGCATCGGGAGATCAGGTGATAAAGGACTCGGAAAACGAGACTATCTAGCTCAACAGCATGGGATACTCTGCTTTGAGATGGAGGCAGCAGGCCTTATGGACAGGCTTCCGACGCTTGTAATCCGAGGGATATGCGACTATTGCGACTCCCATATAAAAAAAACAGTGGCAAGGATAGCAGCTTTGACAGCCGCTGCATATACAAAAATGTTGTTATCAGTCGTGCCTGTCCCCCGCACAGACTGCGGCTTGTAAAGTGCAGTAGAGGCGGCACTGGGTGGTTACCTAGGAAGGAACCCGAACTTTGTTGGTCGCCAGAATGAAATTAGGAAGCTAGAAGGATTAATCACAATGCAAGATGGGCCCAGAAGGATTGCAATCACTGGTTTAGGAGGGGTCGGAAAGACACAAGTGGCCCTAGAGATAGCACACCGCATACGTGACCAAGATAAGGAGTGCTTAATTTTCTGGATTCCATGTACAAGCCATGCAATTATTGAGCAGACATTCTTAAACATTGCACAGACACTCGAACTTGGTGACGTGAAGGCATTAGAGGTTAAAAAACAGATCAAGATATACCTCACCTCCAAGCGTGCAGGAAAGTGGCTTTTAATTTTTGATAATGCGGATGATACCGAGATGTGGTTAACAGCTAGTGACACAGCTCTGGCCCTTGAGGAACTTCTACCTGAGGGTGGACAAGGCCGTATTCTATTTACTACCCGAAACCGAAAACTCACCATGATGCTGGCACCTTTTAACACTGTTCCAATTCCAGACGTGGATAGAGAAACCGCACTAAAAATTCTAGAAAGAACATTGGAAAATGAAGACGTGCTTAAAGATAGTACGATATCAGCTACTCTTCTAGAGCAACTGGCCTTTCTACCTTTGGCAATTACACAGGCAGCAGCATATATTATCGAAAACGGTATAAATTTGTCTACCTATCTTGCACTTCTCCAAGAGCAGGAACAAGATACTGTGGAACTCCTTAGTGAAGACTTTAGGGACCAGGACGCTATAAGGATATCCAGAACCCGTATCAGTACCTGGTTAGTATCATTTAGACAGATTCAGCATCAAGATCAATTAGCAGCAGACTATCTATCTTTTATGGCCTGTATTAATCCAAAAAATATTCCCCAGTCCCTTCTTCCTCTCCAAGCATCCAGGAAACAAAGACTTGACGCTTTGGGGCTTCTGAATGCGTACTCATTCACCAACGGCCAGAACATGGATATAAATATGCACAGACTTGTGCATATTGCAACCCGGAACTGGCTTAGAAAGAATGGACTGTTTGGTCACTGGATCCAAAGAGTGGCTGATTATATACAGAAGATATTTCCACATAATCACCATACTAATCAAGGACTTTGGCGAGAATACCTTCCTCATGCTTTGGCACTTGTGCATGAAAATGAATTTATTATACAACAGGAACAATACATCGATTTGGTTAAGAAGATTGCAGATTGCCTTGCTAGTGACGAGTAGTGATATCACGAAGCAGAGGTAACTATACAACGAGCTGATGAGGATTAATCAGGAGAAAAATGGTTCAGAACACCCTTCCACTCTAACCAGCATGGCGAACCTGGCATCAACCTACCGGAATCAGGGACGATGGAATAAAGCTGAGAAGCTGGAGGTGCAAGTCATGGAGACAAGGAAGACAGTGCTGGGAGCTGAGCATCCTGACACTCTGACCAGCATGAATAACCTCGCCTATACCTTGGAATCCCAAGGGAAGCTTCAATATGCTTTGGCTCTAATGGAAAAATGTTCTGAGTTGCGCAGCAAAGTATTAGGGCCTAATCACCCAGATACCAGATCCTCCTCTTGTGCTCTTGGCGACTGGATGGATAAGTATAATTCATCCCCAAACCATACACCCCCAGCAGCGCCCACTGAAATAGAACGTTTGCAACATATACAGGAAATTTCACGGGGCCTACAGTGTAATGATCGCTCAGTCGCCCCGTGAAGAGCTCATTAATCTACCTTAACCCAGAGACTGTCAGCTGCAAACTTATTTATTGGAAATCACCCCCTTCTTATCCTTCCAGAACACCCTCCCCCACGCCGGAGGTCAAGACTTACAAGAATTGATTAATTTGGCGCCACCGTAGTCTCGCCATTAAGCTGGGCAACGGAGAATTGAGCTGTAGGAGTAGTTTAGTCTCAATTATTCAACATAAATCCAGTATAGCATGTACAGAATATTGTAAAGTATCCTTGCATGGAAGGAGAAAGTGCGCTCTAAACTTTGAAAGGCCAACCTTCAATTTATGAATCACCTATTAAGCGAGTTACTGCTTAGTTAGGATCACTAGGTGGTAACCACTAGTACAGTTAACTTAAGTCGAACTGCTGGGTCATTAAATTTGGTATGTACTGTACAAACCATGTTCTAGCATCGGAAATTCCGGTAATGTTACGTTCCATACAGGCCATAAATTACTCCAATTCAGGTCTAAACCTAAGATAGATTAGGCCGCGGGAGTGGCGTTTAGAAAGAGTTGAAGAGTGTAAATCAGCTAAGCCGAACCTGCAAGGCGCTGTAGTGCATCAACGAATACTGATCCCCCGTAAATTTCCCTATGGCTTCGTACATTCTCGAAATCCGCTTAACTAGAAACCTCTAATTAGATATTATTAAGCCTCACTGCGACGCACCTAGCAAAAAATATGTAAGATCAGTTTCCAATATCTGTATTCAAACAAGCGCTATCTGCGGGGTTATATTTACGGATCTAGACCGCTCTAATCGTGGAAGCAGATTTTTCCTTAAAAAGTCAGAACTAAAATAGGCAGATTATAGATCTTATCTAGCAGGGGGGCAACATACGAAGTTATTTGTAACGCAACTGCAGAATACCTCCGTTGTAATACCGGATCTCATATTTCTGGTGCATCTGGAGAACAACATACGATAGGTTAGGAATTTATTTGTGAACGGTTATTATTATACTTTTCTTTTCGTTTTCTTTTTTTTTTTTTTTTTTTTTTTTTTTTTAAGCTTTCAATTATCTTAATTTGTTGTCCTGCTAAAAATTTGCCTGTTGAATATCGAGAGTCAACCACTGCGCACCCGATGTGCATCGATAGCGTGGCGCTGGAAAGCCATTTTATGCAACAACCATCCATTATTATTTCTATTACTGAGGTGGGGAAGTGTGTTGTCATTTATGCACCACAAGAGTTTGTTGGAATAACAGAGTCGGACAGACCAACTAATTTATCTATCTGAAAAGTACAGAAATCCATGAGAGAAAAGACGAAAATAAAATAAAACTCTGAAGTCTGTAGGCGGTGTTGTTCTAGAAACCTATAAGCTCTCCAAAACTTGCGAGCGCCACTAGGAAAGAGCTCAGGTACGAAGTCGGTGTACCTTATCCGCATGTCGCTGTAGGTGCATTAAATGCTGAAACTCTATGTTGTTACAGAAGTTACATTTGCGGTCCTGCAAATGCGACTTCTTAAAGTGTCTTTTTAAACAGTAGTGATCAGAATATTTCTTACGGCACTGAAAGCACACCTCAGGCTTCGGTTTGTTCTTGATATGTTCCTCCAGGGCAGAAAATTCTTTCTTCCAGGCCAATATGGTTGGCTGCTCCTCTGTCTCCTGGCTGCGAGCCGGAGGTCCTGCAGTTTGGTCACTGTCGTCGAACAGCGCGGCGCGCTTCGGCCGTCCTCGGAGAGGGCCGCCCTCAGGGAAGCCGCAATATTGTATCGCAGCTGCAACAGCTTTATTACGCCTTATCCACTCGTCTTCAAGTGAATCTGAAGTAGGCCAAGTGAAAAAAGTCTCCAGGACTAGGATCTGCGATGGCGGCATGGCAAACTCCTTTTGTAACACCTCGCGCGCTGGATTATCATTCACAGCCCCGCCAGTCAACTGCCTCTCAATGTCAATCACAGCCTGTTTTCGGCTAAAGTCCCGACGTAACTCTTTCCGTCGTTTCTCTTGCAGGCTGCGACGTAGGTTATGGACCTTACACTCCTGGTCCGCAAGTGTCACTCGCAAGGCGGGATCACTGGAACTGTCGCACTGCATCTCTAACTCAGCCTGCCAACGGATGGCAGACTGCAGCTCAGGGTCTTGCTCCACCGATGCCCGGTCAGCGTCAGTCAAGTATCGTGGTCGACGTCGATCAATCCAGCGGCTCATCCGCGTCACGGCTTTTGAAAACTCATTATCAGGATCTAGGCCACACATAACCTCCTGCAAACTTGCGTGCCTTCGGGGGCGGTAGTGTTTAATAAAAGTTCTGCTACTCGCATGCGCCATAATCACATTGCGTTGAGCTTCACTGATGTACCCTAGAATTTACAGTGGGTGAATGATTCTTATTAAGGGCAAAGGGGATTGTTATTTACTGAGAGGGAGAGTACTTACCACTTTGATCGAGCAGCTCACCTCCACCGTACCGAAACTGGTGCGAGAAGAACGGGTTTAGAAAACCATGGATCTCACTTAATGATCGGAGCTGTCCATCGAGTGTTTCTCCACTCATTGACGTCTCCCAAAAGATATGGGGCCGGCCTCCAACCACGTCCACCTTCGGGAAGACATAGTAATCGTCCATCTCGCTTTTTAAAGGCAGTGGCATCTCCTGCCGGCCATCCTCGACCAACAGCCTCCGAAGGTCTTCCATTGAGGTCAAGTGAGGAGCCTCAAATGCAGCAGCATAAAATAGAATGCTGAAAAGCAGGACATGTGGACTGAAAACGAGCGATACACCATACACAATTTCCGGCAATGCGAAGGTGTTACTGGACTAGAGGTTAATCATATAAGAGAAATGTAATAGTGTGGTAGGCTACCTACACCTTGGACATACCAAGGACACTTTTTACAAACTGAGGTTGGATTTCAATCATAGGCACAGGAGGTCCGCCCCTCGGATCTTTCTGGAGGCTTAGTTGTAGATGCTTAAATTGGAGGTTAAGTATTGCTTTTTTCCTGTTAACAGTAAAAAGCCCGATGGTGTTGTATAAACACAGTATAATCCGCTGGAAGCCCAGGTGGAATCGCTTTTCCCGGGTCTGCAAGATTGTCTCGTTGAAGGGAACCATATCTTCGATATAGACTGGAGTATTTGCCCGAGGTTGTTTGTCTAGGCCGTGTTTGTCGACCAAGAATCTTATTCCCTATACGCACACGTCAGTATGCTTATCCAGACAAAACGCCGGCAGCACGAAGAGCTCACCGTACGGACTGCCTCCCCCATCTTCTCACTCATTTCGTGCCCGGTGATTCGAGTGTAATAAACACGAAAGTATTTCCAATCTGCTTCAAGTGAACTGGCTTTCCTAAAGCCTTTTAGTCGGCGACCGTTCTCGTTGTATTGGAGTTTAAGGCACCAATTCAGGAATTTGTGCATGTCGTTCGGGCACGCTTGCTGTAAGGCCTCTACTGGATCTCCCCATTTTAGTTCAGCGGACGGCTCGATCGCTTTGGTTCGACAGTATCTAGCAACAAACTAGTCAGCCAGGATCCATCAAACCATTTAAGCCGCAGCTTAAATCCAGGCCTGTAAAAGCAGTAACGAACCGAGCCCAACGCTCTGTCAGTCGAATTTTTAGCTTCTTAGTTTCCTTAGACTTGCCGTAATCCTCCGGCACCTTGGAGAGGTCCTCGTCTGTATCGTCAGCAGGGTCTTCGTAACGGGCACGATGCAGAAGTTGCACAGCCGACACGCTTATATCTTTGGTAGACTCCGGTGCGGGACTCTCCCGGCAACCTGCTTCCAGACGCCGTAGATTGGCTTTCGAGCTTGTTTTTCTCCTTTTGGCCATTCGATTCCCTGGCGAAGGGCAGTCTGGTTCCGTTATATCTGTGTCGGTTCTTGCGTCATACGATATATCGTTGTTATCTGCAGATGTGCTGGAAGTCTCACTCGCAGTCATGCGAGAAGCAACACGGAATTTTCGGCGAGGCATGGTCAAGGACACTTGCCGACCTTAGGTTAAGGAGGTTAAGAGGCTCAAGAAAAGGGCACAGCAATTAGATATAACACAGCATTGAAGGTAATAACAAGAAAGCAGGGGATAAATTGTGGGAACATGCATGTAATAAAAGAATAACCAGAGGTTAAGTAGACATGGGATGGGAACAGAGGGCCTTATAGCTATGGCGGCTGGGCGCCGGCACTTCTTGTCCTGGCGTGGTGCAGAGGAGACCATTTCGGCACTCTTATTAAATGCTGGGCAGGGAGCAGCGATGGTAAAGCGGACGAAGAGCACTCGGCGACGATCTGCGTGTTCGATAGTGCGTGGGTGAAGAGTGCGAGAGCGTGGCAGGTGGTGGCTGCTGAAAGGTGACCATTTTCGGCGTCGTTTGCTGCCTTTTTCGGCAGCCAAATAGCAAATCGCAATTCTTATGGAGTATATAAACAATTAAATTACTATTCCTTAAGACTTTCTTCTAAAATCCTACTCCTTTGCCAATGTTTTAAGCATTCTATTCTCTTAATATTGTTAGCTAATAGCTGTGCTCTTTCCCATAAGACTGTAAACTGCCCCTAAAAAACTCGCTCCGGTTTATACTTATTGCCGGAATTAACAGAATATAACTCATATATAAAAGCCTTGGCCAGCGCTTTTTTCTTAACCTGGCACCACAGGTCAGAGCACTCGTACAATCTTATAAGGTGACTTAGTTATATAATCTTTAATTTATCCTGGCTTGCTGGTCGAGCAAAGCTATCTAGGTCTTCTCAATTTAATCAAAGTTATTAAGATCTTGAGGGTGATTACTTTATATAATTGTATAACCATAGGACAAGGGGTATTATTGCGATACTCTTCCCAAAGCTTTTTAACTTTTTAAATTGCAGGTTTTTGCCAGCTCTTTTTCCAATTTGCCTGAATATACTTTGTACGACGAGCTGGGTAAAGAATAAGTGCTGCAGTGTAAAAATAAATTATCTAATTTATTAGTATTTATTAAAGGTATCCCAGCATTTTAAATCAGCACAGAATTCTTTATTGGTGCATGCTTAATCTTTGTACAGTATTAGTTAAGTTATATTATTATAAGGAATATAAGAGTAAACTTGCAAGGGCATTTTCAAAGTGCTTTATAATAACGTCCATTATAAAAAGCATATTATTAATTATTACTTGGTTACCTTGTGTTTTCAGGGTTACATGTTCAAAGAGACTTAGGAATTTACTTATTATATAAAGCTTTTCCCAGTTTATTGGAAATAGATACTCTGCTTGGAGGGTATTAAAATACTTTTTAGTATAGGTATTAATAGCACCCTTATACTAAAGAGTAATATAAAGCATATAATACCAGCTATTCTATCTTGTACAATTATCAAGTGGAATTAGTCTCCCTGCTAGATCTTTAAACTCCTTTGTACGGCCAGCTGAGCCACGAATATGTGTTATAATATTATAAAGCTTTCTAAGTAGACCTATTGCACGAAAGGTGGCTTGTTTTTGTGTATTTTTAATTCTGTCTCTTCTAACTCCTTCCATTGCTTCTTCTTTGTTGTACAAGCTAAGTTGTTTAATATTAACCACATTTTAAAATAGGAACGCTTGTACAGCCAAGTTAATAATATAGCTAATATAAAAAATTTACTGATATATAGGATCCCATGAATTTTTTTTTTTTTTCTTCCCTTAGATACTTAGCTACTGTACGGCATAGCTTATTATTTGCAGTATGATTATCACAAATAATAGCCCTAAGCTTTTGTATAATACTATAGTCTTTTAAAACAGGAAGAAGAGTAATAAATTGCTCTTCTCCGCTGTGATTTACAACTATACAAAGAGCAAGAAGGGCCTTTAATAGTTTTTCCTGACTTTGCTCAACAAAGTGGGTGCAAATACCAAGAAAAAGTAGCTAATTTGGAGAGGTCCAGATATCTAGTGAAAGATAAATACTTAATAATACTAACTAAAGTCTCTTTTGTACAATATCCTTTTATGTCTGCCATGACTGTTCAATCCTCTTGGGGATAGAGTTATGTGCCGTAATAATATAACTCTTAGATTCTGGATTAAGCACTTGGCAAAATATATGGAACTCAGGCTATTTAATAAGAGAGAATAGAAGGTTTCGTACAATCATTAAGGATACCAATACCTTATTAACAATATCTTAATTTAGCACTTTTTGAAGGACCTGGGTATCAAATTGTTGTGTTTCGCCCGAGGAATCTGCTTTAGAATATAATAGTTGTAATTGATTAACAGTTAATTGTTGTAGAGAGCTTAAAGTAGGATTAATAAGGATTTAATACTTTGTTTTAAGATGATTTTGTATATTAGTAGTAACAGAGGTGCTGTACAGTGATTTTATATAATAAATATAATACTAGATTAACCAATCTTTATGAAATTGAGCCTCTCTGTTATTAGCTGGATGAGTGTGGGACCATGTTATCTGCGCAGTTAGTGTTCTTCCTTTTTTTGGCTCAGTGTCTGCTAAATCAGTAGGCAAAGGCAAGAAACTAGATAAATCTGCTTTAGAATCCATGTTTTGTACAACAATATTGTGAAATAAGATAGGACAGCGGGGTAGAAGTTAAATAATTATTGCGGGCAGTGTGGGTAGAATAAGCGGTGAGTTTCTGCCAATTATCCCGGATTATTCGATGGATTATCCGTGGGACGGATAAGGATTATCCATCGAATGATCCGAGCGGGAGTTTATCCTTGCCAAGCCTGATAGTAACAAGGAAAAATTGGAACTACTGGCCGACTATTTAAGTGCGACGGTAGCAAGGTGGATTAGTACCCTTGTAAAATATAAAACAGGAGATTTTAAAGGAGTGGCTAGTATATTAAAAAAAAAATATAGTTAATAAAACAGCATGCAGAAAATAATTAGTATTTATTAGCTTACCAAGTTTGTGAAAAAAGAGAGGAGAGAAGATAATAATATAGGTAAGTACCTGAGAATATTCTATTATATTTTAGGGGAGTTGGAAAAAATAGGTCACTTGAATAATTATATTAAAGCAAGAATGTTGTTAAAAGAACTCCTAGAAATAATATAATAAACTCTTATTTAAAAAAAATAACTTAACCCTAGGAAACTCGATTACAAAAGCATTAAGGAAAAGGTTAAAAACCTTTAGAAATTAGCTCGAACCTTTAAACAGTTTAAGGAAGAAATTACTTTAACAGGAAAAATAGTTAACTTCACAGAGTTTATAAATCCCTAAAAATAGCAAAGCTTAGTAATAATTAAGCCTAATAGAGAACTGCCACTAAAAGTAAAAAGGGTAAAAGAATTAGAAGCAGGTAGGATAAAAAATACTAAGCTTAATAAATTAACCAAGCAGATAGAAAAACTTAAGTTAAGCTTTATAAAGCTTTTAAAGAAATCGGTCCTAAGCCCGCAGGAAGGCTATTTAAATAGGAACAACGCAGGAAGTTACACACGCAATTATAGATTCTGCGCAAAACCGGAATACTTTATAGACTACTGTCTAGAACTAGATAAGTATATAAAGCAATTAGTGGTATATATTAGGCCGGACAGGAGAGTGTATTAGGGACTGGAGGGTGCAAGAAAAGAACCTTTAAAAAAAGGACTAAATTAAAAACTAATACTAGAGCAGGTACAAGAGCATCTTAGGAACAAGACTTACTCCGCGAACCTTATCACGTTGGAAGGAATATCGTCGGGGACTAAGAAAAAAGATTTAAAAGTTATAGGCTCCAGGCCCAGAACTTTACAAAATATATCTGCATAGACAGTTGCGGCCACAAAACAAGCCAGATTAAAAGAAAAAGCAAGAAAAGAAAAAGAGATATCTACTATTAAAATGTATTGACCCGGAGCATATTTAAGGCCGGACTTTAAAGGAAAGAAGGAGAAAGGATTGCCTGCTAAAATCTAAAAAAATAATTAGCCTTTAAAGGGACCTAAAAAGGATCAAGCTTTAAAAATGCAGAAAGTCAAGTTGTTAGACCTTTTAAAAGGGAATAGGCCTGTTAAGGAGATAAAAAAAAAAATATTACAGTAGAAGATTAAGCTTACCACTAAAAAGCTTATATATATCTCCTTAGAATTGCATAAGTTAATATTCGTGCTGCAGGATTACTAGAGCTAGCTTTAGCTAAAAGTGAATAAAATAGTGTTTAAAAAAAAAAAAATAAAAAAAAATAAAGCACAATACTTTAAAGTACTATATAATTCAATGTATTATGCTATTAGAACCTTAAAGGTTAGAGTAATGTCATCCCGGATGACTAAGATGTATAGTGCCTGACGAATATGGCTCCAACACGTAGGCACTCCGAAGACACGATCCCACATCATACGATCCCAGATCGTATGATATGGGATCCCACGGCAGTACACTGGAAGACCTTGGTAGACACTAGGTTAAATAGCGGTCTGCTACCTTAAGTAGCAGACCAGAGACAGGGAGACAGAGGACTTATCAAGGATAGCTTAGGCAATACATTCCTTCAGAAGACTCAATAGAATTCCCTCAGTCCTCCCCAGGGCCGCCATCAGGGCGGCCCCTGGGGGCCCCCGTCCCCTATTCGACTGTCCCTACAGCTCATAGTGTTCTACTACCTCGTCCAGTCCCCTACATAACCGGCCGTGTGATGAGCGATATTGCAGTAATAATTAAAGCTTATAATAGTTTATAGAGTCGGAAGGTTATAATTAATAGCAGGGCAGAAATTAATCTACTGCACCGGGACTTTACTAATAATTTAGGACTACTGGATACTATACTTACTAGGGGATTTATAAAAATACCAATAAAGGGACTTTACACTTTCTTAAAGTCTGTAAGGAAGTCCTTACGCAGATTAGAGGATTTAAATATAGAGTTCCCTTTTTTGTGGTGGACAGCCCGGTGTTTTATAAATATATATTAGGCAGACCTTTTATACACCAGTCTTGTATAGGACAGTTCACGAAAAACAACAGATTAGTGGATATAATAATTAGA